AAAAAAAATGCGATTGATCACAGACAGAGAGTTCTAATTTTATTAACATATTTCATACACTTCTCGAGAAAGCATATATTTCTCACACTTGGTTATTTTAGTGGATGCAAGCATACTTCGAGAGGTTTGCATTCATCATGGCAGCACGTTCCTTGCGGTTCACAACCCGCAATTTTGAAAACACACGCTCCACATTTTCGCTGGACACATGAAATCCCAAAATGTCCAGCCAGGCTTGGGTCAGTAGACTCCAGTCAGGTAAATGAAGTTTCCAAAATAACACTCGATCAACGGTGCTAGTCACAGTATACTTGCGGTAACAAAGAGACTCTGATTCTAGGTCACTCAGCTAGCTCTCGTCTCGGAGGACCAGCCGATAGATACTTTCATAAGGCACAAATCCCTCTGGTAGCTCCACGTTTATGCACAGATTAACAATTGGCACGCGGAACCAGAACGACGATTCATCCATGAAATCTGTAGCGTAGTCATCCTGAGCTTTCCGCTTACTTCCCATCCTGGTGGCCTTCCATTCCGCGTGACGACGAAAGGAAGCAAGTCTCGCGTTGAGAGAACCCGCAGACGCGGGACAGACGCGCCTTCTCAAACACGTCTGCAATTTTTTTTTACAGAACGGTTCTTTTATATACAGCGAAAAACTCCCCCGCCAACAAAACCCTTTTTTCCGTTTTCTCAAAAGCCCATAGAAACTAAACAGATAACAAGGAACGCATCTCAGTTCTGAAAGTTCAGTAGTCCTGTATGACACGGACGTTGGCATTCTCTTCCAGGAACCACAGCAACCTCTGAACACATGGCTTGCACCGACATTACTTGGCCAGACAGAATGGGGAAAAGGCACGTGAGAGCGTATACCTCCGCTGCGTTAATTTTTCCACAAAAGGGGGCCATGGGCGACACAATGGGAGAAAGGCGTGTGAGAGCTTAGCTTTCACTGCGTTAACTGGACGCTTTTCACCCCCAGAAAGGAGGGCGGACTGACGCCATGTGCAAGCCATGTATAGACACTGAAAGAATGCAGGATCCACGAGATAACACGTATGACGAACTTCTACGCTAGGTCGGAAAAGTGCAACGACCGGTGTTTTTCGGTTTTAACCGGGGCGAAAATATCCAACCACCGGTGTTTTTCGGTTTTAACCGATTTTGTATTTTCGTCACCGACGGATGTTTATCGGTGTTTTTCGGTTAAAACCGGAAAATACACACCCTAGTTATATCATTCTGTTCCAATATTGATACTGCAGTCACAAGTCTAACAGACATCGTAACTTCAGCCATGAATAGCTTCATCCCATGTAGAACTAAAGGTCGAACAAGCAAAGACCCTTTTCGGTTTTTTAGAGAGGTGCCATAGAAGGTACAAGAACACCAACATAAAGAAATGGCAGGTTCTGTTTAATTCATTTAGTGGCCAAAAAGTTGGTTTGGCATGATCAGGAGAATTGGCGAAATTCAGTTGATTGCAATTTAAAACACTATACAAATGCTGTGTGGAACTACGTGATGTATATGAGAACATTTAGTTAAATACAATTGCATTAATGATGACTGGATATATATCTGAGCTGTCCTATGTCTGCAATCTTTTTGCTACATTCCTTCCATCGGTAATTTGATTACTCCGTGCACGGTTAAAACCAATGCTCCTGTTGAATCTACCCGCAGCTTACCGGTGCCAAAGCTAACGCTCGAAGATGTGCTTTTTGCAATGAATGAACTCGCTCTGAAAAAGTTATCTAGTGAGGACGGAATCCCTGCTTTTATCGTAAAGGGATTTAGGGATATTTTTGCCTTAGTGTTGCTCCATATTTTTAACATCTCTAGAGGCAAATGTATTTCCTCAAGGATGGAAAAATGCAGTAGTTGTACTTCTTCATGAATCTGGTCGCACTAACTGCATTAGTAACTATAGACCAATTTCTCTACTTAGCTCTTTTTCTACGGTATTTGAAAAGGATATGTATAAGTATATTTACTTCAATTTTAAATCGTCTGTCTCAACCAGCACGGTTTGTGTCAAGGGCGCTCAGTGGAAATAAATGTTTATCATTCTTGGAACACGCTTACCTAAGGTTACTTCCCGTGGACAAGTTGACACTATTTATTTCGATTGCAACCTATGATCTTGTAGATCATAGGTTGTTACTTGCCCAATTGTCAGCATTGCGCGTGACTAGCTCGTTTTGCAGTGGTCAAGTTATTGTGTAAGACAAAACGGAGTGCTTTATGAAGGATGTTTTTCTACCTCGTACGTTTTTAATATTGGAGTGCCTCAGGGGTCCAATCTTGGGCCGCTCTTATTCAACATTTTTTTCAATGATCTGGCAGATAGTGTACAGCAGTCGAGGTGCTGCCGTTTGCAGATGATGTAAAACTTTATCACGAAGCTATTGCAACTATGGACTGCCAGATGGTGCAAGACGATGTTCAGGCAGTTCTAAATTAGTGCTTGAAAAATAATTTGGCGCTTAACCCCAATAAGACAGAGGTTGTTTCATATACCCGTCAGACAAGCTGCATTGAATACCCGTATACCACATGCGATTAAAGTGGCAATTTATGCTCTTTGGTTTGTGATCAAGTAGGGCACCAAAAGACACAAGGACAACGAGGTAGACAGTATGCACCCCTGTCTGTCTACTTCATTGTCCTTGTGTTTTTGGCACCTACCTAGCTACTAGTTTTGTTTATTTACTTCTAACTTTCCAAAAGTATGTCCTGCTTGTTTGTTTTTTTGTATGTGTTTTTTCATTAATTGTAATATGTGCACACTATGAGGCCTGGAGCTGTTTGTGGGCACATTAAGCTGAATAAATTCCGATATACACTTAAACAGGCTTAGTGCTGTCCATGCTAATGTAACAATTGAGTAAAGTCGAAACGCTTAATTCTGTGAACCAAAAAAAAAAAAAAGACTTTTACAATTCTTTGTAATGCCGAATTAGAGCGCAGCTCTTGAAGAGGAGGACGAGAGGCGGGGAAGGTATGCCCATGTGACGTCACGAGGGTAATGTCACTTGTGACGTCATTATGAGTAACGTCCCATGTACGTTGTTCTTTTTATTCGTAAAATATGCCACACGGCATAATATGGGGGTTTCAAAGAAAGCAGTGCAGTCCAACGTCGTGCAGGAACTGCAGGAGCGACTTGTCGTACTTGTCGTCATTCACCCATTGGATGTAGTTATCATGTGGGTGACCCTTTAGTCCGGCCTCGCTGAGTATCTTCTCATGGGCAACGTGCAGTTACGCCGACGGGGACGCCAATCAACCCTGAAACGAGCACCTAAGAGCTGCGCTCTAAAAGGCCAGCAAGATTTTGAAGCACTCAGTTGAAGCTTAATCAGGGTGTCTACCGACCGGGAAAACCGGGAATTGTCAGGGATTTTTAAGACACCTGGAAAAGTCAGGGAATTGTCAGGGAAATTTCAAAAAAGATTGCCGAGTCAGGGAATTTATCCCATACTCGCCCGCTTATGCTAGAAGCGGCAGGTATGGGCAGGCATGGCCACGAGTGCAGTCAAGTGCGGCGTCGCGACCCCCTCCACGCGCTATGCTTCACACGAGAGCATGTGCGAAACTGGCGACTCGTCGTTGTTTTAGTACACTCTAAAGCCACTAAATAAGCTACACTTTAGGGTAGCAACGCTAAAGTATGGCGGCTAAAGAGTTACTTACAGTTACTAGTGAAACAGAGTAGCAGCGGCAATTTTGTTTAGTTCTTGACTCTAGTCAGGTGGTGTTGCTTTAGTACGAGGAGAGACAGTTGCTCTAGCCGATACTAGGTGGCGCGAGTCACCACTCACTCGAAAAAGAACAACCGTCGTTCATTCATCTACCCTCTGAGAGGCGCGCGCCTAGCGATCCATCTGTTTGTCAGATACGGTGCTTTCGCGCCTTCCCGTAAACGCAACCTGGACGCCTGTACTCTACGAGCTCTGCCACGTGCGTTTGTGGCTGTGGGTTGCGCTTTCTATCTTGTTATTTTCCTAAAGTGGAGGTATGTGAAAGTGACTATGTCGCTGTCGAGAAAGTGCTCCTTCAATCTCAACTGGACAAACCCGGACATATGCACAAATGCGAGTTGGATTCGGCCCATTCCAAATGATCCAAATAGTGCTCACTGCGCAATGTGCTGCAAGAAGTTCTCCCTGAGCAACATGGAAAATAGGGCGATTGCTACTCATCTTGAGGGTAAGAAACATCACACTGCTATGAAATATCTGCAAAGCGTTTCCCAGAGCCCAGTCGTATTTTTCAAAACTGCGACAAATGCGGACTTGCCTTCCACAACAGCAACGGGTGTTTTTTGTCCGGTGGTAACAATAGTGCTTGTAGGGCTCCGGCAATGCGTCTAACCACCGCCACGGAAGCTCTTAGCCCCTCTGTGAAGACGTGGGTGGTGGCTTTTTATTGAAGAAGGAAGTTACAAAGGCCGGGGATTATGTGGTGCTTGAACACTATAACAACTCATGGGTCTTTCCGTTCAGTGGCAGCGTCTGCCTCGCTGTTTCCGTTGATGTTCCTCATGTGTGAGACCGCCAGAAAAATTCAGCTTGGAAAAGACAAAGTGGGGTATACAATATGTCGTGGTATCGCCTCCTACTTTCAAGACAAGTTACTAGCAAGCCTCTCTAACGTGCCATATCTGGTGGTTGCTTTTGAAGAATCACTGAACAAAGTAACTCGGAGAACAAATTGATGTACTGATCAGGTGCTGGGACCAAACTTCCTGAAACAGTAAACCCGGGTCAATGCTGTATTCTAAACATCTTCTGAAGTTTGCTTTATCTAACTTAAAGAAAATATTTTACGTTGTGAACAGTGTCTATCTATCATATATTGTTTTGGTGTCGGTAGTTGTGGGTCAGGGAATTCAATTAAAATAGTCAGGGAAACCTGGAAAAGTCAGGGAATTTGAAAAAAACTATTTGGTAGACACCCTGTTAACTGCAGTAATGGCTAGTTATTACTAACAATTGACTATCTTGGTTGGGCTTTCCTTGCATCTCGTAATACAGTCTTTTCTTTTAGGTGATGAAGCTGGACTTTTGGGGGAGGCCGGCTCTCTTCTGAAAGCCACTGAGAACGTCTGGTTCCAATGCAGTTCCTGCCCCCACATCACCAGAGATCATCGTGGAATTGTGAGCCATCTGGTTGCCCACGGTGATGAACAAGTCAAGTGCCACAATCCTCCTGTGTCTCCTGGCTCTAGGTCCAAAGTGCACAGCAGCTTTCAAATGAACAGGGGTGATATGTTCTTTAAGTGCAAGCTGTGCCCCCAAGCTTTTGCTCACCGTGACAGCCTGATCCAACACAATCAAACGCACATACGTACACGTGAAAAGCCATTCAAGTGCAATCTTTGCCCAAAAGCCTTTTCTCGGAAGACCCATTTGAGGCTCCATAGTCGAACGCACAGTGGTGAAAAACCTTATAAGTGCACTCTCTGTTCCCAAGCCTTTGCTCAAAAAGGCAGTCTGACCCTCCACAATCGAGTGCATACAGGTGAAAAACCATATATGTGCAAGCTGTGCCCCCAAGCCTTTATTCACAGTTCCAATCTGATCCGCCATAATCGAACTCACTGTGGCGAAAAACCATACAAGTGCACACTCTGTTCCCAAGCATTTGCTCAAAATGGCAGTCTGATCCTCCACAATCGAGTGCACACGGGTGAAAAACCATATGTGTGTAAGTTGTGCCCCCAAGCATTTACTGACAATTCCAATCTGATCCGCCACAATCGAACTCACATTGGTGAAAAACCTTACAAGTGCAAACTGTGCCCTCAAGCCTTTTCTCACCATTCCAATCTGACGCGCCATAGTCGAGCACACAGTGAAAAACTTTAACAGTACAAATAATGCTCTGTATTTTTGCTAATAGGAATCTGATCTACCACACTCAAATGCACATGTGTGAAGCATTACGGTTCACCCGTAAGTTAAGCCTGCCATGCTTTATAATGTGTGTAATTGTTTTTTCTTGTACAGCTGTATAGTGTTTCAGAATATTTAAGAGCGAGCAAGGCCTCGAAGCCTTTACTTAGAGTAGTATTTAGGCTCGCCACACTAAAGCACACATGCACAATAAACTTGCAAATGCCAGCAGTGTCTCGGGACGTTTTCTAAATAGTCTTGCCTCAACAGGCATGTGTCAATACACGAGGTTTTTAAACTCAAAGGGGCTGTGTAAAGATTTCTGGACCAATTAACTGCAGGGATTGCTCCCTGTCACCTATACAATTAAGAAGCAGAAAAACATTTTATTTTGCGTACGCTAGCTTCTAGAAACAAAAAGTAGATGAAAGAAATCAAAGGTTTGAGTAATTCTAAACTCTCACACCGTCTTTCCAAGTAACGTCGCAGGGAGTACCACCTGGTTTTCTGTTGGGGCCTACCTTCAGGGCCCTCGGCACTCCCTTTGTGATTGTCAACTCCTCAAGGATTAGCATTTCTGAAGGTCGCTGGGAGTGATCGGGACAGTGAACAAACAGTTTGCCACGGAGCTGACGTCGAGTGTAGCTGCGGTGTGGGAATATTTTTAGGTGACTTCTGTGTCCTCCTAATGATGGCATATTTATTTATTTATTTATTTTCAGATACAACTACCTTCTTACGGAAGGCATCATAGGACCGGTGGAAAGGTGCAATATAAGGGATATCGGTGCGACAAAGTTATTTACAACTGTACTAACGAGAAACCACAATTCAGAGTTCACACAATGCTAACACAACAAAACGTGGGAACAATAGCATAAGAGTGGTCGGTCAAAAGTTGTCACCTACCACACACATACATGCAATGCCTAAAAAAACAAAAACAAAAACGTAGGAGCAGTCAAGAAGTGAAAGATCAGTCACACGTAAACATGATAATTCAATACTTTTAGATCACTATATCATGAGTTCATTTATGCCATGAAGAGAGTGATATTTCAAATGATTGTGAAGATGCTTCCTTTATATAGTCAAAAGGTAATTTGTTCCACTTTTTTACGGTGTTAGGAAAAATTAAAATTTGAAGCAGTCATTATGACATTATTCTGTAAGTGATGAGCTTTGATAATTTTGTGTGCTTCTCGCGGATTTTAGAGAGACATGGCGTGACTTTTGTATTCTAAAGCCATTGTTGATCGGAGTGTATAAGAAATTGAGTCGTTTACTTTTTCTGCGCGTTTGAAGGGCTTGGATGTCTGCTATGCCATAAAGTGTACTCACGGAATCTAGCCTTTTATACTTGTTATAAATGAATCTCAGGGCTTTTTTTGTATACTTTCAAGTTTGTTTATGTTTGATGACATGTGCGGATCCCAAATAATATTGGTTTCTGACACAGCAAGTCAAGTAGGCATTTTATCTGAGGTCAGAAGGAATAGTGACACCAAGGTATTTGAACGATGAAACCTGTTGCTAACGAAAATTTTCTAAGCTGTATGAAAAGGCCAAAGGAGACTTTCTGGGTGTTGTTTTCATAGACAGATTTTTTTAGGTTTAAACTCATTTGCCATGTCTGGCACCAATTGCCGATTTTGATCAGGCTCAAATTCAGATCAGCTTGGTCTGCGACGTCTTTGATTTCGGAAAATATTAGATCATCAGCAAACAGACAAACATTAATATTTGTATTGTCTTTTACTAGGTCGTTTATATACACTAGGAAAAGAAAAGGGCCTAACCTCTGCACCAAATTGTCCGCGCACCGAAAAGTCCGTGCACCGAAAAGTTCGTGCACCGAAAAGACCTCACCGAAACGCCCTACACCGAAATGTCCAGATCTTGCAGGGGACACATGAGCGTTGAAAACGGGCACCGCGCGGCAGTTTTCAAGGCAACTTGCGTACACGCTGTGACTTGGACCTATGTCATGCCGCCACGTCACAGCGTCCGCGCAGTGCCACATTTCATAGCCTACGTGTGCCCCGCGGAAGCAAGCTTCGCGGGTGTTGCTCCTCTGCAGTTCACCGGTGCTCGAAGAGAAGCGCACTCAACGGGGCCGCCGGAACAACAAGAGTGAATTGCACGAAAACGCCGTTCGAACTAAGAGGCTGATCAATACATTAGAAAAGCAGGAGAACCAAAATTTTGAAATTAGTTTGAATTAACCAAAAGCAGCTTGGGTTACAGTGTCTTTGAATTGCTTCTCTATGTTTATTTTTGGATTATGTCATTCATACATTTGTAAACATAGCTTCATTGCATACTTGTTTTTTACTCTTACCTCGTGTAAGAGTAAAAAAAATATTTTTTTTTACTCTTACTTTTACTCTCTTTCGGAAAAAAAAAATTTTTTTTTTACAAAAATTTGTAAACGATAATTTTGTAATCGGACTTCTTTTTCACTGTTCCTCAGAAATAAAGGTTGACAATACAAGCATCAACAATGTTTCTTTTTTTTTTTTGCAGCAGTTAGTTGAAGTAAACATGCTACTGGCAAAGTAGCTCTTTAGGAGGTTTCTGTTTGCCCTCCTGTATCATGGCGGGATCCCAACATAGCATTTTTGTCGCCAGGAAATTGACTGCCCAGTGGACGTGCTCACCACAGTACGTGGGGAGTGGCAGTTTGTGATGCCCATTGTGGCAATAGTCCAATTCTTGCCTTTGAGAAGATTTGGATTTGAGGTGACATGTTTTAGTAGTGCTTTGCAATCCATTTGAAGACACTGTTTTATTGACAAAAGGTATGGAAAGGAGACTTGGGAGTCTAGGGTTACTTGAAACCAACCTGACTCCACTCCTACTACTAAACGCTGGCATCTTCGTAATTGTGTATCGTTATATGATTATACTTTCCTCTTCCTATTCTTCGCTGCAACATGCACTTGTTCCCAAGGGTTGGAGTTGTGCCTTTTGGCTCTTCACCAGATTTCATAGACTGTAGATGCCTTACAAAGAACAGTGTCTCTTGTTAGTTTTTTTTTTTAACTGCGGCTTGTAGATCGTTACAGAACTTGTTGGAAATGACAAGAAGAGGATCTTGTCTTAGGCAGCATGTGCCAGAAAATAATACAATCAAAACCTCCCCACCACAAATTGTAGTTTCAAAAGAAGATATTATGTCTGTAGCTTGCTATAGCTGCATTTGCATCCAAAACGACTTTTAAATATAAAAAAAAGGCTTGTGTGGGCACGATGTATTGGTGATTGGGGCTTTCTTCCACACTGCAGTTTCAGTAACTCTAAACCCTAGTTTTTTTGTGTTTTTTTTATTTATTTATTTATTTAGTTGCTTGAAAATGGGCAAAGATTCAAAGATTATCAGAGTTTCGAGAGTATGGAAGTGTCCTGCCATGCATTGTGAGTCATTATTTGTCTTAACACGATTTTATCATGCATTTCCCTTTTCGTGCTACGAAAGCAGATGATAAAATTATATGCCCACTCCAGTGACAGGCACTAACTGCATGCAGTTCCTTTTCTTAGAAGGAGAGAACAGAATGGACAGTCATTCTTTTAATAACGTTCATAGTAACCCTGAGACATAAAAACAATGAAAAAAAAAAAAAACTGACAGAACAACAAAGTTTTTAGAGACTTCGTTGTTCTGCCCGTTTTTTTATTGTTCCTACATCTCGGGGTTAGTATGAATGTCATTCACCAGCTCGCCTGCATTTTTTTTTTACCTTTCTTCACTAATTCTTTTTATAAGTTTATTACGTAATTATTTAATAAAACTTGTCAAAAAATTTTTTTTTTCAGCATTGTATTTAAAGTTAAGGAGCAGAATGCAATGCCACATAGAACGTCTTCAGTGTTGCTTTCTAGTGATAGTGGGTTATCGCCATGGTGCAAACATTTTCAGCCGAAGCCTTGGCATGTTCATCGATGGGGGCGGCTCAGGGGACCACATTATTGATTATCTTATCTGCAGGTGTTTACTCATAATAGTTTCTAACAAGTTACATCGGGAACTGGTACTTGCCCTTGGTTTGAGAAGTTGGTGTGTGCTGCAAGGTTGCACATATTTCATAAATAGGGTAGTGAAGATCAGTGTTAGGCAGTAACTATAGTTACTAGTGACGCATTACCAGTAACTAGTTACTTTTTTTAAGTAACTGGTTACTGTAACTCGTTACTGCTTAGTGAAAATAACTTGTAACTGTAACAGGGTTACTATTCTTCGGAAGTAACTGTAAAGAGTAATGTCGTTACAGTCACTTCTCAAATTTATGTGCAAAAATATTGCATACATGACCACAAAATCGTCTTGCAACTCGTGAGAGAGTCCCAAGTCCTATATAGGAAGGGCACAGCAAAAGCTGCTGCAAAAACAATCTGAGCATAATAAAAAAATTGGGCAACTTTGTTTGGTTAAGTTGGTCCCAACAACTGGGAGGATGGGGGGTTTGTGTCCATACCCGCCGTGTATGGTACATTGCCCATTGAGCACGCAATTGTAAGAAAGTGCAGCATCTCTAAACCATTTCTTTTTTTTTTTTTTGTGCAGCGGAGGGAGAGAGTGCTTTTTTGTGGAGTACAGTTTTTGCTGATCGTTCCCCCAAACGCACACAGGCTTACAGCACAACTGATTTTTGGAACCTCGTCTTTTTGCCGCCAAGCATATGTTTCCTTCCCCTCTAATTTGAACTGTCCAACTCTCAGACGCCCTCTTGCAGGGTCTCGCTTTTAGACCGTTTTTTAGCTTTCTACAGAACGGCCCCCCCTTCCCCCTCCTTCCCAAAACTCCCCAGAATTTGTTACACACAATGGTGTACGCCTTCTGCACTGAAACTTTCAACAAACTGTGGTGTGCCCTACTACTTGTGGCTACTTCGCTTGTGTTCGTTTTTTCTGCTAATTTCGAGCGACTTTTTAATTGACTATGTGCAAGCAACGATTGCTCTTGGCGTTGTCGGTGGCATGTCGCATCTGTGTTTGGCTCTAAATGCAATGTCGACTTGGAATTGCCAATTAAGAGCTCGCACCATGCCGGCGGCCGAAACTGCTGTTTCTCGCTCAGCGTCGACTGCTACTGCCTTGGTGCACGGCCGCTCCATTGAGAGAGCTTCCCCAAGCCCCGCCGTGGAGGAGCGGATATCTTCTATTAGACGATTATGCGAAATTGTTAGAATGTCGGGGAACACTCTGTGCGCTGCCATTTTTGTCAGGTCAAGATTCCTCTGCTGTTTCTCAATTTCGTAGCGTTGTCAATAACAATCGAGGCCTACTGCTCACCATCATTGATCCTCACCCACACGTGCAAACTAAGGGTTTTTATTGTTTTATGCTCTTCCTTGTGCACGTATGTGCTCGTCGCACCGTCGGTCGCCGATTTCTCACTGTAACCAACATGGCAGACATACACTGCAGCTCGAAATTTGGCTTTGGGGGCTGGCAAAGGCATGGGCGCTGGTTTTTGAAGGTGTTTTCTCTGCGCGAGTGCTTGTGCAAGCGAAGGATTCTTCAGAACTGCAATTTGTGCCCTGGCCTTTGCCTGCACCGAAGCCAACTGGTGAGACAGAGCATGCTCTTCGGTGCCCTACTAGATGGCGCTGCACATTTTGCATATGGTCTATTGTGCAGGAAGAAACTTGCAGTCCGCAAACAAAAAACAAACAAAACGTTCTGCCCGGTTAGATTTTGATTTTGACCTGACATTTCCGTACGTATAACATATAATATGTTATTTTTGTATGTGGAGATATAATATGTTTCAAGATAGTATGCATATGCTTTCATGAAATGATATCTTTTTGTCCTTAGTTATGAATATATTATTGCTGACCTACCAAATAATATTAAGTTAGCCTCCAGCGTGCAAGCTCTGGAGGCAGGTCAGAAAGGCAGTGAAAACAGATATAAATGGTGAAAATCCTTGTTTAGTCCACTAAAAATGAAGAACCTGGCCGTCGCACCAAGTATATACGTCTTAACTTGAGTGTTAACGCTGATAGGGGTATTACGGCGAGTTTTTGAGCTACCCTAACTATATTTTCGGAATCCCCGGCCTTTACTCTTTCCGGTATGCTATATACCGCATCAGTCAAAGATATCGCATAAATCGGTTTCTTAATTTATCGAGCTGGGATTTACTACATGTGTGCTCAAAGGTGGTGCATAGAGCGTTATATAGCTCTAAGAATGTAAATATATATATATTTTTAAATTGCCTGAGTGGCATCATGTGACAGACGACGCGGTGCAGTTCAGGGCACTCGCTCAGAAAGCAACTAAAAAAAAATAGCTACGTGCACAGACTCAATCTTACTCCAGGGTAAGGGTTTTGTACCTCGACGTTCGCAAACCTACTTGCGTCCAGCATTTTTCTGTGTTTTCACGTGATACCCCCGCCGGAGTAACTTGGACCAATTTGGGTAAGATTTTAAACACAGCTGTAGCCATCATACTCACGCTGTTCGGGAAACGCGCGAAAAAAAATGTTGCACCATTCACTAAACCCGCTCCGGCTGACCCAAAATGTTCATCCTGCTTCAAACGCCATTTCCTTGGAAATTGCCTTCTCAAACTTTCCACATGTATCCAATATTATAAAATCTTTGATAAAGTGTTTAGTGCTTCACCAACTTCATGACAAACTAGTTTCGAAAAGCGTGATTTCGGAGGAGGAGGCGGAAATGTGTTTTAAAGGGATACTACAACGACATTTCGGCGCTTATTTTATGGTCTTAATGTGTTCAAAGGAGCAGTATCACATCGGACACACCAGAATCTTGTTCAAAAAGACACGAAAAGGAATTATAAAACAAATTAAATGAGTAGCAAAGAGCAGCTGGTGGATGTCGCTAACGCCTCGTTAGTAATGCCCGTCTAGGAAACTTGAGAGGTAGTGACGGTTATTGTCTCGCCTCTGGCCATGACGAAAGAAGAGGGAAAGAGGAACTCCCCTCTTCACGAAAATACCTTTTGTGTGACCCAGAAGTCGCTATTGTCCCCCTACAAGATTATAGAAGATTAACCCGACACTCAAAATTAGTACAAAAGTAGCCGCTTTGGTGGCTGTAACGACTAGGTCATCCTCTCGACGTCAGCATCGCCGTAGCTTTGCTCGTCCCGAGACGAACTATGTCACGATTGCGTCGAATGTCTCGTGCTCTAAGCTGGGCCTTCTCCGAGCGCTTGCCAAAGTGGGCCGTTTGTAACGAAAAATACAGCCACCAGGCTCAAAAGTACAAACCTGCGATTGTCATTTACGGATATTGTGGGTCATATTCAACCTATTTTTGAACAGATTTCAAATTTCGTTGAAGTATCCATCCCTTTAATCAGCCGTGTTGCGTCGCTCTCCGTGCGTTCGCTGCTCTACATCACACGTCCGACAGGCTGCCTAGAGGGCGCAAGCTTTCGCCCAATTCGGAGATTTCGGATTCAGCTGTATTGATTTCTCTACTATTCATTTAGGAATGCAAATCAACTTTTCGAGGCAGCTGCCCGTGGGTGAGGTTGGAGTCGGTGTGACTTTCAAAGGGTTCTCGACTTCTCGTTCAACAAACAGGTACTGCTTTTAGCACATTTCGTGTATTCGTGTATAACATTGACTAAGAAGGCGCGCACGCAAAGATTAGCGGGAATGCATATTCGTGGAGCCTTGCATGCGCTCATCGGGAAGCAAAACTGAACGGCAGTGATCGTTGGAAGCCCTCTCTTTTAGGAAACGTGCCTGCTTACCTATGAAACTACGGACGAATATACTGCAACGTCTATTTTCCCTCCTGCTCGCGTGAGAGCTAGTGCAGTGATGCGAACCGAAAGAATAAACTACTCGTCGCCGAACGCTCATTTTCCGTCTAAAGGTTGCGCTAGAGGTTCGAACTAGACGCCAAAGTTTCAGCCCGATCCCTCATTCAAAAGTTTTATCTGATTATCTGAAAATTTCAATGGGAAAACGGGGTCTATTTTCGCCCTTTTCCTGTTTCTGGTTCGTGTACTGATAAAGTCCCCTTTTCACTCGCGGATTTTCGGCGAGGACTTGAAAAACATTTACCTAGTTTGGCAAAGGTATACAATTTCTCTTGGTTTCTTGTTTTCGGACTATTAAAACAAAAGTGGCGCATCGTTGCTTTGTGCGTTCGCTAGTTCATTTTGTCGTGCGATGCTTGGTTCCACGCGTGAAAGAAACCTCGGAAACTTTGTCCGGTTGGCGCAAAGCAGGTTCAGGTACTCCTCCGGGTCCGTGTCAAGAAGCTCCCGTCAAAACACGTCTAGCACACTGCAATAATTCTTGCACGTTCAATCAGGCTTTCACCGAGCAAGACCTTTCTTGTGGCTGTGATGTACTGGAGTGCTGTGCACGAGTGCGGAGTGCTTGAAGGCATCTCCAAACGCCCCTCTGCGAGCCCAGAACTTCGTTGCTTCTACGCCGAACCCTTCTTGAGCAGGGCCACGCCTGTGTCACTGTCATGCCTTGGGTTAGAGCTAGTGGTGCTTCGCGCGAAGCCTGTCACAGTGTTTTGCTTTGATCTGTACGTAACAGCGGCATATGATTGTTTATTGCGGTAACAAACATTGATTTCTTTCCTGAACAAGGGTGCCACAATGTAAAGTTAGAGTTTCGTGGCACTGTGGGGTGGCGAATATGTCCGGTCTGTCCTCGCTGGCGTCTGCTCGTCGTCTCCCTCATGTGGATGCGCTTGGGAGTCGGACAAACCGCGGGACGTGTCTTCACATGATCAATTCATCCGCAGATCAGTCCGTCGCGTCAATCGGCCATTAGCAATGAGTCAAAACATGTAAGTTAGTTTATATAGCTACTGCGAAATGGCATTGCGAGATGGCGCCACCGGCCCTTGTGTGACTCGACCTGAACCAATAGATGCAACCGTGCAGTACAGTCTTTTGGCAAAAGTTTAGAGTCCATTGCGGCACGGCCGAAGCGAGCTTGCTTTTTATGTGGCAGCGCCACTACCGTGGGCACTCTCTGAATGCAAGGAATTTTAGAGTGTGGATGAACTGCGCGTTTGCGTCGCACTTGCTTTCATTACAGTCAAATACTTTACTAGGGGGAATATGGTTCATTCTGCTCATTGCTTTAGACAGAGCGACGGCAGCGCCAAAGCCTTTTCTCGTGGCCTGGCTGCTCCCGCTGCTCCTGCCACCGACTTCCCTCCTCCCTTTTTGACAGTCTCCTCCCAGCTTCTTCTCTCAATACCACTCACTCTTTCTCCAAGTCCCGTGGGTGCCCGGCAATCCAGATTCGAGAAAGCCGGAGAACGCAGACGCAAGTAGCGACCGCCATGCGATGCACCAAGTTCGACATAAAAGGTAAACCACACGACCCGAGTGTAACCAGATCATGAACCATTTTTTTTGACCGTCGGGCACTCTGGTGACGCACATCACCCACTTATCGAGTCAGTTACAAGTTGCCTGTGCTAGTAATAGATGTCGTTCCCAGCTCGAAGTTGGTGAAACTGAACAAGCCATTAAGTGCAAGCTGCGTATATGCACCTTGTAATTCAATAAAAGGTTATTTTCAAGTTTCTTTTACATTAAAAAGACCAGGACACCGCGACCGAACAGCGCGCACGCCAAATATGCGGCTGGTAGCGAAAGTGCCTACCCGAGAGATGGCGCTGATTACCGGCCTATCAAAAAGGGAAAACCATGAAGAGTCGACACACTCGGCCATTCAAACGTGCCAGATGCTGTCTGCGCTGAGCCTATTGTGTTCACAACTGTGGCCCGTATTCCCCCTAGTAATGTATTTGATACAGTCGCTCGATAGCGAGTGCGACGCAAGAGCGAAATTCCCCCAACTTTCGAAAACCTCGCAGCCAGGGAGTACCGATGGTGGCAGCGCCGCCGCTTGGAAGAGAGCTCGCTCCGGCCATGTGTGTGGTGGGCTCTAGACTTTTTCCAGAGACTGTACCTACTGGAGTTATCTTACTTAACAGAAAGGGGGAAAATCTGCTTTCCACTTACATTTAGAAAATATGTGTTGCCCGCACCGCGCGTGTTGAAAGGCCGCAGAGCTTCTTTGCCTTTTGACTTGGGTTTCTGCAATATTGAAAGTCCACATGCTTGCATGTACCTTTATTGCCTAAAGAGTATGACTTCTTTTTTTTTTTTTCGACGACTACATGAATTGCACACGTTTGACCCAGTAATAGGGTCGTTCGCCTGAATTCCGCTGCTTGACTGGAGACTGCGGTTGAGGAAAAATGCGAGCACGGCACATAGCTTAGTGCTCAATTTTATTTACTCGTGCATAAACAATGTCAAGAGTACAAAAAGCAGGAAGAAATTAGTAGCTCGTGAGTGTTTTTGGGTTCATGACTGCACTTTTTGCATGAGAGCATAATGTGCAGCTCTTCACCGCAACTTGAAAAAAGTCGTCTGGCTTTGGTAGGTGCATTTCGTGTTCTCATTTAATAAAGCCCTTTCTTTGCCTCACTGCTGTATAGACCTTTTAAATCTAGCAATAAATAATAACATGAACAACAACCCAGAACATGTTTGAGCCGTTTCTTTTGTGACATCTGGTTTTGCACCTGCTTCCTGAGGTATTTACAACGGATACATGGACCCGTCTGTTCACTTGTGAGTGTGCATCTAACACAAAAGTGAGATTTAGTGAACAATATGTATCGGCTTTCATTACTGGGTTTAAGCGCACAGCCCAAGTCACAAGTGAAAGTGTGACATCAAGCACTGCTTCTGCTTTGTCTGACAACAGCATAGCACTCCAAGTGCAATTTGCCCCTCAGGAACACAGAACAGGACACTGGTCCTGGCTGCATTACTAGCTTTGGCAGCAATTTGTGGGATCACCTCTTTTTCTTTGTGCTTGCAAAAGGCCGAAGTAAGCAGTACCCAATTCCACAGAATGACGAAGCTTGTTTCAGCAGGTGTCTGGTAGGTGGCGATGTTTTGTGCAGGTGGTCCACTCTCTCTTCTGCTGTTGATTTACCTGTGTCCTTGCACAAGTTTCTGTCCACCACTTTTGACAGGAGGTTTCTTGGTGAAATACTTCGGCGCATCCGAAAAACCGTAGGGACAGCGTCGCCCTTCAGCTGTGGTCGATCCAGTGGTATTTCAACGATTTCACCACCAGCGACATGCGAAACGTCCCGTCGACGAATCTTGCCTCATAGTAGCAATCACAAACCAGACAGTCGCTTGTCAGCTCTTTGTTGGCTCTCTCTGTTTACCCTGCCCACTGTGTTTGTAAAAGCGTCTTTCAGCAAATGAAACGACTTACATCCACTTTTGCAGCGAGGCACAAAGCACATTCTTCCTTTCGACGGCATAGCATATTTCTAAAGAAATCACGCCCGAAAAATCGCACAGCACGCATGCGGAAATGCAAAACCTTTTCTCAACAAACGGCAGCAACCCGAAGCAAATGTCAACATTTGTGAAACCTAACGCCTCCTGCCAAAAATTGCCACCCGCCCGCTTGGTGTAGCGCCCATAGCGGTCCCCAAAATTTTTATTGCGCCTTGCTCCTCGCTCTTTCTTATTGCACACGTACGGCGCCTATCACGCTTCTCCTTCTAGCCACTGTATCGGAACTTTTCACGAAGGTGTTTCTAGGTGGTGCAGTGATTTTCAAATTTCGTGAGTGTGGGTTTCTGGGAAGCAAAAAACATGTTTCTTTTTATGCATGGGATGGAAAACAGAAGCAAACCGTCGGGTTGACGCTGACACTGACATGGCACCAGATGGTACAAAAACATGAAAGTTTCTTGGAGATGAACAGCCTGTAGCAACTAGGTGTCCGCGATGGCGATGTGGCTCACAGAAAGCGAGCCACACGCAAAGACGCGCACCAGTGCGCGGGTGAAAGAAAAAGAAAAAAAAAGCTCCACGAGATATCACTCGGGCAGGTGGCTCGAGAAAGGTTTCGACGGCTACACCTTCAGCTGGCTGGTTCCCGGTCCGGACGGTATCTGTAAATACATCCTGTAAATAAATGAAAAGCCACCTTGACCACTTCAATTGGTGACCCGGAGACCTCCGAAGACGGATTACAACCTCGACACATCAGTGAATCCATCCGCTGACTAGCATCCATTGCCCTGCCCCAATCCCAGACGCACTTCAGGGTCATGAACCGAGCCGACGGGTCCCGTCACGCAGACGAGCATGGGACATCGGACAGCGTTGTGGACCAGGCATCTCCCGAAAACACAGCACTGGCCACACTACAGGTACGACTCCCACCATTTTGGGCAAAGAACCCTCGATCTTGGTTCGCTCAGGTAGAGGCCCAATTTCACTTGAGGAAAGTGAGCACCCAGCTGTCCAAATACTACTACGTAGTATCCGCCCTGCCACCTGACATCGCTGACGAACTCGACGACGTGCTCGCGGCGACCCCACCTGCAGATGCCTACGACCAACTAAAGGCCGCTATCCTACTAAGGAAGTCAGAATCGACAACCAGACGGCTCCAACGTCTTCTGACAACCGAAGAACTCGGAGACCAACGGCCGTCGCAACTCCTGCACCGGATGCGCCAGCTTCTTGGAGAACAGGCCTCCGACGTAAACAACTCCATCTTACGGGAGCTGTTCTTGCAACGGCTACCGCAAGGCGTTCGCATGGTCCTAGCCCCAGCAAACGACATGTCCTTGGACCGTCTTGCTGAAATGGCTGACCGTGTGGCGGAGTACGCGGCACTGACGCTAGCTGCGTTGACAGAGCCTCAGTCGTCGGCAACCGCCATACATGAACTTCAAGCAAAGGTCGACCAGCTGACAGTGACCGTCGCGTCCCTGCAAAAACATGCCGGTGGTACGCGGCGTTCTTCGCAACACAGCCATTCCCACCAGAGAAACTCATCTTCCGCTCGAGCGCGATCGCCGTCACCAAGACCGAGTACCTGCTGGTACCACCGCAAGTACGGACAGCGAGCCCTGAAGTGTCACCCCCCTTGTGTCTGGCAGGAAAACACCCCGGCCAGTCACTAAAGGCGGTAAGTGACTCCGGCCGACCAGCATGCCGCCTTTTCTACATTGCTGATCGGTTCACCGGCTGCAGACTTCTTGTCGACACTGGCTCCGAAGTGTCCGTCATCCCACCCACAGCAGCAGAGAGAAGACACCTGGATAAAGGCAGAAACCTAATCGCAGCAAATGGATCCACCATACCCACCTTCGGTATGCGATCAATGACTCTCGATCTAGGACTGCGCCGAATTTTCAGGTGGCTCTTCATCATCGCTGACGTCAAGTGTCCCATCTTAGGATCTGACTTTTTGTCCAACTTTAACTTAGATGTCAGCACGCGCCACCGTCGTCTTCTCGACGGTATGACACGCCTGGCTGTAAATGGTATGTCTGCAACCGTTTCATCCCTTGGCATACGTCAAATCGTACCATCTACGGGATTCGCATCTATACTTACCGAGTTTCCTGAAGTCACAAGACCTTCCAACATGGCACAACCGACCAAGCATGGTGTAACTCACACCATCGTCACCTCTGGTCCGGCTGTATACGCACGACCTCGTCGCCTCTCCGGTGAACGATTCCAAACTGCTCGTCAGGAATTCGAGCACATGCTCGAGCTCGGAATCATTCGGCCGTCGAACAGCTGCTGGGCATCACCTCTACACATGGTGCCCAAGAAGGAGCCAGGAGACTGGAGGCCGTGCGGCGATTATCGCGCCCTCAACGCCAACACGTTGCCAGATCGTTACCCTCTACCACACCTGCATGACTTCACAGAGCAACTCAACGGGACCTCCATTTACAGCAAGGTGGACTTAGTAAAAGCTTACCACCACATACCTATCGAGCCAGCTGACATTCCGAAAACTGCTGTCACCACACCGTTCGGATTATTCGAGTTTGTGCGAATGCCCTTCGGGCTTCGAAATTCAGCACAAACATTTCAAAGATTTATACACGAAGTGACACGCGGGCTACCCTTCGTGTTTGCATACGTTGTTGACCTCTTCATCGCGAGCAGTTCCCCGGAAGAGCACGAACAACATCTGCGCTTACTCTTCGGGCAGCTACGCAACTATGGTCTCGTCGTCAACGCAACAAAATGTGTCTTCGGCACGTCCAACCTCGAGTTCTTAGGACACCGAGTGACACCCGAAGGCATTCACCCGTTACCTTCGAAAGTGGAAGCCATCAAGGACTTTCCGCAACCCAAGTCACTTCGTAAGTTGCGAGAATTCTTGGGCCTCGTCAACTTCCATCGACGCTTCATTAACAACTGCGCCCAAATTCTCAAACCCTTAACAGATCTGCTGCGCTCACCAAAAGGTCCCACATCACTGGTCGAATGGAATTCGATGGCAGAGGAGTCGTTCAAGACTGCAAAGCAAGCTCTTGTCGACACGGCACTTCTCGTTTACCCACGACCAGACGCACCCACGAGACTTGTGGTCGACGCTTCGGATGTCGCAGTGGGAGCCGTGCTACAACAGTACAACCAGACGGACTGGTTTCCGCTAGGCTTCTTTTAACAGAAGTTGAAGCCGGCGGAGACACGTTACAGCACGTTTGGTCGCGAACTCTTTGCCATCTATGCAGCAATACGGCATTATAGACACTTCCTGGAAGGCCGGGTTTTCCACGTCCTTACAGACCACAAGCCCCTCACCTTCGCCTTCCACGCTAATCGAACCTCGTATTCGACCCGAGAGACTCGTCACCTTGCTTATATTTCAGAATATACAACTGATCTGCGCCACGTATCTGGAGCGAACAATGAGGCGGCAGACGCCCTGTCACGCGTCGAGACACTCAGTGCGTCACCTGACCTCGACTTCTCCAAACTGGCAACAGCCCAAAAGTATGACGACGAGCTGCAGAGACTCCAAGAGTCCTCCACCTCACTGCAGCTTCGACCTGTACCTCTACCACTTGCAAACTGCGATGTGGTATGCGACACCTCAACGGGTACGCCCCGACCGTACATCCCGCCCATTTTTCGACGCCCCATCTTTCACTCCCTCCATGACCTGAACCATCCTGGTATTCGTGCAACCCAACGACTGATCTGCTCGAGATATGTCTGGCCCATCATCAACCGGGACATTCGCCTCTGGACGCGGTCTTGCACCTCTTGCCAACGCTCCAAGATTCAGCGTCATACAAAAAGCCCGCTACATATTTTCAAACCACCAGACGCCTGCTTCGACCACGTGCATGTCGATATTGTCGGACCCCTCCCACCATCCCAAGGGTGCCGATATATCCTTACATGCGTGGATCACTTTACCAGATGGCCAGAAGCGATTCCAATTACGGACATCACCGCACAAACCGTGGCACAAGCGTTCATCACCAACTGGATTGCGCGGTACGGCTGCCCTTCTATCGTCACCACGGACCATGGTAGGCAATTTCAAAGTTCATTTTTCGCATCACTGGCAAAAATGCTTGGAATGTGCCACATCCACACGACAGCCTACCATCCGTCCGCCAACGGCATGGTCGAGAGACTACACCGGCAACTCAAGGTCTCGCTCATCACAAAGGACGACAGGACCAACTGGGTGAACCATCTTCCTTTGGTGCTTTTGGGCATCCGGGCCACTTTGAAGGAAGATGTTGGATGTACAGCTGCTGAACTAGTGTTTGGAACAACACTGCGACTTCCTGGCGAGTTCCTTACACACCTGTCCACTCCACCACCCGACCTTCCTTCGTATCTTCAAGATCTACGAGACCTGCTATCCTCTTTGCGACCGACCTTGCCTCGACAACAAACACCACGGAAAATTTTCATTCACACAGAACTAACAACATGTACACGTGTGTTTCTTTGTCGTGACTCCGTGCGTCCATCCTTAACACCACCCTACGACGGCCCATTTAAAGTCATCGCCCGAGACAAGAAGACTTTCACCATCATCATCAACGGACGAACCGACGTCGTGTCCATTGACCGGGTAAAACCTGCTTTTATGGCAGCCTCAATTTGCGACACTGCATGCGTGTTTTCATCAGTCACCTTGCAGAAGCTGCAAGACAACACTCGCAGGCCTGATCAAGAACCCTCCAACAAACAAAAAACTGTTTCGTGGAGCAAAACTCTACTCCTCCACTAGGGGGGGAAGACTTGTAGCAACTAGGTGTCCGCGATGGCGATGTGGCTCACAGAAAGCGAGCCACACGCAAAGACGCGCACCAGTGCGCGGGTGAAAGAAAAAGAAAAAAAAAGCTCCACGAGATATCACTCGGGCAGGTGGCTCGAGAAAGGTTTCGACGGCTACACCTTCAGCTGGCTGGTTCCCGGTCCGGACGGTATCTGTAAATACATCCTGTAAATAAATGAAGGGCCACCTTGGCCACTTCAAGCCTAAAGCAGTTCCAGCAAATCCTAGTGTGTCTGATGTGATATGCTGGTAGCAGCATCAGCACAACGGTTTGCTTCCGTTTGTGAGTGTAGCTTCCACTACACTTACAAAACTCAAATATAATAATGCAACTTATTTATAAAAAAAATTGACTCTAGAGTTTGAGAGAACCCTGTAGGGTCTAGCACTCTGCCATTTCTGAATCAGTAGAGTCACTGACTTAAAAAACCAGTGGCATGAGAGTTGGGTCAGTTAGTCTATCACCACTGATTGTCCGAGTGCAGCAATGTATGCAGTTGCGGGAGTTGGTGCGTGATGTGAATAAATAAAACTGCAAAAAAGGATGCAAGCCCTTCTGGAAATGAGAAAGCCCATTCACTCTGACAACATGGTCAGGCTCAATGTGCAGTGTAGAATTTAGTAGCACCAATGTGCACAACTTAGCGCTCGCTCATTGATGCTTTTAGGAACACTGCTGAGAAGCTGCAGTCTGGCAAACGGGGCAGATTTTCGACTGAGGTGCAGCCAACTTCAGGGAGAGAACCTTATGAGCACCAATGTGCATGATAGCACCTAAGAGCACCAGTATGTAGATTGCTCATTGGTGCCCTTAGAAACGTTGCAGCGAAGGTGAACTTCCGGGAAAGATATAGTTTCTAATGTAGGTGAAGCCTACCATAGGGAGATCTTGAGGAATCTTGGACTTCGAAATTATGGCATTTTGTACCAAAAATTGTGCAGATTGAATGCACTTCCTGGAGATTTGGTGTAGGAGATCAGTCTAATCTGATAAGAAATTACAGAGGATTCTGATTTGCTCTGTTGGAGAACAACACGAGTTTGCACAACTTGGCAACTAACTGGGTGCTCACTGTGTATGTAGAAGGGCAGTTTTAATCGGGGCGGAATTAGTTTTACCCAAACTTCAAAATGAATTTTCCAGTTCATATTGGAAGTGAAGAAATGCTATCACATTTAAAAGAAAGAACAGAGTCAAGCAGGGTTCGAACCTCGTTTCTTCACATGGGAGCCGCGCTCGTCAAATCTGCCATGTATGTGGCAACATGACCGAATTGCATTTCTTTCTCCGTTTTTTTCTAGGTGTTGTCTGCTGCCCTCCTGCAGTCTTAATTTAGTATGCTGACTACACGACTGCACGTAAGTACAACACTCTTTTGTGTCAAACTGGGCAGTGGCAGGGGTGTAGCTCAGGATGCTTGGGTTCTGCAGTGCGCGATTTCAATCCACATGCTGCACAGAGCTGCTGTGCGTTACCCACTTGGCTATCGATTTGACAGAGTGGCATTTGATGAAATGGGTTGGTTCAAGTGGTGTTAAAAGAAACTGAGGGTCTCACCGTTTATTACATTGGTAGGGTAATTATCACTTCTGTGTGATGTATTTTGAAGAGCCGCATTTAGCAGTTTTATCGATTTTGTCAAAGCGCCCTTCAACTGAGTTGAAGTGTAATTGCTTGTGACTCCTCAACTGTAGATGGATCACGGTTTCTGCTAGTTCATCGTGACTGGAGAGAAAATTCAGTTGTGGTTTTTCGTGTCGATTTGATGAGTGTCAGCACATTTAGTACCTTGAGAAAAGAGAAAAGAAAATTTAAACACTCAAAACACTCATTGTGATGCAACGACTTTGATTACAACGATGCACTGAAACTGCCAAGTGATTTGTATTGGTGCCAAATTTGTCTTAACTGATTAGATGTTTATCGTACTGGCTGTGCGACAGAAAACAAACAGGTGGTTTTTAATTTACCTTCAAACTTCAGGTCCAGTGCCATTAGCCACCACCCATAACTAAGCACACAGACATTTTATTTCCTCATCCATTTTTTATTATCTCCAAATTTTAAAATCCTGGGTGTGTTTTGTACGTGTTATTCCATAGCTGTTTGATTAGCTTGATTCACTTGGAGGCCGTGCTCACTTTGTTCTTAATTACTATCATTGCTCTATCCATTTAATCGTAGGCGTCTCGAGTGGTCTTCTGCGTTCTTCGTGATCTTTCAAGCCTCCTTACGAGCCTGACAGCAGACAACAATTAGAATGGAACCGGTACAGACATCAAGTCTCGGTAAGTTCTTTGTTTCAAGCTGTTCTATAAACACAACAGTGGCGGTATCTAGACTACTGGCGGTCATTGCCTAGAGTAGCACTTCTTGTACAGCTGTCGATAGACTCCTAGGGTTCCACGCCGATTCAGAAATCCTCCACCAGGGAAGCATCCTCAGTGGAGCTCAGATGAAGATGTGCAGGGTGATGTAGGCTTGGCTTCAATTGGAGGAAGGCAAGCAGTAAATAAGAAATTTAAAAAAAGGTTCTACTAGCTATGGAGAACAAAAGTTGGGCGAGTTAAATGTTGGGTTCCTAGACACATTTGCATTGCAAGTACGGCCTCCAGGTGCCGCCATCTTTCTGCTGGGTTGTGTAGGTCGTCTGCTGGTCAAGCCTTGCCGCGGCGTGCCTAGCGCCACTGTCTGTTCTCTTGAGGGGAGCGGAATGGTGCCAGTGATTGATGTTTGAGTTTGCTAACAATCCACGCACCCTATTGGCTCATGGCGATCATGCGGGCAAAATTTTCCCCCACTTTCACAAAAGGTTTTAGTCTTCACGGCGGCAGCATTTGCGTGGTATCGGCAGTCATTGTTTTCGCTACATTTTGAGCGTTTGATGCCAGGGTGTTGTGCTTTCGGGTGTAATAACCGGCATGTGGCTGGAAAATCGCTCTTTCGTATCACGGCGGGCGAGAAACACTGCACACTATGACTTTTGTGGCCGTCGTGGATCAGTATAACAGGCTTCCCTCGCAACTCTTGTACTCAGCTGTGCAAGGGAAGTTATATTCTTGCGATAATTGGTGTAAAAGTTTGAAGAACTAAACGAGCACAAACTGCAATGTTGATTCTGACGAAGACCAGTTTTCTGGACGCCAGAACGACGGCAAACGCAAGCTAGCGCAAAATACAGTGCCTTCGATCTTCGCCCAAAAATTACGAAAGGCTCTCTTTTCTGAGGAGCCGAAAAAAAAGTTACGGAGGCTCCTCTTTTCGGAGGAGCCAAGAACAAATGTATATTGTATTCGTAGCATTTAAAAGCTACGCGTTAATCGACTGCTGCTGTAAACATATGCCGCCAGCTCGCCGTGAATTTCTCTCATCGCACTACTGTACCATGTTTCCCACGTGCATATACGATAACGCATTGCTTCTCATGCATTGATTATATGCTGGTTTCATTCTGCGCATGTGACTTGATTAGCTTGTCTTAGCTTGGAGCACACAGAACGAAAGTTCGCGCTGCGGGACCCAGGGATTCTTGGCTCCAGCCCAACCGTTTACCAGTTCCGATCTGGACGAGCACCATATGGGCATGCCTTCGTGTATCCCTGCTGCGTAATGCACGTTAAAGACCTTAGGCTAGCAGTCATACTGCGCTGACTAACCGAAGAAACGCCACGAAAAGTTATCGGCAGTGCCGCAGAGCCGACACTTACTCACCACCGAGCCCGCTGTGTCGTCTGCTACTTTAAGGTGATTTGGGCTCAAAACAAGACTTCTGTGCTCGCTCGGACCATAAAAAGTGATGTAAGCACTTTGAGAGTGCTTACCTATGATATTAAAAACAATTTTCCCACGATCAATAGCCTAGATATAACGGAACCCCCCCTTGCTTCTATGCCCGATACATCCACCGTGCAAGAGGTTGAGCCTTTTTGGCATTCCCCGCTAGTCGCTGAGTTGGGGTGCTACAGTTGGCGTTACTCTGCTCCCTACGGGAGCATATATACAAAGGCGCTAGGCGTGTCCAGAGTAGTTGCCAGGTTGATGTTTCAATATTTCTGGGCTTTCGGTGCATAGCTGCTCCCAAACGTACATATACCAAGGCGGTGACAGAGAGGATAGAGAGAGTGGTATGGTTTCTGGCCACCAGATACAGTGCTAGACTTGCATTGGGAAAGAACTGGCAGGATATAAAGACAGTGAAGAAAAGCTAGAAAAGAGAAGTGGTTGGCAACAAGGGAAAATAAGCCTATGCAGAAATATAGAGCAGAGAGCTGTAAGGATAAAATAGAACATTTTAGACAATTAAGGGCGAGTTTATTGCCCTTAATACGCGGGTGCTGAAAACCTGGTCCTGTGGGTTAAGATATGGGCTGACGGATACAAAAGCGGCAACATTGAGGGAGACGAATGAAACAGGGCAGCATGTAAAGTATGGTAAATCCAGTAAGCACGTAATTTGGTAGAGGCACAGCACCAGAGAGGTTATTGCAGGGGGATAGAGTCCAGTAGAGTTAAATAAAAACACTTAACATTCAATTCTCTCTAGAAAGGCAGAGCGTGCTGTTTCCATGGGTGGAACATGCCAAAATGGTTACAAGTTTATTGACGTTCTAAGTGCTTAAAGTGGGGCTAAAACAATAATAAGGAAGGAAGGCTCGCAGATTTTTGGTCAACTGGGAGCTTTGGGTGTGTTCTATGTTAAAAGTGGAGTGTGGGATGCCAGACAGATGGGTTTTGGAATGCTAAGGTACAAAAGCTGCATTCTGGAACATAATTGAGCAAATGTTTGCATTTGCCGCGGTGCAGGTATGCGGTACAGTCACGCCTGCTTACAACGAACCCCTTTGTTATGCAAAGAGCGTTTGCTTTAACAGGGTGGTAGTGAACCAGCGCAACAGCGCGGTGTATCGCACCGGTCGACCCATTCCAAACGAGGAGGAACTGCCAAAGTCGTCAGTCTTATTCGTTCTCCGTACCCCTCTTTTAGCGTAAACACCTCCGCGGCAATCGTTTTAGTTGTCGGGACTTTTTACTATGGAAGGAGTGCACAGACGCCGAAGCATCTAGGCTCACCAACACCACGGCTTAACCGACTAACCAAATGGCTTGACTGCCCTCTTGCTGTAAGCAATCCAATGCTGGTATAGTTTGTTGATGTTGTCATCCTGGTGATAGTCTTCTTATTGACGTGGTATTCAACACACAACTGCAAACACGGTGGCGGCGGCGGGGCGACCGGCGGGATGGGATCGAGCGGACAGCATGGTCATGTGGTAGTCCGGTCCTCGGACACCTTGATTAAGCTAGATCATAAAGCCTTGACGCCACCAAGTGGTGAAGCTCATGGCTTAGGTATGCTTGACCGTGCCGAGGCTGATGACATTCGGGCGCGACGGATATCCCAAAATTCACTATGCTCCTTAATGGCTGATCTTAAAGCGCTCGTAAAAATCTTTCATTTAGAACAAAAAATTTAGTAATCCGTTCAAAAAACAAGCCTGTGATTATCCTTTACAGGTATTGATTCTTTTTTTTTTGCTTTTCCTAAATTTGGTTGTCTGCAAGTTACTTGGTATACACAAACTTATCTCTGTTACGTCATGGCGCGGTGGTGGCGCGTCGGGCGCACTTCCGGTCTGAGGCTGTGGGTGGACGTCCCCATGCCAGACGTGTATTCCTGCGTTGTTTTGAAAGGAACCAGACAAAAACCTGCCTTCTTGTCAAAAGCCGCGACTGGGACTGTATTAAAAGAGTCTAGAAAGGTTTGAAGGTCAGCTTTCATGTGCTCGGTTCGTCCAAGGACTTGGATATGCGCTGTGAAAAGGGAAAACCAGATGCTGTCGGACCACGATTGCTTGGGCAGGAAGCGCTTTGGGTTAAATTCACGGATACTTGGGGTCAACAAATTTATTTGTTTTGTTCAAACATGAGCGCCGAGAACAGTCAAGTTTTACGGACCACCTGTGGACTACGTTGAGTGTGTCTTTAAGTTCAAAGGGCCACCTGATCGTTTGAACTGTCGTGTGCTCTTTCAAATGTTTCTGCTTGTCGTCTGCTCTTTTAGACGACGCCGGCCTGTTGGCCAAATGTTAGCCCAGTACTTGCGATAAGAAGTGAGTGCAGGCCTCAAAAGGCTTAGTTTGAAGGTTAGTAAGCGGGTTCAGTGTAAACAGTAGATACAAGGAGATGTTCATCATTGTTACCAGTGGCCGTCACCGACTTGTTATGCCTGATTCACTTGGTCTGATTCTGCTTGCGATTTTCAGTGTCGACATCGACCGTCTCATCTACGGTTCACGCTTTTGCAGCTCAATCGACGTCGCGACTGAAAATTACGAGCGAAATCTCATCATGCGAATCGGGCTTTAGCGCCCACTCTGCGGCGTCCTCGCGGAATGAATCGCCGCATGGTCCCATCATTCACGCAAAGTTTTGCAGTGTAAAGAGCCTCGGTAATTTCACTGAGGCCGCTCAAGTAGTCGTACATTGCCAGGAAGACGTAGAATCAACAATTCGAACGCGAAAAAGGGCAGGGGGACTCATGTCGACGCCGACATCGCATTTCAGTGGTTTGTTTATGGGTGACGGCGAGCTTCTTGCCCACACTCCATTGTTCATGCGCGGCGCTGGTGGTGTCCGCTAGGGGCGCTCCGGTTTGCTTGTAAACATAAGTTTCTGTATATGCCTTCGGCCTTTCTATTGTACGTCAAACCCATTTATATCAAACTCGCAAAAACACTTCTACCAGTTCGATATAGCGGGTAATTTGATATCAAAGTTTCAATGAATTTGACAACAAACAATCCCGCCACCTTTAGAAAAATTGTTTACTCTCAAAGGAGCATCTGTATGTCATGACGTGCCAACGCGGCTATCCAGTGGCCGCTTGGTATTTTAAGTTCTCACCAGCTTACCCTCTCCCCGCTTCCTCCACAAAAGATTTTTTTTTCTTCAATGCAATCAACGTGGCTGCTCAAAAAAAAAAAAAAAAGCTGGCTTTCTTTAGCGCTCGTCTGCACTAAGGAAAAGCCAGCTTGCAGAGCAAAACAACGTTCTTGGCAGTTCGATATATCGGGAGACGCTGTAATTTTCGTTTGATATAACCACATTTTTCGCTATGCTTTTTCATTGTAGCTACTAGTCGGTTCAGAAATAGTTCGATATAAAAGATAGTTTGAATTAACTGGGTTCAATATAATCAGGTTTGACTTTACTCCCCATCTCTCGAGGTAAAAATAAATTGAATGAAATGAAATAAAAGTCTCAATTTATTTATGGATGTTTTGCACCTATTTTATTTTTAATTCGGTATCCCTCGAAGCTTCTTTAACATGCAAAGGAAAAAAAACTTTTCTTTTTAAAGAGGCTAGATGGAAAAAGAATATTATAAAGCAAATTTACAATGAAGAAAAAAAATTTAGAGCTATATTTACGGCGCAAAACGAATTTGTAGTTGGCGCCCGCGGGAGCCGTTGCTGGTCACGCGGTAGGCTCGCGCGCCGCCTCGCTGCGTTGCTGCCGCCGCAAAGTCACACCGCCACCGCACGCTGAGCGTTGTGCGCCGCAGCTTCCAACGCGTTTCTCCACGCTGCCGTCGCCGCCGCCGTCACCGCCGCCGCGCAAGTTCATCTGCTTCGGGGCGCCGCCACCGTCATCTGAACGGCGCACAGGTCTATCACGTCTGCTGGCGCTTTGTCAGGAGTTTTCTTTGGGCTCTAAAAGTATACTTCAAACAAAGATGAATAAGTTACTTTTGGAGGCCAAAAGAAGCTTCCGAAAGAGTGCAAAGAAGCAGTGATTGTGTCTGCAAGGACGGTTGCAGGAAATTTAAAAACAAAAGTTGCTAACTGAAAATGTTCATAACCTCTTGGTCATCGGAAAGTTTGCTATCAACGCAAGAAATCCAGCTTCCGTAATGTCCCGAGATATATCCCACTTAAAATCGAAAGCAGTGCAACTAAGGGGAGTGTGATCAAAAATTTAAAGAAATATTGTAGCGAGTCCAGGAATGCTCCAAGGCAGCATAAACATCGGTCTCTGTTGGAACGTGAATAGTGGTTTCCAATTGCCGACTGATTTTTTGGAAATCTCTACCAGACCACTACTGCCCGTAATGTTAAGGTGTATAAGCTACTGAAATTTCGGATGGTGTTTTTAACTCATCGCTCGATTTTTCACGTCGTTGTCCCCAAGACAGTTCCGCCAGATATCGAGTCGTCCTCATTTTGCTTTTGTCTTGTGACCTCAGTACCACAATTCACCCTTTTCCGGCATGCCGGTTCGAGGGTATGCAATGCACGTGTTGCCAGGCCGGATTAGACTGGGGGGAAACAAGGCTGCCATTTTACTTGACGCGAGTGGCGCTGTGCATTCTTGGTGTGCTCGGACAATGCCAAAGCGCTGTGTTGCATTTGGATGTCAAAACCAGCACTGACCAGGACAAGTTTCTTTTCTCTTTTTTTTTTTTCGGTTTCCTTCTGGCACATTTGACCTTGACGGAAGACTTGATGGATTCCGTAGCAAAATATTGATTAGGTAGTCTGACACCATATTAAATCACCCAACAAGAAACTAAAAAGATATTTTTGGGAGGGTGTTAGTGTCCCTTTAGTGTTGTGCCTTGTCCCACGTGTGTACAAGAACGTAGCTTTTTTGCATATGCATTCAATTCTAGAACATAAAAAGCTATTTCACAACTAGCACCAGATACATAAAAAGGTTAAGTGCTATAAGCTAAAAATTCATTCAGCAATTGTCAACAATCAAAGAAGTGTTCTTTGGTCAATGCTGTTCATGCTAATAAAATAATTAATAGAGTGAATTGTATTTAAAAACTTTCACGACCGAAAAAAAAGACAGCGAGATATTAAACCAATCAGTTGAAGCTGCACTGTAACAATGGCTTTATAAACCAATGGGGTATGTGGGTTGTGCTTCCTTTTGTCTCCAAATACACAAAGTATTTTATTTTAGGTGATGAAGCTGCACTGTTGGGGGAGACCAGCTGTCCTCTGAAAGCCACCGAGGACATTTGGTTTGGGTGCTGTTCCTGCCCCTACTTCACCAGAGACCAGCGGGGAATTGTGAGCCACCTGGTTGCCCACGGCAATGAACCAGTCAAGTGCCACCATTCTTCCACGCCTTCTGACTCTGGCTTCAAAATGCACCCCTACACTGAAATGCACAGGGGAGAAAAGTTCTTTAAGTGCAGTTTGTGTCCTGAAGTTTTTGCTCGGAATTCCTGTCTGACTGAGCATAATCAAACACACGCAGGTGATAAACCTTATAAATGTATGCTGTGCCCCCAAACCTTTGCTCGCCATGACTCTTTGATAACCCATACTAGAAAACACAGTGGTGATAAACCTTATAAATGTATGCTGTGCCCCAAAACTTTTGCTCAGAGTTCTTCTTTGAGACAACATAATCAAACACATAATGGTGATAGACTTTATAAGTGCAAGCTGTGCCCCAAAACTTTTGCTCAGAGTTCTTCTTTGAGACAACATAATCAAACACATAATGGTGATAAACCTTATAAGTGCAAGCTGTGCCTCCGAGCCTTTTCTCAAAATTCCCATCTAAAGTCTCATTATCGAACACACAATGGTGATAAACCTTACAAGTGCAAGCTGTGTCCTCAAGTCTTTGCTCGGAATTCCACTCTGACCGAGCATAATCGAACACACACCGGTGAAAAGCCTTTTAAGTGTAAGCTGTGCCCTATGGCTTTTGCTTACCAAAGCAGTCTGACCCAACACACTCGAACACACACAGGTGAAATGCCATTCAAGTGCAATCTTTGCCCTCAAACCTTTGCTTGGAGTTCCTCTTTGAAGACCCATAATCGAACACACACTGGTGAGAGGCCTTACAAGTGTGAGCTGTGCCCCAGAGCCTTTGCTCAGCATTATGTCCTGATCCAACACAATCGAACGCACACGGGTGAAAAGCCCTTCAAGTGCAAGCTTTGCTCCCGAGCCTTTTCTCGGAATACTCATTTGAGAAGGCATAGTCAAACACACTGTAGTGATAAACAGTGTTGAAAAACCTGATAAAGGCAACCAGTGTCGAAAACGAACAGGTGAAAAAACCTGCTCTTGTTTCAGATTTCTTTGCACTTGCTCAAAGTGTGGTCCTTTGAGGTGTAATCTAATATATTTTTAAAGATGGTTTCATTCTTTTGTTGTTGTTATTTCCTATATATGTAGAATGCAAAACTTGCATTGAATGCCTATGTGACTAAACTTTAATTTCCCTGTTTTTCAATCAAAAGATAAAAAAGGATTGCAGTTTCAACATCCAGTTATTTCTTTTAGATGCAGGTTTGGTACGGAAATATTTGTTGAGTAATGTTTTAGAAGGTTCCATTTTTGACATCCTGTACCATATGGCATCTCATCTTAGCAGTTACTTTTGGGGGAGACCCGTTGCCAAGTGTGTGTATGCAAGCGCCTTGTGCCCCAGATTCTGGGACTGCTAGTTGAATCCCTCGCCCAGCAGGTTTTGCTGTAAATCAACATTGTACTTTTCTTAATACATAGTGTGAAATTCGTTTTGTGTGTAGTGTGAAATAGTTTGAAATGCTAAGGGGGCAGTCGCCCCTTACAAAACATCTTCGCTTGTTGTTTTTCTTTTTGTTTTGTTTTTTACATTTGTTTGAAGGATGCGAGAACACCCTTGTCGACTGGAACTGGCCAGTTGACTGAGATGATGTACATCCGCCACACCTCACACATTACTTCAAGTTCTATCATCTCTCTTTGGAGGATAATGTTAGCGGTCGCTTTGAGGTCTTTTTGGTTTAGGCGGCACCATGTGACACGGTGGCGACGGCCGCGACATAATCTGGGCGCCATCCACCACGACTTTCATGGTCGCTTCCACCACCTAAATTATCGCCCTCTGCCTCCCCCAAACCAGTAAGTGGAAATGCCCCCCCCCCCCCCTAGAATTAATATCTGGAACGACCTCTGCTCAAGCGCTACTGCCAAAAGCAGCATCAAGGGCCCTTCACAACTAAGCGAGCAGAACAGTCAGGGAAACAGCATCAGTCATGAGCTGAACCATCCACTGCTGCCGTAAGTGCATCGGTGCCCCCCCGTCCACTGATGTAACTGGCTGGTTCCACGAAGTGAAAGTTTGGCTGCAAAATATATGGCATGCCAGAAGCCACTGCCGATATCAAAGACTGCTTGGATGCGGTTCAACCTCAACACCAAGAATATAAGCACATGGAACGACATAAAGTCAGCATTTTGGCGGCACTATAATTTAGAAAGCCCTGTCACAAGTCAAAGAGTAATGTTTGTTCGGAGGCAGTAGTCTCCTACGGAAGTGCGCATTGAGGATGCCATTGAGAAGCTGCAGCTGATAGAGGAATGAACCTTCGTGGGCTGCTTCTTTAATTCCTGTACAGCGAGGTGGATGTATTTTGACAGCATTTGCATATCCCTTAGTGATTTGCTCAACTCCTTTATGAACTCCTTGGATCAGGCAAATGGGAAGGTCAAGGATGTGAAAGTGAAAACTTCTAAGTTTAATATTTTCACAAAACAACAGAATAACTCTGCCTTTTTGTCAACACTGAGCAGCAACAGCAGCCAGAGGAACTCCTTCAGGGGCGAGCTGCCGTGTGTTCTGAGAATGACGAACCACATTTGAGCCATAGCACCCCAAAAAATTTCTATTGCCAGAAAGATGTAGCCTCGATGGAGATGCAACAGAGCTCCAGTCAGGAAGTTTTCGAAATTTGACTGAATTGCAAGCAAGAGGGGCATTTTGTTACATAGTGCCCTCTGACGCAGGAATTATTTTAATGGCAACGTGCATTTTAAGTTGTGCCAAACATTGGAAATGATCAGGAAAACTTCGGTCTGGTGTCATCAGGGCCTGGAGGGAGACACCAGTAGTGTCTTCCTCCAGGTGTCTCCCTTCTTTTGGGACATCCTACCAGCAAGGCAAGCAGCGAGACCCACAACTTAAAAAGTTTTAAAGCAGCAATTGAACGGTACTCGTTGAAATTGCATCCTATACTCGTCGACGCAGGAACAAGCATTTTCAAACTTTGGGCGATAAACTCTTCTCCGAGGCCATCCAAAATACCTGAGAAGGCATCCTTGAACATAGCAGAAAGAGTAGCAACTGTGAAAACAATTCACTTATCTTTAACTGAATAAGAATTGTTTCTTCAATGTTTAGGTTTTTTGGATCCACAGAGCCAGGAGGACATTGCAATAGTTTGCAGCGAAACCCAACAAATAACAGTGGATGGTATGAGTGACCCTCGCTGAGTCGTGAGGAGCTGAAAGAAGCAAAAAAGCTTTTGGAGAACTGGCGTACTGTATATTATCTAATTTCAGTAGTTACCTGGGCAGGGGATTGATTCGTGAACATGCGTATTCACTGCAATATTTTGTTAGCCTGGTTGGCGATTGCTAGTTAAATTCCCGCACCGCCTAGCCTGTTTCGCATTGAATTGGCATTGTACCAGTGTTTGTGTCATCAGAGGGGGGGTGCAACGATTTCAAAATAAAAAGAATTTGCATCTCATTGTTTTTACGTTAGCGTGTCCCAGAGGGTAGAGAAAACATCTCATTCATTCAAAAATGTTGCGATTAAGCTGCATAATAACAAAGCAAAAGTCAAACCTTTACCCCCCACCTGCAGCTGCAAGTGGCAGCTTTTGTGACCTCGGTCGGCTCTAAGCTGCAACTTAACGCCCGCTAATCTCAGCAGAGAGAGGGAGAGGAAGCGTCCTCCGAGAGAGCACACGGGAAGCTACACGGCACCCCGAATTACGTCACTAGGTGGGGACCAGGTGTGACCCTGAAGACTGGAAATGAGTACAGGGGTGCCAGAAATGCCAATATTTATCCTTTTTTTACGCAACAGCTAGGGCACTCAGGCGAAATCGGTTTTCCGTTTTTTACTTCCAAAGTGTCAGAGGGCAACTTCTACAAGTTTTTGACTGAAGTCCATAAATCCTTGCACCCCCCCCCCTCCCTTTAAAGGGATACTTCAAAAAAATTTGAAATATTCCCGTCGTGTTCAAAAATAGGTTGAATATGATCCACAATATTCGTAAATGACAATCGCACATTTGTATTTTGATCCTGGTGGCTGTATTTTTCGTTATAAACGGCCCACTCTGGCAAGCGCTCGGTGAAGGCCCAGCTTAGAGCACGTGACATCCAACGCAATCGTGACGTAGGTCGTCTCAAGACGAGCAAAGCTACGGCAAGGCTGACGTCGAGAGGATGGCCTAGTCGTTCCAGCCACCGAAGCGGCTGCCTTTGTACGAATTTTGAGTGACGGGTTAATCTTCTATAATCGTCTAGGGGGACAATAGCGACTTCTGCGACACACAAAAGGGATTCTCGGGAAGAGGGGAGTTCCTCCTTCCCCCTTTCTCTCGTCGTGGCCGGAGACGAGACAACCTCCGTCACTAGCTGTCAAGGTTCCTAGACGAGCATTACAAACGAGGCGTTAGCGACATCCACCAGGTGCTCTTTGCTAATCGTTTAATTCGTTTTAAAATTCCTTTTCGAGACTTTTTTAACAAGATATTGGTATATTCCATGTGATACTGCTCTTTTTAACACATATAGACCAAAAAATGAGAGCCGAAATTTCGTTGTAGTATCCCTTTAATGCCGTCTAATACCTTTTCAAGGCTGCATTGACGGAAGGTGTAGAGATCTTTAAACTGACTTTGGCACACTCATACCTAAAGGGTTTTCACCTTTCTTCTCAACACTGGCATTTTCATAATCATGTATTTATATGACACCTGCTTTGAGACATCACTATAGTTTTCACAATATTTTGTTGCTGTATGTTTTTGTTCCTGAGTGTTTCAGTGTTGCCTGGCCCTTTGTATCGGAATTCTCAGACCGCAGGTGTTATTGTACACCAAACAATACCTTTGGCTTGCTTTTTGTATAGTGCTGGATACTTGCTGGTTTCTATGCTTCCCTAATGGCAAACCTATTTTTTTGTTTTAACAAACTGAGGTGAGTAATACCAGCTAAGTCTCAAAGAATGCAGATTGAGCTATGATTCTGTTTGGGTTACAATGTCGTCTGAATTGTTGCTCTGCATTTATTTATGCATTGTGCAATACATTTGTAAACATAGCTTCATTGCAGTTTGCTTCTTTATATGATACATGTGTAATCAGACTTCTTTTTCGCTGCTCCTTCAAAATAAAGTTTTATAATTCAAACTTCACAATGTTTTTTTTTTCTTTTTTTTAGTTACAGATTTTATTTGAAACAGATGTGCCTCTGGCAGGGTAGCTGTTTGGAAAGTTCCTAATTTGCCATCCTGCACCATTCTGGGATTTCACTGTAGCAGTTGTGTCACCAGAAAATTGACAGCCAAGAGGATGTGCATATTCCAGCACATGGAGTGTCGGTTTGTGCTGCAGGTTGTGGCACTATTCCTGTTCCTACCTTCCAGGAGGTTTGGATATCAGGTGGTGGTGCAAAACATATCTATAGCACTCTTGATGCCATCTATAGTGGAAGCCAAGTCTAACTATATTAGTGTAAGAACTATCGATAATTGACTGTCATAAATATAATGTGAACGGTCAACTATTGGGATACTATCATTGTATACTATCGATAGTCGACTTTTGTGAAACTATAAATAGTGTCTTATCGATAGTCGACTATTATGAAAGGGCTGACAGCCGATTACGGAAAAGCTATTGATGGTATTTTATTAGGTAATGAAGAAAGTATGCCAAGAGTCCATGTGGGACATGTGGAGGTCGGAGAAAAATGCAACTGTGATTGGGAACTTGTGCATAATTATCCAGGAGGAATCTAAAACCTACTGGAAAGCTATATGAACACAGAAGAAATCCTTAGAACCTGTTAACAACAAACCGTTGGTTGTATACTGCAAAAAAGCTATGAAAAGAACTATTCATAGTGAAAAAATGTTTATCTTTCTTTATAGGTTGTCAACATTTTTTTTCTTTTCTTAAATTTATTTTTGGGAATTTACCTTTAGTTGTTTTGATAGGAACTAGCATAAAAGTCCAAATGTCTTTGTCGCCCTTGATTGGTAAACCCTTAAAAGTCCGAGATACTGATTGAATACAACTGTAGCAATTGGGATTGAATGCAAAGGTATGGAGACATGACTTCTCTAAAATAAAAAAAACAGGATTTTTTTTTTATACCAAAAAGGTTGCTAGAAAGATTGCATTTTACATTCACTCGTTTCTTTTTACTGAAAAAAAAATGGCCTCATTGCCAACAATATTGTTACTTAGATCACGGAAAACTTTTGTTTTTATCTTCTTTTTTTTCGATCCAGTTAACTTTATGTTCCTTAAAGGGGCACTGACACATCAAAATCATATTTTTTTTTTATTATCCGAAACGATTGAAAACGATGCCGGGACATTACCCTCAAAATTTGAAATTCGGGAGTTCAGTATTTGTGAAGTAAAAAAACAATTTCCAAATGCCGAATTCGAAGTTCCCGCGCGATCGGCGCCGGTGCCTTGACGTCAAAAATGGCGGAGACCTGAGAGTCGACTTTCTTTCACCACTCCCTGCTGTTGCCACGGCGACCCAAAGCGAGGAGGAAAGGAGTGAGCGGCGGCGTTACGGCGGACCGGTTTTGAGCGGTGTCGCCTGTTTTCCGTTGGAGGATACAAATCCAGGAGACGGCACCACAACGAACTCCCGATTTTTGGTATTTCAAAAAGAAGGGCCGTAGTGCGTTCGCAATTGCGTTAAAAAACATGTTTTACGATTGCCGTAATTAAATGTTATAGAGATGTCGCCTACAAAGCTTCTAAATTTCCTGATTTTTGACGTCACCGATCAAAAGAAGCGAGGAGGCGAGAGGCGGGAAAATCAAACGCCAAAAATAAAAAGGCGCGCGGTAAAAATTTTTTTCGCGATGCGTTTTTTTTTTGCGTGTCTATGACTGCAACTTGCATCGTTTTAGACAATAAAAATAAATACGACCTTTGGGGTGTCAGTGCCCCTTTAACTTGTATTTGAAGGATGGAAAAAATAAAAGAATCTGTGACCAACACTGATCTCAATTTTCATTGAGATCAGTGGTAACCAACCATGTTTACTTGTAAGCTTTCTATTGGGTAATGCTCAATTTGAAGTCTTCACAACAGAATTTGTTACACTTATTGACTAAAGATATTTATTTTTACATACATGATGGGTCCTATATTTTGAAGTTGTATACTCTACCAGCAGGTAAGTCACCGTGATTAAAATCTGCCAAAATGGGACCAAAACAAAAAGGCCACATTTCACAGTGAACAACTGGTTTTGTCAACAGCGAGTTCCCGATGTTCGGTAATTGTCTATGAATTGTCTTGACCTTACAGACCTGTAAAAAGCACTGATGCTAATTGTGTGCAGCAAGTATTTCTTCTATCTCAAACACACAACAAAGTATACTTTTTTTTTTTTTTTACAAATATATGTTTATTAGTGTGAAGCCTGATATGGTGAATCTGGGGAATATACAAAATATGTCCATCGGAAAAGTGGCAACACACCATTTCTGTTTTGCCTCAAATTATTTGTATGACAATGCAACTCCATATTTAGTTTTATTTCTTATCTATCTTTTGCCCAGAACCCCGTATTGCCTGCCCGTAAATATCCACTGTCATCTTTTTGGGTCGTGTTTTCATTTTCGTACCATTCGATCGTTTCCTGAAAGTTAACTTTGTTGGTATTAATTGTTTTCTGAAAGTTGACTTTCTATATGTATAGTCAATCGAAAGCCAACTATCGATAGTCGAGTATCAGTTGTGAAATAATGATACTATAAATGGGTGTTTGTGAGAAATCCGAACCCGGTTTTTCGCACCGCAAAAATAAACTAGACATTGCGGGGAGCTCCAACTCCGTCAAAACGTAGCCCCAGCCGATCGAGCTAGATGCCAACATGTCAACACTTATCATTACAGGAATAAAAAGATAGAGGTCAAAAACTGTTTTCTTTTATGAGGGGAAGTCGTCCGTAAGAAGCAATAGACGAAATGTCTCTGATTTTGTACCTCAATCAGCCAAGGGGTTTTGGTTAGTTTCGGTTTCGATCTGGTGGTTTGCGGCGCAGCACCGCCACGCCGTTTTTCACGTGCTCCGCTCCGCTCGGTTTGGGCACAATTCCAGGTTGTTAGCGGATTCTTTTTTTTTTTTTTTTTTTAAACTCAGGTCAGCCTAGCTTGCAATCACTGCAGAGAAATTCTACCGCCTTTAAAGAGGCGCTAGAATTCCGCTTTCAAGCAAAGGTTTTTTTTTATTTTATTTTATTTCTTTTTTTTTTGGGTGGGGGGGGGGGGGGGGGTTGCATTAAAGGGGGGGAAGTGCTTTGGGAACATGAAGTTAACCAAAAAGAGGTTATCTCACTTGTCGCATATATCGAGGTATGGATAAATCTTTTTTATCATTTATATGCCGGTTTGTTGGGCGGAAGAGCTTGAACCAGTGGCGAAAAGGTCTTGTCGCATGTCCAAGTGGGTAGATGGCGAAAGACACCGCCTGACTAAAATAATTGCATCAATGCTCTATTCATTTTTGCTGGCTAGGTCGCTAGGTGGCCAAAAATATTGTTAGCGTTTTTTTTTTTTTCAATTTTTTTTTAAAATATTTATTAACTATTTATTTAGACATGCGAGCCACAGCACATTACTCTCTGACCATGTTCCAAAATTGACTTCGGGTGGGTTTTGTACCCTGGCGTTTTAAAAACTAAACCCTACCCGCGTCCAGCGTTTTTGAATCTGTGTTGTCAGGTAACAGCAGTTGACGTGACCCGCCGAAGGAACTCGATTCCACCAGATTCTGCTGCTCGAATCCATTTGGGTAAGATTTGGAACACAGCCTACGAGCGTTACCGTACGAGCACGACCGCCTACGAGTGACAACAAAAAGGCAACATCTGACAACAACTTCGTCCGCGCGGGGCGCGTGAGCGCGAAGTTGGTTTCACCCAAGTGATCAGAGGTTTCCCCTTCCGAGACATCGACTTCGACTGTTTTCAGCGCGTCTCGCAGTTAAAAAAGTGGATCGTGAGGTATTCAAAGGGTGGTAGGCTCGAATCAGGAGGCCTTACTCACGGCCGTGGCAGTTTAGGTGACTGCTTGCTCTATCCTCAATCTTCCGCGTTTTTGTTTTCGGAGGGTAACTATAACTAGGATGATGTGCGTGTGCGTAGCAACCGATTGCGCCCACGCCTCGCTTTGGTTTAAACGATAAACACGGTGACGACGGTAGGAAGTTTTAGTGGACCGTTCCGAACCCTCCGATAACGATACGATGCATGCACAAAGACGTCAGCGGAGTATGAAAGGGAGGGGGGGGGGGGGGGGGGGGGGGGGGGGAGGGAGGGAGGGAGGGAGGGAGGGAGAGGAGGAGAGAGAGGAGAGGGCGTAAGGGTAGGGAGGTAGGTATTGGAAGGATCTGCTAAAACTAGCCATACCGTGTGACCGCGGTTTTTCGTTTTAAGCCCTGGACGTAAATATTTATGCTAAAGTTGAGCTGAATGGCGCCCAACTGGTGCCATTCGGCTGCTTGTATTATACGTGCTGACTTTCAGCGTCTCTTAGGTGACCCCGTCCTTCATCTTCCTTCATATGTATAGGGTGTACCAGCTCTCTAGGCTCGATCTAAAGTAGGCCGTAAAAATCGACGCCTGCACGTAGCAATCTAAACTTTTCGTCAAAGGTGTATTTCACAGATCAGTATTTTGTTCTAAAATTACAAAGCGTAGCTCCCTTTCTGTAAACAATAGGGCCTGAGAAACTTGCCAGGGTCAACGGCGGGCGGCGACGCAGACAACCAAGTCGAGTTGTGGGGTGTGTTTGGCGCACATATTGATAGCTGGCATTGAGAGTGGCTTCCGAAGGTGTAGTCGACCAGCGAAAAAATTGGGTTGTGTATGCCTCAATGGCCGACGAGTCTCCCAGCTGTAGATGAGCAATTTAGCCAGTGCAGTATAATTGCTAGCCTGGGGTTTTTAACATGCATCATGCAGTAGTGATACACGACTGCACGCCGGTACGATGCTCATCCAGATCGAAACGGGAAGGGGTGGGAATTGAACCCAGGATCCTGGGGGTTCTGCAGCGTAAACTTTTGCGCCACGTGCTCCGAGCTGGTGTGCACTAACTTACTCGGCCCCCGATCCCCCCCCAACAGGCGAAAGAAAGCAGACGACACGCAGACGAAATCCATTGGCAGCAAAAGTGCCGTCGTTATGCAAACCCATTTTTTTTTTTTTAACTTCAAGTTTTGATTTTTTTGGCCACATTTATTTTTAAGTTAAAGGTACATTACAAAAAGATTATGTTCATTTTAGGAAACCACAGTGGTCACGAGCAGTCTCGGTAAAGAGGTAGTGCCATCTAACAATACAAGCTCCAAACGCGCCCCATCAGTTGACTTGGTCGTCTGCGTCACCGCTTGCCGTTGACCCTGGCAAGTTTCTTGTCCCTGCACTTTGTAATTTTACAAGAAAAAATCAAGCTGTGAAATACACCTTTGATGAAATGACTAGATTGCTACTTGTAGGCGTCGATTTTTATGGTGTATTTTAGATCGAGCCTGGTAACTTGGGACACCCTATATATCTGTTTACAACCTGGATGAATGGATAGATGACAACGGCTCTACCCTTTGTAATGGGCGGTTCCTTGCACTATTAGTCTGAAAGCAATAACATAAACCTGATTTGTTCTTCCAAGCCACTGCATTTCTCTAGCTATCACCAGGTCATGAAGATGATCGCCAGGCAGACCTTTGGGGGATCGGGCAAAAACACTAAAGAGGTCACCCCCCCGCTTCCTCCTTCCGTCAAGGGTTTTGCCAATTTTCGTCTGGTTGAACCTTGTTGGCGTTGCCTAACACCTGCCCCACTGGGGGACAGGGTTGAGACCACGACAAACTCTGTGTTCACGACCATGCCGCCCAAAGCGCACCTGTTGGCAGCGTGTGCGAACTGATGTGGGTGGATCTCTAGCTATCATCATCATCGTTTGTGACGTCATGGGTAGGACAGACTGGGACTGACCGCGCAGATCTTGGAGTCCTCGGCTCGTCAGCTCACTTCATGCGTTGTTTGGATAGTGTGCAGCAAAGCGTGTTTGACGCGTTGTGTTAAATTGGGGAAGTGATATTTCTAGTAGGGCATTTTACCAAAGTTTGAAACCGTGGCACGCATACTTGTGCTAACAAACACTTTTGGCACTGAGGTGTCAAAGTGCTTGGACGATAGTGAGCTGTTCTCTACCCCAGTACAAAAAGCTGGATGATGAAAATAGGATATTTAGCGCTTTACCCAACTGCAACATCTACCACGGTGAATATGGTGGATTGTTTTATTATGATTCAGACAAAATCAGTCTGAGAATGGAATGTCTCATCAAATTGAAAATAGAACAGTGAAATTTGAGAACTTCTCGCATGTGTAGTAAATGCTTCAGTGAGAGTGACTTTGTATATCCTGTTGGTTCCAATGTGTTTTGTGAGTGCTGGTCTCTTATTAGTTCCAAGTTGATTCCTTTTTGAATTTGATGAACCAGTAGACAAACATTTCCTCAAAAAAACTGGCAGGAAGAAGCGGTGGCTGGCTTCCAGAGTTGCCTCAACTAAATCCCTGCTTATTCACCCGGTCGACGCAAAATGTGTGAGACCCACATGCAACCAAAGTCTTAAATCTAGTAAGTTGGTGACACTTCAGCATCCCAAAAAATGAGGAATGCACCTGCAATGAATTCCTACCATTTGTATGTTTAATTTTTGTGGAACCAAATGCGCTTCATGCGTGATGCGCTGCTCAGCGAATGATTTTAAATTTGTAAACGATTTTTAGTTCAAATAAGATAGAACAAATTAACCAATCACCTGAATATGCCGGGCCACGGCTGACTTTCTAAAATTTATTAAAGTTTCTGCTTCTTTTTTGAGCAGAAGTCGCAATTTGACACACTTAAATTTGCCATGTATTCAATTTGGGAGGACCTAAGTGTCAGTTGCTGACGAGCATTTGTTCGGCAGCAACTGTTGAGTCCCACTTGGATGGAGGAGTCGATATCGGCAAGCTCATTCAAAAACAAGTGTTTATACTCCGTTTCACCTTCCGTCCGAGCACAGCGGACGCTAGGAGTCATCCCAGCCAATGCGGCGTTGAGCGAGTGTCATGCGACCTTGAGCTCCCTGTGTCGCCCTGCCCCACCGGCAGGTCACGCGATTATCTCCCGGCGCTGGATCGGCTGGGATGGCTCGTGGCGTCCACTGCGCTCGGACTGAAGGTGAAACGGAGTATAGTTTGCTTTGCAACACAGCTGTGCGCACATGCACAGCTAAGAAGACAACACGTCGTTTACTCTGGTGAATGCAAGACCTTTTTCTGCAGCAGCCTCCCCAGATTCGAAAAAAAAAACAAGAATCGGAGAGGCTGTGAATAGCCCTGATGCACTCTGCGCAAGCTGTGATGTGAAGTTGGAGGCTTGTTTTTGAACATTTCAAAGTTTTTCTAATAACGAAAAGCAACAACGAGGTGCTGTTATTCATTAGAAAGATCAATCGCAAAAACATTCTACACGTTTCTTAAATAAACATACCGTTCTTAATTGGCACAGATGCACACTAACATAGCCACTCCGTGCTTTGACATAGCGAGTCGTCTGCTCTCATTCCACCAGCTACGTCAAAGGAGGGCGCCCCCGAGGTGGCGCCACCAAAACATCTTGTCGCCAATGGGTCCGTTAAGTGGAAACTCGACAACTCGGACTCGAGTCAGTCCATCGGAGTCTCCACTAAACGGGCTTTTAGAGCATCTCTGGATGCAGTTCGCACCCTCTATGTGAATTTCAGGTTGTTTTCTTTCCTTTTGATTTTTTTGGGGAACGTTGCAAGATGGCCGGCACGCCAACAATGCGGACAGAAGACACTGATCTGACTCTGCAGCTGCTCAAGCGTAAGCTTGTGTCGTTGGCTCTTTATAACGCCTGAACCTGGGACTGAAGTGATTTGCAACTTTTCAAAAGCACACCGGAATTCAATTGTCTATGCATATTGCCAGTAAAGGTAGCTTTGTGAGCTTTATTTTGCTTAGTCGTCACCGAAGAAAAATGTAAGCAGAGTCGGATCATGAAGTTTTGTACATATAGTGGCGCATTGTATTAGAATGCAGAAGCTGCGCATTTTTTTTTAGCTAACGGCAATGGAATTTTTCAGTGAAGCTGTTTCAGCAACAATGAGTAAACGGAATGTATGGTGCAAAAAAGAACCGCTGTGTTCTCAAGGTCTGACTGCCTTGTGTTTGCCACAAATGCACATCACACGAATGAGAATGAAAGAACACAGGAAACATCTGCTAGGTGCAAGTGTCGTCTGCCTGGCAGTCTTCACCACATTTGGGTGCCACTATATCCGACGACGTCTGCACAACTGCAGCATCAGCGTTAACGAAAGTCACATTTGCGCTTTGTAAACTGGTGATCGCATGCTGCGATCCGTCATAACGACCGAATAACTCTGAGCTTGAAAACGTTTCGCACACGAGCTGTCTGCTGTTGTTTCGGAAGGTGTCCTGCCAGCGAGCATCGATGGCACTGCATCCAGCTTCAGACACATATACTTCGTTGAGAGGCCAGCATCGGCTTTTGAGTGAAACTTTTCGTCCGTAGCAGTCCGGCAAGAAGTGATCGGAGCAAATCAATGTCCGGTCAGTTGGCGTGAAGAGCTTCCGAGTATTCCACCGGCATACAAACCTGCCCAGACATTCTGACATGCACTGTCGTGAGGAAACAAGTGGAAGAAAAAAAAGAACTCCTGAATTGATAATAAGTGCAGGCAGCAACACAACATCATGAGGCTTTGGTTCTTTTGCCAGGCATCACAGCTAGGAATTGGAGATGTGTATGCGTTCATAATGTGAACGAAACTCTAAGAAAGAATTAATATTCACAGCCCGTGAGACGACGATGGCATTTGGGACACGGGAGACAACTGGACGGCTCTCGAGGCTAAGAAGTGCACTGTGCTGGCAGATTGGTCGTGTTATGCCATTCACGTGGACGCTTGATGCAACAACTCGTTTTACGACAATGCTTGGAAATTGCCAAGCAATTTTTTGTCAAGCTGAGCTTGCTGTGTCTAAACTGCTGTTTACATTACTAGCAATGCAACAAATATAGAAAAGGCTCGTTTTAAAAATAAAAAATACCTCTAAACTCTTTAAGTTGGGTGTCGCAAGCTATCCCCCCATTAATTATTGCAGGTACAGGCCGTTGCTTTTCATTGTCTATTCGTCTTTATAAACCTTTTGGATGGGACTTGTATAAGTCATCCTCATAGATGCCTGGTTAGCTCGATGCACTTTATGACCCTTTTGGCTTTGTTCTTAATTTCTTTCGTTGCTCTTCGTTTTTGGTCCCAGGTATGTCAAGTGTTCCCCTGCCTCCTTTGTGATCTCGTGGGCCGTTGTACGAACCTGACTTGAGACAGCAGTTTGAATGGAACGGAGTCACGGTAAGTTTCCTTCAACTTGTTATATGACTAGAGGATGGTGGCAGTGCGGTGTTCCCATGAATACTGAAAGGGCAAGGGAACAAAGACTAGAAAGCAAACGACTGAAGCTAAATGTGTGAAACAGGAATATACGCAAACTATTTTTGCAATAAGGACATTGTGTTTTTGAATTCCTTTTGTAATAAGTTTAAGGACGGAATGCTGCTGCATTTAGTTTTACCAGCTATCTTCGTATCTGAAGGGCTCAAAATTTCTATATCATTTTTGTTTTTATTCCCTCCTACAGCGCTTTGTTTTTTTTCAACTCTGGCTTGTAACTACATCCACGACAATTCAATGCCATGTTTTCTGACGGTGCCCGCTTTGCCAATATGTTATGCTCTCTTGCCCTTTCATTGAAGCATCCGCCTGCTTGTTCAATATACAGACTAGGCTGACGCTGGGAGTGAATGAACAAGTTTGAAAGTTAGTTAAGAAGACTGTGGAAAAAGCTGAAAAAGAAATGTGGGCGTTTAGAATGGGGGGGGGGGGGGGGAAGAAACCTAGGTACTTCGTGGAAAACCAACGATTAAGAAAAGTAAACATTCTGGAAAATACAAAAAATTGTTAATTGCTATCTGAGGCAAGGACAAAAATCTGAAGAAGCAGGACTTTTAGGTCAGCTTCAGTTACCACGAGAGGGACACAAATTTGTACAAAATGTCGACAGGCAAGGGATCCAATAAATTCATGAACCAAGACAAACATTTCCATTGCATTGGGATTTAGGAGGAAGGAAGGGAGGGAATAAATAGAGAAACAAAAAGGCAGGGAGAAAGGATGAAAGAAAGAGGGAGAAGAAGGAATTAGGCATATTCGAAAGGTGAAGGGGACCAGGCTGGAGGAATGGCCGAAAGGTGTGAGTGTGGTTAATTTAGGAGAAGTGTGCATGTTTGTTTTATTATAGACCTTTTCATCTCAGTAGTTGCCTGACCAGCGGATAAAGGGCGCTGACACACTTCCCACCATTAGGTTGCTTCAACTTGGTTGGTTTCGGTTTCCATGTGCATGCGGCTGTATTGCTGCTTTATGTAGTTTTTGCCTAATTTTGTTACACAGACGTTTCCCTTGTAGCACACAATCAATGAAACAGTGGCAACTACGAAGGGGTTTCGAGCCTAAATTACGGGCTTTATACGAACACCTTTGATGTATCTGATTATGGTGTATGGCGAAACGACTGAAATGATGTACAGGGAAGATTATTATTGTCTGTAGCCGTACCCAATGACACTAGATCACAGAAAAATAAACCAATGAAGAGACTAAAACGTGAATGTGAAGAAGCAGGTCCACAGCTTGGTTTCCAATGTGCTTCATCGGGAAGAACAGGTGCTCGCGAGTTTACTAGTGACTGTTTTGTTTTTGTGGACACCCAACTTTTACTGAATTTTGCAGGGAAAAGTCTCATACAATGACGGAGAATCTATACAAACAAGTGATATTATCTCAGCCCATATTATTAAAAAAAGAAAAATTAGTACTCGAGAAACATTTTGACAGTGCGACCTAGGCCGAGTAGGAAATTTCTTAATTAATTATCAGCCCTGCTAAAGTAATCGTAAGTGGCATTTCACAATATTGGCTTTAGGAAATAAACTATTTTTATATGAACATTGGCTTACATGAACACAAGATATAAGTGTCAGGCCAAATAAAATTAAAGGGCACAGGAGAAGTGGCTCCGAAAGTTTGGCCGAAGCCTACGCTAGGCACCACTCCATGGACTTGTGTAAACAGATCCTTATTTGTTTGTACATTTGTGCTTTGTAAATTTCGGCATCCCACTAACAGTAAATCTCTATTTGCTATTGACAATGCTGGACTTGGGCGATTTTTATGCAGATGGCTTTATTTCGGCGTTGAATATCGTGGATTTCAGGCACTAGCGAGAGATAGAACAGCAAATGCAAAATTTCTGTGTATGCAAGAAAAGAGAAAAAAACAAAACAAATAAACGTCATTACTGCGTATGCATTGAGCCCAAACCACAATTCGAATAGACCCTTTACAAAATTCAATCTGGCCACTTTGATTGCTATCATCATCTGTGGAACGGCATCGGTGCCCTACCAATGGCGGTATTCTAGTGACTGATGAAGGAAGACGTCGAAGATGCTCCTAAGCGGATGATGCGAGGCCTGTATATTCGGAGGGTTAGTACGACACGACGTAGGAATGGAACACAAGAGCTACGTAAGCGTTCATTTCTAACTTAGATTTAGTCAATTTGTGGGCGGCACACAATCGACTTTAAACCCCTTTGGTGGATAGAAATTTATCGAGGCATCTGTGTGGGTTGGAGCTTTGTTCTCATTGCAAGTTCTTGGTCACCAATCGAACTGAAAGTGGTCAAGAAAGAACTCACATTGAACAATTCCTCGCGTGCCCTTGACTTGCGAAGGTGACGGTGCCTGATGAAATACAAGTTCATGACCGCCATTGGTATGGCAAAAGCTAAACTGCTATACGAATCGCCAGATGGCACTGAATTTTGGAAAAGGTCTATTGTCACATAAAGATGATGCTATTTATTTGCATATCAAAGATTTTGCATACGCTATTCTTAAACTGGCTACTCTTGAGCTGTTTGGGAGTTTCTTATGCAGGAAGTTCCAACCTTTGTGTTAAAATAAATTAAGTGAATTGAACTGGTCACCTAAAGACAATCAATAAATCACTTGAAAGAGACTGCCCAAATACGGCCGAGAACTACAGTTTCCTAAATGCATCATGTAAACTGACCAACCGAATGTTTATATCGCCAAAGCGATCCACAGTCCCTTTATACTGACTATCCTTGACGGACCTTATTCTTGACACATTCCAATCTTAAATGCGCGATCTTAAATATACGCACTTCTAATTGTGAATGTTCGGCCGCTATAAGTAAACAAATCTTAGTTGTCATAAGTAATATACAGTAAAACCTCGTTATAACAAAACGGGATATAACAAACTAATGGATATAACAAAGCAATCATAATTCCCCTTGCTTGCTAATAGTGGGAAGAAATGGACATTGGCTATAACAAACTAATGGTTATAACGAAATAATTACGACCGCTCCTTCAACTTTGTTATAACGAGGTTTTACTGTACCTCGAATCCTCGTGCTGTCTTAGTCATCTACATAATCAATGTGGCTCAGTGCTAAAACTGATTCCTGTGCCTCATCCTCACAACCATTTAATAAGCCAACGGTAAAAATTGTCAAATCTTGCTACAAAATAAACTGCAGGAGTTGTGCACATTATGATGTAATGCAGTCGGGTAGTAGATATAAGTATCAGACTATACTTTACAGAGGTAGGCAAAAGAATAAGTAAAGCGTGGTGAAACGCGACGAAAGACACAAATACAACGCATCTGACAAGGTGCGGAGCAGAGAGCGGAGCGATGAGTTGAAACAACCTAATGGCGGTTGTGTCACGTGATTCCAAAATACCAGCACCCATGCGACTGAGGATGAAAAGGTCTATATTATTTCAGTCATATAGTAGAGGTATTATCATATTGCTACTCGCGTCGCTGAGCAAGCGCGTGTGTGGCCAAATAGTTACCGCACTTGGCTGTCGTGCAGAGGATATGGGTTAGATCCCAGGGAGCAGAATGTTCTTTTATTTATTCTTTCTAAGTGGCGTTCTCGCAAGTTCGAAAAATTTCTCATCTGATCAAGTTACATATATTCTATGCTCCAAACGTTCTAGGCCTAATGTTCCAGAATCGCACGCGGCTACAAAAGGTGTTCCGCGTGGCAAGCTGGAGTCACTTTCGCCCCAGTGCTCGATCTTGCTGGCTCACCGACATCAACGCCTGCAACGCTAACCTACTTCTTTTTTGTTTTGGGCACAAGTTCGCCCCATTAAACGTTCTGTTTATTCAATTATTCGCCGCCTCATAACTTGTCATTCATGCCATTTTGGTGGAGGTGCGGGGTGCCGCATTCCATGTTTGTGAAATGTACCCCTCAGAAGATCTGTCGGGCCTGATCCTTGTCCAGTCCGGAAAAAACAATCCCCGTCGACGAACCCAAGACCCGAGCCAGCCTCCGGGGTTTGACCAACTACCAGAGTGGCCGAGGAAGAAGACGCCGACGACAAAGACCAAGTTGCAGCAAGACGGAACGCCACCGACGTCTATCGTCTACGTTCAGGCCCCACCAAGGACGCCGGCAAATTTCATTGGCAACCTTCATGAAGACGTGGACTTCTGGTTGAGCCAGCACGAGCGCGTTGCCCGGTTCAACGGATGGGGGCCTCAGCAGAGCCTGCGCAGCATCTACTTTGCTTTGGAAGGCATGGCCCGCAGCGGGTACGAGAACCACAAAGCGTCGATTTCGTCGTGGGAAAAATTCCAGGCCGAGCTGCGATGCACCTTTGTCAACCTGCAGCGACGACAGGGTGCCGAAGAACTGCAAGCGAGAACCAATGGGCCTAACAAGAGCGTCACAAGCTTCGTCGAAGACGTTCTCCGCCTATTGAATCGTGCCGACCCAAACGCTCCCGAAGAGAAAAAGCCGCAAGTCTTGATGCGCGGCGGAAAGGAAAACATCTTCAGAGGCTTTGTACGGAGCCCGCCTACCACCGTTGAAGGTTTCATCACGGAGGCTACCAACATCGAATGTGCCCTTCAAACGCGAGCCGCCCACTATCATCGAGTTCCTGGCGTCGCTGCACCCACACCGTCCAACTGCGCCCTCAGCCCCAATATCCCAGGGATCAGTGAAATCATTCGGGACATCGTCCTTGAAGAACTAAAGCTGGTACCTGCTACTGAACATCCAGCTTTGCTCTCGATCGCCAAGATTGTACGAGAGGAGGTCCAGCAAGCGCTCCAGCCCGACGTTCTCGCCGATGCCACACTGGAACCACCAGCCTTGATTTATGCCGCAGTTGCTCATCGTCCGCAGCCTCATCATGTCAGTCATGCCAAGAGAAGCGTGGACCTCGAAAGACCGACCTGTGGAGGACGCCCGACCGACGCCCTCTGCTTCCACTGTGGGGAACCAAACCACACCTACCACCGATGCCTATACCGACGACTTGGGCTGCGCGGGTTCGACCTGCGTCCCCGTTATGGTGAACGCCCTCGGGAGATCGACGAGTCTCTGCGACGACCTCGGTCGCCCGAGCCTGCGTCCCGCCGAGAGTTCCGGTAGCCTTTGCCGTGACGTCCAGCTTCGCCGATGCACTGACCCCAACGTGAAAGCCTGTCGCCCCTCACTCCTCGCCGGGAAACTAGGTGCGACTACCCCTGGAAGTGGAGTTGCCGATGACCGACGCCAAGATTCTCCACGAACGCCGGAGGGCCGCCACTCGAACGCCACCAGAGACCGAAATGACGCTCTTGCAACGGTAAAGAATAACCTAAACGTCGTTATCAACGCCCACGACACGTCGGCTCTTGTCGAGACCAGAGCGGACAACTCTGTCCTGAGTGGGAGGCGCTTCAAACGTCTTCAGAAAGTGACGACGCCGTGGGATGGCCTACAGTTATGGACTGCCGGGGGACATTATTCTAGATTCGTGGCGAGACATGTCCGGTCAAGTTTATCGTTCTGCAAGACTTTGCGAGGGACGTTATCCTCGGAATGGACTTTGTGAGTATGGCACCGTCATTGACCTCGGGGCAAACCAGTTGACGCTGCGAAAGCCTGTTCTGCCACTGGTGGAGACCAACACGACGTCAACTGTGATCCGAGTTATTGCTGACCATGTGAACCTGCCGCCGCAATGAAGCGTTTTCATAACCGTCATAAATGGCGTAGCCATGCTCGGTGAAGCTCTTTTGAAAAAGGAATTGGCGTCGCACGAGGCGTAACGGATCTCCAAGAAGGACATACAACTGTTCTCGTGACACACTTTCGAGAGGAGCCGCAGCACGTAACAAAGGGTACCACCGTGGGCCACGTCAAGGAGCTTCAGGTGCCAGCCGTAGTCATTGGAATCTCTGAGGAAACCTCGTCGTCACAGCAGAAAAGCACAATGACGCCGCAGCTGGACATCGACCCCTAGCTCCCACCTCCTAAGCGCCAGCAACTGGTTGATCTCCTCGCTAAATACAGTGACTGTTTTGCACATCGTCGAAAGTTTGCCAAACACCAATGGCGAAACATCGCATTGTTACCAACGACGACACGCTCCCTGTCCACCAATCGCCGTATCGAGTCTCCTTAAAGGAAAGGAAGGTGATTCAAGATCAGGCCCAGGAAATACTCGATGACGCCATCATTCAACCCTCAAGAAGTCCGTTTGCGTCCCCAGTCCTTGTGAAGAAGGACGGTACCCTGAGGTTCTGCATCAACTATCGTCGACTGAGCACAGTGACTAAGAAGACCATTCTGCTCCCTGGAATCTAACCCATATCCTCCGTGCGACAGCCAAGTGCTGTAACCAGTCTGCCGCGCACGCGCTCGCACGGCGACTCGAGTGGAAATATACAGGAAGCTCGCGTTAAATGTTAAATGGATCTAGACTAATTAAATTCTTTCAATTCGATCGTGTTCAGAAGTTCTGGCGGGCAAGAGTATGGTTATGCAGGAAAGGAAAATCAATAATTCAAAGTGGAAACACAGAGACGCACACTGTTACGTATGTGGCAGTGGAGAAGACTGCACATCACGAGTATCACGAGACAGGGCATTTGTTTGTTTACTTTTGTGAAATGTCAGTAGTGGCGAGCTTCCTTTTTTATCTTTCAATAAACCTCTCTTTTTCTCGCCTCAAATTTTTCGGGGGCAGTCAACCAACGACAATCTATGACCAGCGATAGAAGAGGGAGATAGAAGCACGGAGGAGGAGGTTGTCAAAAGCACCTTAACTGAGCAGCCGAGCGCAAGTGAAAGTAGGCTCACATTTTACGATGCTCCCCAGAACATGCTGTTTGATGCGCTTTTCAGGCGTAAATGGCAAAACATATCACTAACTACTTCCATTTAAAGTGGGTCTGGCTCGGGTCCTTTTCTCGCCGTTCCATTTAATTTTATCCTCGAATAATTCCAATGTGGAGGGCAAGTTTGTCTGCTTCTTGCGCAGGGGGTAGCGGTGACGTCACAACGCCGAGCTCTGATTGGCTGATCGCGACCCCCTATCTGAGCGTCGTCTGCTTCTTTGCAATGTCATCTGCTTGCAACGTCGTCTGCGTCTGTTTTACCTTTCCTGCGACTTTCGGAAGTGCAGAGGCCAGATTCACGAAACGATCTTACGCCAAAAATGTTCGTGAGACAAAACTTAAGAACAAACTCGTATTCACGAAACAAAATTTTCCTAAGTTTTGCGCAAGTTACGACAAAATCCGAAGACAGCTACGAAGCTGTCTCAAGGCCCGTTCACACTCTTGCAACCGAGTACGACCGAGAGAAACCAGACCGGTTTTTAAGCTTCTTGCGACCTCTTAGGACCGGATGCGCTATAGCGGAGCTGGTCCTAAGAGATCGCAAGAGGCTTAAAAAGCTCTCTGGTCTCTCTCGGTCGTACTCGGTTGCAAGAGTGTGAACGGACCTTTACGCACTCACGATCACATCAGCATGGCCGACAGTGCGCGGTCGCGACGACCCACGGACGTTTATTTTTCTACATGCGCTTCTCACGCGTCCCGACTTTAAGCAGCAAGAAAAAAGAAAAAAGTACTTGAAACAGACCACGACGAACAAGAACGATGGATCCACAAACACCCGGGAAAAGCTCCAACGGCCACGATTCCACCGAACGCAACCAAGCGAGCATGGCAGTTAGGCCTAGCAGGCACTCCGCGACTCGGCGACCGTCTGCCCACGACCGGCTGGCGTGCTGAATGGAATATGCCCGCGCGACCCTTGTGAACTCTTCCCGTATTATACTTTGATCGCTGACCTCAATTTTAGATTAAGAGGTCAATTTCTTCCTCTTGTTATCTCCTTGTTTCCTGAGGCAACGGTGACTCTCGCCGGTGAAAAAGCGGTGAATCTCCGACATACGCAGGAAAGGTAAAGCAGCCATCGCTTTGACTAGCAGACGTAAAGCAGACGAGGTTAACTGCGCCGACCTGCCGACGCCGTTGAAGAGTGAAGAGTCTCGCCGCACACAAAAGAAGGGAAAAAGTATTTGGGAGGGAACTTGCGGACGCTCACTCTCGGTTCTTAACAAACAAACCTCGGCGCCTCGGGGCACCTCGCCAGTGAGTCCTTTGATTTCTCTCCTTGATGTGCGTCTGCTAGTTGTTAGACAAAAACAACAAACCGCTCGAGTTATTTCGTCTGCCCTCTCTGAAAGACGAAGTCGGGTTAGCTCGTAAAGACCTGCAATTCCGAAAGTCGCAGGAAAGGTAAGACAGACGCAGATGGCGTTGCAAAGGAGCAGACGACGCTCAGATAGGGGGTCGCGGTCAGCCAATCAGGGCTCGGCGTTCTGACGTCACTGCTACTTCCTTTCTCATGCGCAGAAGACGAAAATGAGGCCACTTGCGAGGTGTATAGATTTTTCACGTCCAGTAGGGGTCGAATTGTGGGTGGTCGACTGTGATTCCGCAGCAATGATTTCGTAGTTGGGAGTTTTGCTACGGGAGTGCAGAGGGCGCTGAACTCACGCCTCAAACCGGGATGGAATATTGTCATAAATGATGAGGTGACAAAACAGAGGATGATTGAGGAAACTGAAACGTTTAATGGGGCGAGCTTGTGCCCAAAACCAAGAAAAGTAAACGGGATAGCAACAAAGCGTCGCAAGCATCGAAGTTGGCGTGACAGCAGAGTCGAACGCTGGGGCGAGACTGACTGTGGCTTCTGGAGACGTGTTGGCTTCTGGAACAATCGGTGTAGAAGGTTCGGCGCGTAGAACATTCGGACCTCCAGCAAGCGCCAGGATTCTCGAATTTACCAGAACACTAAATTGCAAGAATAAATAAAAGATGTGTCGCTCCCAGGAATCAAACCCTCGCTCTTCGCATGGGAGGCAAGCACGATAACCTTTAGGCCACCGCCGCACTGCCTACTTGGCCAGCTGTGCACGCAGAAATATGTCTGGGGATATTACGGAACACATAACTAGGTAGTCTCTCATCCTACAGAGTCTAACATTGGGTAATCTCATATGCTTGAGGGCACTGTCTTCCTCATTGCATTTTTTCTTCTCTTTATATTATTCTTTGGTAGTTTCAGTTTGTCACAGAAATTAATAAAACATTATTTTTCCGACTGCGAAAAAATGTCACTACACCGCTGTGGTAATATTTGAACACGTAAGAAACGAGGTCGTGCCCCAATTATTTTTGTTCATTACACTCAGTGGTTTAAAAGAAGTGGATTAGCTTATTTTACTCTCCCTTTTCAGTGCTTTGCCTTGCCCCACATCTGTGTAAGAACATGGTTCTTTTGCATATGCATTGCGTCCAGAACATAAAAAAGCTCTATCAAAACTTGCACCAGATATATAAGCAAGAGGTCAAGCACTATAAACTGAAAATTTCATTCACTTATTGTAAATAATAAAAAAAAATGTTTTTCCTTGGTACATGTTCCTTTAAAGAGGCTAATTCTGTTCAGGGAAATGGAACAATCAATAGAGAGAATTATATTTGAATGCTTTCATGAGCCAAAATAAAAAGGTCAGCAAGATATTAAACCACTCATTTTAAGCTGAACAGTGGCTTTATAAACCAATTGGTTATCTGGGTTGGGCTTTCCTTGTGTCTACAAATACACATAAAATCTTCTTTTAGGTGCTGAAGCTGCACTGATGTGGAAGACCAGCTGCCCTCTGAAAGCCCCTAAGGTCATCTGGTTTGGATGCTCTTCCTGCACATACTTCACCAGAGACCAGCGGGGAATCGTGAGCCACCTGGTTGCCCATGGTGATGAACAAATCAAGTGCCCCCGTCCTCTCATGTCTCCTGGCTCTAGGTCCAAAGTCGACACTAACACTCAGATGCACAAAGGTGATAGGATCTTTAAGTGCAAGCTGTGCCCCCAAACCTTTGCACATCGTGGCAGTCTGAGCAACCACAATCGAACTCACGCAGATGAAAAGCCATTCAAGTGCAAGCTTTGTGGTCAAGCCTTTGCTCGGAGTTCCTATTTGAGAGACCATAATCGAACACACAATGGTGATAAACCTTATAAGTGCAAGCTGTGCCTCCAAGCCTTTGCTCAAAATTCCCATCTGAGATTCCATAATCGAATACACAGTGGTGATAAACCTTATAAGTGCAAGCTGTGCCTCCGAGCCTTTTCTCAAGATTCCCATCTAAAGTCTCATTATCGAACACACAATGGTGATAAACCTTACAAGTGCAATCTTTGTCCTCAAACCTTTGCTTGGAGTTCCTCTTTGAGGACCCATAATCGAACACACACTGGTGAGAGGCCTTACAAGTGTAAGCTGTGCCCCCGAGCCTTTGCTCGGCATCATGTCCTGATCCAACACAATCGAACGCACACGGGGGAAAAGCCCTTCAAGTGCAACCTTTGCCCCCGAGCCTTTTCTCGGAATACTCATTTGAGAAGGCATAGTCAAACACACTGTAGTGATAAACAGTGTTGAAAAACCTGATAAAGGCAAGCAGTGTCGAAAACAAACAGGTGAAAGAACCTGCTCTTTTTTCAGATTTCTTTGCACTTGCTCAAAGTGTGGTCCTTTGAGGTGTAATCTAAATATATTCTTAAAAATGGTTTAATTCTTTTGTTTTTGTTATTTACTCCTATATATGTAGAATGCAAAACTTGCATTGAATGCCTATGTGACTAAACTTTAATTTCCCTGTTTTTCAATCAAAAGACAAAAAAGGCTTGCAGTTTCAACTTTCAGTTATTTCTTTTAGATGCAGGCCTCGGTACAAAAATATTTGTTGAGTAATGTTTTAGAAGGTTGCATTTTTGACATGCTGTACCATATGCTATCTCATCTTAGCAGTTACTTTTGGGGGAGACCCGTTGCCAAGTGTGTGTATGCGAGCGCCTTGTGCCCCAGATTCTGGAACTGCTAGTTGAATCCCTCGCCCAGCAGGTTTTGCTGTAAATTGACATTGTACTTTTCTTAATACATAGTGTGAAATTCGTTTTGTGTGTAGTGTGAAATAGTTTGAAATGCTAAGGGGGTAGTCGCCCCTTACAAAACCTCTTTGCTTGTTTTTTTTTTACATTTGTTTGAAGGATTCGAGAACACCCTTGTCGACTGGAACTGGCCAGTTGACTGAGATGATGTACATCCGCCACACCTCACACATTACTTCAAGTTCTGTCATCTCTCTTTAGAGGATAATGTTAGCGGTCGCTTTGAGGTCTTTTTGGTTTAGGCGGCACCATGTGACACGGTGGCGACGGCCGCGACATATTTTTCTGGGCGCCATCCGCCACGACTTTCATGGTCGCTCCCACCACCTAAATTATCGCCCTCCCCACCCCCCCTTCCCTCAAACCAATATGTGGAATTTGCCCCTTCCCCCGCTCCTAGAACCAATATCTGGAACGGCCTCTGCTCAAGTGCCACTGCCAAAAGCAGCATCAAGGGCCCTTCACAACTAAGCGAGCCGAACAGACAGGGAAACAGCATCAGTCATGAGCTGAACCATCCACTGCCGCCGTAAGTGCATCTGTGCCCCCCTCCACTGATGTAACTAGCTGGTTCCACGAAGTGAAAGTTTGGCTGCAAAATATATGGCATGCCAGAAGCCACTGCCGATATCAAAGACTGCTTTGTTGCGGTTAACCTCAACACCAAGAATATAAGCACATAAAACAACATAAAGTCAGCATTTTGGCGGCACTATAATTTAGAAAGCCCTGTCACAAGTCAAAGAGTAATGTTTGTTCGGAGGCAGTAGTCTCCTACGGAAGTGCGCATTGAGGATGCCATTGAGAAGCTGCAGCTGATAGAGGAATGAACCTTCGTGGGCTGCTTCTTTAATTTCTGTACAGCGAGGTGGATGTATTTTGACAGCATTTGCATATTCCTTAGTGATTTGCTTTTGGATCAGGCAAATGGGAAGGTCAAGAATGTGAAAGCGAAAACTTCTAAGTTTAATATTTTCACAAAGCAACAGACAAACTCTGCATTTTTGTCAACACTGAGCAGCAACAGCAGCCAGAGGAACTCCTTCAGGGACGAGCTGCTGTGTGTTTTGAGAATGACGAACCACATCTAAGCCATAGCACTCCAAAAAAATTCTATTGCCAGAAAGATGCAGCCTTGATTAAAATGCAACGGAGCTCCAGTCAGAAAGTTTTCGAAATTTGACTGAATTTCAAGCAAGAGGGGCATTTTGTTACATAGTGCCCTGAGTTTCTGACGCAGGAATCATTTTAATGGCAACGGGCATTTTAAGTTGCGCCTAACATTGGAAATGATCAGGAAAACTTTGGTCTGGTGTCATCAGGGCCTGGAGGGAGACACCAGTAGTGTCTTCCTCCGGGTGTCTGCCTTCTTTTGGGACATTCTACCAGCAAGGCAAGCAGCGAGACCCACAACTTAAAAAGTTTTAAAGCAGCAATTGAACGGTACTCGTTGAAATGGCATCTTATACTAGTCGACGCAGGAACAAGCATTTTCAAACTTTGGGCGATAAACTCTTCTCTGAGGCCATCCAAAATACCTGAGAAGGCGTCCTTGAACTTGGCAGAAAGAGTAGCAACTGTCGAAACAATTCACTTATCTTTAACTGAATAAGGATTGTTTCTTCAATGTTTAGGTTTTTTGGATCCACAGAGCCAGGAGGACATTGCAATAGTTTGCATCGAAACCCAACAAATAACAGTGGATGGTATGAGTGACCCTCGCTGAGTCGTGAGGAGCTGAAAGAAGCAATAAAGCTTTTGGAGAACTGCCATACTGTATATTATCTAATTTCAGTAGTTACCTGGGCGGGGGATTGATTCGTGAACATGCGTATTCACTGCAATATTTTGTTAGCCTGGTTGGCGATTGCTAGTTAAATTCCCGCACCGCCTAGCCTGTTTCGCATTGAATTGGCATTGTACCAGTGTTTGTGTCATCAGAGGGGGGGTGCAACGATTTCAAAATAAAAAGAATTTGCATCTCATTGTTTTTACGTTAGCGTGTCCCAGAGGGTAGAGAAAACATCTCATTCATTCAAAAATGTTGCGATTAAGCTGCATAATAACAAAGCAAAAGTCAAGCTTTTTCCCCCCACCTGCAGCCGCGGGTGGCAGCTTTTGTGACCTCGGTCGGCTCTAAGCTGCAGCTTAACGCCCGCTAATCTCAGCAGAGAGAGGGAGAGGAAGCGTCCTCCGAGAGAGCACACGGGAAACCACACGGCACCCCGAATTACGTCACTAGGAGGGGACCAGGTGTGACCCTGAAGACTGGAAATGAGTACAGGGGTGCCAGAAATGCCAATATTTATCCTTTTTTTACGCAACAGCTACATTCTACTCAGGCGAAATCGGTTTTCCGGTTTTTACTTCCAAAGTGTCACAGGGCAACTTCTACAAGTTTTTGACTGAAGTCCATAAATCCTTGCACCCCCCCCCCCCCTCTCTTTAATGCCGCCTAATACCTTTTCAAGGCTGCATTGACGGAAGGTGTAGAGTTCTTGAAACTGACTTTGGCACACTCATACCTAAAGGGTTTTCACCTTTCTTCTCAACACTGGCATTTTCATAATCATGTATTTATATGACACCTGCTTTGAGACATCACTGTAGTTTTCACAATATTTTGTTGCTGTGTGTTTTTGTTCCTGAGTGTTTCAGTGTTGCCTGGCCCTTTGTATCGGAATTCTCAGACCGCAGGTGTTATTGTACACCAAACAATACCTTTGGCTTGCTTTTTGTATAGTGCTGGATACTTGTTGGTTTCTATGCTTCCCTAATGGCAAACCTATTTTTTTTTGTTTTAACAAACTAAGGTGAGTCATACCAGCTAAGTCTCAAAGAATGCAGATTGAGCTATGATTCTGTTTGGGTTACAATGTCGTCTGAATTGTTGCTCTGCATTTATTTATGCATTGTGTAATACATTTGTAAACATAGCTTCATTGCAGTTTGCTTCTTTATATGATACATGTGTAATCAGACTTCTTTTTCGCTGCTCCTTCAAAATAAAGTTTGATAATTCAAACTTCACAATGGTTTGTTTTTTTTAGTTACAGATTTTACTTAAAACAGATGTGCCCCTGGCAGAGTAGCTCTTTGGAAAGTTCCTAATTTGCCATCCTGCACCATTCTGGGATTTCACTGTAGCAGTTGTGTCGCCAGAAAATTGACAGCCAAGTGGATGTGCATATTCCAGCACATGGAGTGTAGGTTTGTGCTGCAGATTGTGGCACTGTTTCTGTTCCTACTTTCCAGGAGTTTTGGATATCAGGTGGTGGTGCAAAACATATCTATAGCACTCTTGATGCCATCTATAGTGGAAGCCAAGTCTAACTATATTAGTGTAAGAACTATTGATAATTGACTATCATAAAAGTATCCATAATATACTATTGACAGTTAGTATAATGTGGATGGTCAACTATTGGGGTACTATTTTGTGAACCTATAAATAGTGTCTTATCGATAGTCTACTATTATGAAAGTGCTGACAGCCGATTACTGAAATGCTATTGATGGTATTTTATTAGGTGATGAAGAAAGTACGCCAAGAGTCCATGTGGGACATGTGGAGGTCAGAGAAAAATGCAACTGTGATTGGGAACTTGTGCATATTTATCCAGGAGGAATCTAAAACCTATTGGAAAACTATATGAACACAGAAGAAATCCTTAGAACCTGTTAACAACAAACCGTCGGTTGTATACTGCTTATTTTTCTTGATAGGTTCTAGCATAAAAGTCCAAATGTCTTTGTCGCCCTTGATAGGTAAACCCTTAGAAGTCCGAGATACTGTTGAATACAACTGTAGCAATTGGGATTGAATGCAAAGGTATGAAAACATAACTTCTCTGAAATAAAAAAAAAATAATTTTTTTTTTTATACCAAAAAGGTTGCTAGAAAGATTGCATTTTACATTCACTCGTTTCTTTTTACTGAAAAAAAAATTGCCTCATTGCCAACAATATTGTTACTTAGATCACGGAAAACTTTTGTTTTTATCTTTTTTTTTCGATCCAGTTAACTTTATGTTCCTAAACTTGTATTTGAAGGATGGAAAAAATAAAAGAATCTGTAACCAACCATGTTTACTTGTAAGCTTTCTATTGGGTAATGCTCAATTTGAAGTCTTCACAACAGAATTTCTGTTACACTTATTCACTAAAGATATTTATTTTTACATACGTGATGGGTCCTATATTTTGAAGTTGTATACTCTACCAGCAGGTAAGTCACCGTGATTAAAATCTGCCAAAATGGGACCAAAACAAAAAGGACACATTTCACAGTGAACAACTGGTTTTGTCAACAGCGAGTTCCCGATGTTCGGTAATTGTCTATGAATTGTCTTGACCTTACAGACCTGTAAAAAGCACTGATGCTAATTGTGTGCAGCAAGTATTTCTTCTATCTCAAACACACAACAAAGTATACTTTTTTTTTTTTTTTTTACAAATATATGTTTATTAGTGTGAAGCCTGATATGGTGAATCTGGGGAATATACAAAATATGTCCATCGGAAAAGTGGCAACACACCATTTCTGTTTTGCCTCAAATTAATTGTATGACAATGCAACTCCATACTTAGTTTTATTTCTTATCTATTGCCCATTTCATTTTCGTACCATTCGATTGTTTCCTGAAAGTTAACTTTGATGGTATTAATTGTTTTCTGAAAGTTGACTTTCTATATGTATAGTCAATCGAAAGCCAACTATCGATAGTCGAGTATCAGTAGTACTACAGGTTGTGAAATGATGATACTATAAATGGGTGTTTGTGAGAAATCCGAACCCGGTTTTTCGCACCGCAAAAATAAACTAGACATTGCGGGGCGCTCCAACTCCGTCAAAACGTAGCCCCAGCCGATCGAGCTAGATGCCAACATGTCAACACTTACCATTGCAGGAATAAAAAGATAGAGGTCAAAAACTGTTTTCGCCTATGAGGGGAAGTCGTCCGTAAGAAGCAATAGACGAAATGCCTCTGATTTTGTACCTCAATCAGTCAAGGGGTTTTGGTTAGTTTCGGTTTTGATCTTGTGGTTTGCGGCGCAGCACCGCCACACCGTTAGTGGATTCTCTTTTTTTTTTTTTTTTTTAAACTCCGGTTAGCCTAACTTGCAATCACTGCAGAGAAATTCTAGCGCCTTTAAAGAGGCGCTAGAATTCCGCTTTCAAGCAAAGAGTTTTTTTATTTTATTTTATTTCTATTTTTTTTTGGGGGGGGGGGGGGGTTGCATTAAAGGGGGGGAAGTGCAGCAAAAAACTACTTTGGGAACATGAAGTTAATCAAAAAGAGGTTATCTCACTTGTCGCATATATCGAGGTATGGATAAATCTTTCTTATCATTTATATGCCGGTTTGTTGGGCGGAAGAGCTTGAACCAGTGGCGAAAAGGCCGAAAAGGTCTTGTCGCATGTCCAGGTGGGTAGATGGCGGTTTTTTTTTTTCAGTGTTTTTTTTTTTAATATTTATTTACTATTTATTTAGACATGCGAGCCACAGCACATTACTCTCTGGCCATGTTCCAAAATTGACTTCGGGTGGGTTTTGCACTCTGGCGTTTTAAAAACTAAAACCTACCCGCGTCCAGCGTTTTTTAATCTGTGTTGTCAGGTAACAGCAGTTGACGTGACCCGCCGAAGGAACTCGATTCCACCAGATTCTGCTGCTCGAATCCATTTGGGTAAGATTTGGAACACAGCCTACGAGCGTTACCGTACGAGCACGACCGCCTACGAGTGACAACAAAAAGGCAACATCTGACAACAACTTCGTCCGCGCGGGGCGCGTGAGCGCGAAGTTGGTTTCACCCAAGTGATCAGAGGTTTCCCCTTCCGAGACATCGACTTCGACTGTTTTCAGCGCGTCTCGCAGTTAAAAAAGTGGATCGTGAGGTATTCAAAGGGTGGTAGGCTCGAATCAGGAGGCCTTACTCACGGCCGTGGCAGTTTAGGTGACTGCTTGCTCTATCCTCAATCTTCCGCGTTTTTGTTTTCGGAGGGTAACTATAACTAGGATGATGTGCGTGTGCGTAGCAACCGATTGCGCCCACGCCTCGCTTTGGTTTAAACGATAAACACGGTGACGACGGTAGGAAGTTTTAGTGGACCGTTCCGAACCCTCCGATAACGATACGATGCATGCACAAAGACGTCAGCGGAGTATGAAAGGGAGGGGGGGGGGGGGGGGGGGGGGGGGGAGGGAAGGGAGGGAGGGAGGGAGGGAGAGGAGGAGAGAGAGGAGAGGGCGTAAGGGTAGGGAGGTAGGTATTGGAAGGATCTGCTAAAACTAGCCATACCGTGTGACCGCGGTTTTTCGTTTTAAGCCCTGGACGTAAATATTTATGCTAAAGTTGAGCTGAATGGCGCCCAACTGGTGCCTTTCGGCTGCTTGTATTATACGTGCTGACTTTCAGCGTCTCTTAGGTGACCCCGTCCTTCATCTTTCTTTATATGTATAGGGTGTACCAGCTCTCCAGGCTCGATCTAAAGTAGGCCGTAAAAATCGACGCCTGCACGTAGCAATCTAAACTTTTCGTCAAAGGTGTATTTCACAGATCAGTATTTTGTTCTAAAATTACAAAGCGTAGCTCCCTTTCTGTAAACAATAGGGCCTGAGAAACTTGCCAGGGTCAACGGCGGGTGGCGACGCAGACAACCAAGTCGAGTTGTGGGGTGTGTTTGGTGCACGTATTGATAGATGGCATTGAGAGCGGCTTCCGAAGGTGTAGTCGACCAGCGAAAAAATTGGGTTGTGTATGCCTCAATGGCCGACGAGTCTCCCAGCTGTAGATGAGCAATTTAGCCAGTGCAGTATAATTGCTAGCCTGGGGTCTTTAACGTGCATCATGCAGTAGTGATAAGGCCCGACCACACTAGCGTGAACGGCGCCGCCGGGCGGCGCCGCCGGGCGGCACCGCCGTCCGGCGTCCCAACGCGAGGAGTCCACATTGGCCTCCGTTTTGCAGGCGTCACGTGACAGCACTGGATCCCGCGATCGAGCCTCCCGTCAGATTTCCCGCTCTTTCGTCGTCTGCTCTTCGTTAGATTCTTCCGTTCCGCACTCGCTGTCTAGACGGTAGGAGTTCATAATGACCTGTAGATCAGCGTGAATGTGATTATCCTAGCCTGCTCGTTGATCTTGCGACGTCGCCGCGCTCTGAAGGGAAGGAGGCGCAGGTTTTGGGTCCGGCCGAGTTGGTTCTACCGAAACACCGAAGGACAGGACAGGTCTGGCGCGCCGCCGGGGCTTTGCTGCCCCGGCGGCGCGCCAGAGATAAAGGCTACTCTGGAAATGTCACCAAATCAACACGACATCTGTCACAACAGAGACGACATGCAACAAGTGCCACGGAGAAACTCACTTGTAATTCCAAATTCCCAGCGGTTAGTTTCAAGGAACCGCTCCGTTGGGGAAGGCATCGGGGGGAAATAGGGGGAGCAGACGACACGAAACACGTCCTTCGCTTCGAGACGCGCCGAGGACCGGCTTGAGCGTTGCCATGGCATCGCGACGTCACTATCTACGCCACCTCCCATTGGCTCCTCTCTTCTGCGGCGTGCGGCGTTCAGCTCTGAACCGCGCAAGGAGCGGTTGGGTGTGCGGCGCCGCACGTCGTGACGTTGAAGCCGAAAACTGGTTTCCGCCGGCAACCGGCAGCGACGACCGTCGCGCCGCAGGCCTCCGAAACGCCAATGTGGTCGTGCCTATACACGACTGCACGCCGGTACGATGCTCATCCAGATTGAAACGGGAAGGGGTGGGAATTGAACCCAGGATCCTGGGGGTTCTGCAGCGTAAACTTTTGCGCCACGTGCTCCGAGCTGGTGTGCACTAACTTACTCGGCCGCCGATCCCGCCCCCCCCCAACAGGCGAAAGAAAGCAGATGACACGCAGACGAAATCCATTGGCAGCAAAAGTGCCGTCACTATGCAAACCCATCTTTTTTTTTTTTTTTAACTTCAACTTTTGATTTTTTTGGCCACATTTATTTTTAAGTTAAAGGTACATTACAAAAAGATTATGTTCGTATTAGGAAACCACAGTGGTCACGAGCAGTCTCGGTAAAGAGGTAGTGCCATCTAACAATACAAGCTCCAAACGCGCCCCATCAGTTGACTTGGTCGTCTGCGTCACCGCTTGCCGTTGACCCTGGCAAGTTTCTTGTCCCTGCACTTTGTAATTTTACAAGAAAAAATCAAGCTGTGAAATACACCTTTGATGAAATGACTAGATTGCTACTTGTAGGCGTCGATTTTTATGGTCTATTTTAGATCGAGCCTGGTAACTTGGGACACCCTATATATCTATTTACAACCTGGATAAATGGATAGATGACAACGGCTCTACCCTTTGTAATGGGCGGTTGCTTGCACCATTTAGTCTGAAAGCAATAACATAAACCTGATTTGTTCTTCCAAGCCACTGCATTTCTCTAGCTATCACCAGGTCATGAAGATGATCGCCAGGCAGACCTTTGGGGGATCGGGCAAAAACACTAAAGAGATCACCCCCCCGCTTCCTCCTTCCGTCAAGGGTTTTGCCAATTTTCGTCTGGTTGAACCTTGTTGGCGTTGCCTAACACCTGCCCCACTGGGGGACAGGGTTGAGACCACGACAAACTCTGTGTTCACGACCATGCCGCCCAAAGCGCACCTGTTGGCGGCGTGTGCGAACTGCGGTGGCTGGATCTCTAGCTATCATCATCATCGTTTGTGACGTCAGGGGTAGGACAGACTGGGACTGACCGCGCAGATCTTGGAGTCCTCGGCTCGTCAGCTCACTTCATGCGTTGTTTGGATAGTGTGCAGCAAAGCGTGTTTGACGCGTTGTGTTAAATTGGGGAAGTGATATTTCTAGTAGGACATTTTACCAAAGTTTGAAACCGTGGCACGCATACTTGTGCTAACAAGCACTTTTGGCACTGAGGTGTCAAAGTGCTTGGACGGTAGTGTGCTGTTCTCTACCCCAGTACAAAAAGCTGGATGATGAAAATAGGATATCCAGCGCTTTACCCAACTGCAACATCTACCATGGCAAATATGGTGTATTTTTTTTTATTATGATTCAGACAAAACCAGTCTGAGAATGGAATGTCTCATCAAATTGAAAATAGAACAGTGAAATTTGAGAACTGCTCGCGTGTGTAGTAAACGCTTCAGGGAAAGTGACTTTGTATATCCTGTTGGTTCCGATGTGTTTTGTGAGTGCTGGTCTCTTATTAGTTCCAAGTTGATTCCTTTTTGAATTTGATGAACCAGTAGACAAACATTTCCTCAAAAAAACTGGCAGGAAGAAGCAGTGGCTGGCTTCCAGAGTTGTCTCAACTAAATCCCTGCTTCTTCACCCGGTCGACGCAAAATGTGCGAGACCCACACGCAACCAAAGTCTTAAATCTAGTAAGTTGGTGTATTCAATTTGGGAGGACCTAAGTGTCAGTTGCTGACGAGCATTTGTTCGGCAGCAACTGTTGAGTCGCACTTGGATAGAGGCGTCGATATCGGCAAGCTCATTCAAAAACAAGTGTTTAGTTTGCTTTGCAACACAACTGTGCGCACATGCACAGCTGAGAAGACAACACGTCGTTTACTCTGGTGAATGCAAGACCTTTTTCTGCAGCAGCCTCCCCAGATTCGAAAAAAAAACAAGAATCGGAGAGGCTGTGAATAGCCCTGATGCACTCTGCGCAAGCTGTGATGTGAAGTTGGAGGCTTGTTTTTGAACATTTCAAAGTTTTTCTAATAACGAAAAGCAACTACGAGGTGCTGTTATTCATTAGAAAGATCACTCGCAAAAACATTATACACGTTTCTTAAAATAAACATACCGTTTTTAATTGGCACAGATGCACACTAACAGAGCCACTCCGTGCTTTGACATAGCGAGTCGTCTGCTCTCATCCCACCAGCTGCGTCAAAGGAGGGCGCCCCCGAGGTGGCGCCACCAAAACATCTTGTCGCCAATGGGTCCGTTAAGTGGAAACTCGACAACTCGGACTCGAGTCAGTCCATCGGAGTCTCCACTAAACGGGCTTTTAGAGCATCTCTGGATGCAGTTCGCACCCTCTATGTGAATTTCAAGTTGTTTTCTTTCCTTTTGATTTTTTTGGGGAACATTGCAAGATGGCCGGCATGCCAACAATGCGGACAGAAGACACTAATCTGACTCTGCAGCTGCTCAAGCGTAAGCTTGTGTCGTTGGCTCTTTATAATGCCTGAACTTGGGACTGAAGTGATTGCAACTTTTCAAAAGCACACTGGAATTCAATTGTCTATGTATGTTGCCAGTAAAGGTAGCTTTGTGAGCTTTATTTTGCTTAGTCGTCACCGAAGAAAAATGTAAGCAGAGTCGGTTCATGAAGTTTTGTACATATAGTGGCGCATCATATTAAAATGCAGAAGCTGCGCATTTTTTTTTAGCTAAGCGGCAATGGAATTTTTCAGTGAAGCTGTTTCAGCAACAATGAGTAAACGGAATGTATGGTGCAAAAAAGAACCGCTGTGTTCTCAAGGTCTGACTGCCTTGTGTTTCCCACAAATGCACATCACACGAATGAGACTGAAAGAACACAGGAAACATCTAGGTGCAAGTGTCATCTGCCTGGCAGTCTTCACCACATTTGGGTGCCACTATATCCGACGACGTCTGCGTAACTGCAGCATCAGCGTTAACAAAAGTCACATTTGCGCTTTGTAAACTGGTGATCGCATGCTGCGATCCGTCATAACGACCGAATAACTCTGTGCTTGAAAACGTTTCGCACACGAGCTGTCTGCTGTTGTTTCGGAAGGTGTCCTGCCAGCGAGCATCGATGGCACTGCATCCGGCTTCAGACACATATACTTCGTTGAGAGGCCAGCATCGGCTTTTGAGTGAAACTTTTCGTCCGTAGCAGTCCGGCAAGAAGTGATCGGAGCAAATCAATGTCCGGTCAGTTGGCGTGAAGAGCTTCCCAATATTCCACCGGCACACAAAGTCTGCCCAGACATTCCGACATGCACTGTCCTGAGGAAACAAGTGGAAGAAAAAAAAAGAACTCCTGAATTTATAATAAGTGCAGGCAGCAACACAACATCATGAGGCTTTGGTTCTTTTGCCAGGCATCACAGCTAGGAATCGGAGATGTGTATGCGTACGTAATGTGAACGAAACTCTAAGAAAGAATTAATATTCACAGCCCGTGAGACGACGACGGCATTTGGGACACGGGAGACGACTGGACAGCTCTTGAGGCTAAGAAGTGCACTGTGCAGGCAGATTGGTCGTGTTATGCCAGTCACGTGGACACTTGATGCAACAACTCGTTTTACGACAATGCTTGGAAATTGCCAAGCAATTTTTTGTTGAGCTGAGCTTGCTGTGTCTAAACTGCTGTTTACATTACTAGCGACGCAACAAATATAGAAAAGGCTCGTTTTAAAAATAAAAAATACCTCTAAACTCTTTAAGTCAGGTGTCACAAGCTATCCCCAATAATTATTGCAGGCACAGGCCGTTGCTCTTCATTGTCTATTCGTCTTTATAAACCTTTTGGATGGGACTCATATAAGTCATCCTCATAGATGTCTGGTTAGCTCGATGCACTTTATGACCCTTTTGGCTTTGTTCTTAATTTCTTTCGTCGCTCTTCGTTTTTGGTCCCAGGTATGTCAAGTGTTCCCCTGCCTCCTTTGTGATCTCGTGGGCCGTTGTACGAACCTGACTTGAGACAGCAGTTTGAATGGAACGGAGTCACGGTAAGTTTCCTTCAACTTGTTATATGACTAGAGGATGGTGGCAGTGTGGTGTTCCCATGAATACTGAAAGGGCAAGGGAACAAGGACTAGAAAGCAAACGACTGAAGCTAAATGTGTGAGACAGGAATATACGCAACTTATTTTCGCAATAAGGACATGGTGTTTTTGAATTCCTTTTGTAATAAGTTTAAGGACGGAATGCTGCTGCATTTAGTTTTACCAGCTATCTTCGTATCTGAAGGGCCCAAAATTTCTATATCATTTTTTTTATTCTCTCCTGCAGCGCTTTTTTTTTTCAACTCTGGCTTGTAACTACATCCACGACAATTCAATGCCATGTTTTCTGACGTTGCCCGCTTTGCCAATAAGTTATGCTCTCTTGCCCTTTCATTGAAGCATCCGCCTGCTTGTTCAATATACAGACTAGGCTGACGCTGGGAGTGAATGAACAAGTTTGAAAGTTAGTTAAGAAGACCGTGGAAAAAGCTGACAAAGAAATGTGGGCGTTCAGAAAGGGGGGGGGGGGGGGGGAAGAAACCTAGGTACTTCGTGGAAAACCAACGATTAAGAAAAGTAAACATTCCGGAAAATACAAAAAATTGTTAATTGCTACCTGAGGCAAGGACAAAAATCTGAAGAAACAGGACTTTTAGGTCAGCTCCAGTTACCACGAGAGGGACACAAATTTGTACAAAATGTCGACAGGCAAGGGATCCAATGAATTCCTGAACCAAGGCGAACATTTCCATTGCATTGGGATTTAGGAGGAAGGGAGGGAGGGAATAGAGAAACAAAAAGGGAGGGAGAAAGGATGAAAGAGAGAGGGAGAAGAAGGAATTAGGCATATTCGAAAGGTGAAGGGGACCAGGCTGGAGGAATGGCAAAAAGGTGTGAGTGTGATTAATTTAGGAGAAGTGTGCACGTTCGTTTTCTTATAGACCTTTTCATCTCAGTAGTTGCCTGACCAGCGGATAAAGGTCACTGACATACTTTCCACCATTAGGTTGCTTCAACTTGGTTGGTTTCGGTTTCGACGTGCACGCGGCTGTATTGCTGCTTTATGTAGTTTTTACCTAATTTTGTTACACAAATGTTTCCCTTATAGCACACAATCAATGAAACAGTGGCAACTACGAAGTGGTTTTGAGCCTAAATTACGGGCTTTATACAAACACCTTTGATGTATCTGATTATGGTGTGTGGCGAAACGACTGAAATGATGTACAGGGAAGATTATCATTGTCTGTAGCCGTACCCAATGACACTAGATCACAGAAAAATAAACCAATGAAGAGACTAAAACGTGAATGTGAAGAAGCAGATCCACAGCTTGGTTTTCAATGTGCTTCATCGGGAAGTACAGGTGAACTTGCGAGTTTACTAGTGACTGTTTTGTTTTTGTGGACACCCAACTTTTACTGAATTTGGAGAGAAAAGTCTCATACAGTGACGGAGAATCTATAAAAACAAGTGATATTATCTCAGCCTATTTTATTAAAAAAAGAAAAATTAGTACTCGAGAAACATTTTGACAGTGCGAGCTAGACCGAGTAGGAAATTCCTTAATTAATTATCAGCCCTGCTAAAGTAATCGTAAGTGGCATTTCACAATATTAGCTTTAGGAAATAAACTATTTTTATATGAACATTGGCTTACATGAACACAAGATATAATATAAGTGTCAGGCCCGTCAAATTAAGTCAAGACATTTATCTTCCGTAAAATTGGCCAAATAAAATTAAAGGGCACAAGAGAAGTAGCTCAGAAAGTTTGGCCGAAGCCTACGCTAGGCACCACTCCATGGACTTGTGTAAACAGATCCTTATTTGTTTGTACATTTGTGCTTTCTAAATTTCGGCATCCCACTAACAGTAAATCTCTATTTGCTATTGACAATGCTGGACTTAAGCGATTTTTATGCAGATGGCTTTATCTTGGCGTTGAATGTCGCGGACTCCAGGCACTGGCAAGAGTTAGAACAGCGTATGCTAAATTTTTGTTTTTGTAAGAAAAGAAAAAAAAAAAAAAGTCATTTGCGCATGCACCGAGCCCAAACCGCAATTTGAATTGTCACATAGAGAGGACGCTATTTTTTTGCATATCAAAGATTTTGCGTGCGCTAGTCTAAAGCTCACTACTCTTGAGCTGTCTGTGAGTTTCTTATGCAGGAAGTTACAACCTTTGTGTTAAAATAAATTAAGTGAATTGAACTGGTCATCTAAAGACAATCAATAAATCAGTTGAAAGACTGCCCAAATAGGACCGAGAACTGCAATTTCCTTAATGCATCATGTAAACCGACCAACCGAATGATTATATCGCCAAAGCGATCCGCAGTCTCCTTATACTGACTATCTTTGATGGACCTTATTCTTGACACATTCCAATCTTAAAGCGCGATCCTAAATATACACACTTCTAATTGTGAACGTTCGGCCACTATAAGTAAACGAATCTTAGTTGTCATAAGTAATATACCTCGAATCCTCGTGCTGTCTTAGTCATCTACATAATCAATGTGGCTCAGTGCTAAAACTGATTCCTATGCCTCATTTTCACAACCATTTGGTACGGCAACAGTAAAAATGGTCAAATCTTGCTACAAAATAACTGCAGGAGTTGTGCACATTATGATGTTATGCAAACGGGTAGTAGATATAAGTATCGGACTATACTTTACAGAGGTAGGCAAAAGAATAAATAAAGCGTGGTGAAACGCGACGAAAGACACAAAAACAAGGCATCTGACAAGGTGCGGCGGAGAGCGGAGCGATGAGTTGAAAGAATCTAATGGCGGTTGTGTCACATGATTCCAAGATACCAGCACCCATGCGACTGAGGATGAAAAGGTCTATATTATTTTAGTCATATAGTAGAGGTATTATCATATTGCTACTCGCGCCACTGAGCAAGCGCGTGTGTGGCCAAATAGTTACCGCACTTGGCTGTCATGCGGAGGATATGGGTTAGATCCCAGGGAGCGGAATGTTCTTTTATTTATTCTTTCTAAGTGGCTTTCTCGCAAGTTCGAAAAATTTCTCATCTGATCAAGTTACAAATATTCTATGCTCCGAACGTTCTAGGCCGAATGTTCCAGAATCGCACGCGGCTACAAAAGGTGTTCCGCGTGGCAAGCTGGAGTCACTTTCGCCCCAGTGCTCCATCTTGCTGGCTCACCGACATCAACGCCTGCAACGCTAACCTACTTCTTTTTTGTTTTGGGCACAAGTTCGCCCCATTAAACATTCTGTTTATTCAATTATTCGCCGCCTCATAACTTGTCATTCATGCCATTTTGGGGGAGGTGCGGGGTGCCGCATTCCATGCTCGTGAAATGTACCCCTCAGAAGATCTGTCGGGCCTGATCCTTGTCCAGTCCGGAAAAAACAATCCCCGTCGACGAACCCAAGACCCGAGCCAGCCGCCGCAACCAAAACCAGCCTCCGGGGTTTGACCAACTACCAAAGTGGCCGAGGAAGAAGACGCCGACGACGAAGACAAAGTCGCAGCAAGACGGAACGCCACCGACGTCTATCGTCTACGTTCAGGCCCCACCAAGGACGCCGGCGAATTTCATTGGCAACCTTCATGAAGACGTGGACTACTGGTTGAGCCAGCACGAGCGCGTTGCCCGGTTCAACGGATGGGGGCCTCAATAGAGCCTGCGCAGCATCTACTTTGCTTTGGAAGGCATGGCCCGCAGCGTTTAACGAGAACATCAAAGCGTCGATTTCGTCGTGAAAAAAATTCCAGGCCGAGCTGCGACGCACCTTTGTCAACCTGCAGCGACGACAGGGTGCCGAAGAACTTCTGCAAGCGAGAACCAATGGGCCTAACGAGAGCGTCACAAGCTTCGTCGAAGACGTTCTCCGCCTGATGAATCGTGCCGACCCAAACGCTCCCGAAGAGAAAAAGCCGCAAGTCTTGATGCGCGGCATAAAGGAAAACATCTTCAGAGGCTTTGTACGGAGCCCGCCTACCACCGTTGAAGGTTTCATCACGGAGGCTACCAACATCGAATGTGCCCTTCAAACGCGAGCCGCCCACTATCATCAAGTTCCTAGCGTCGCTGCACCCACACCGTCCAACTGCGCCCTCAGCCCCAATATCCCAGGGATCAGTGAAATCATTCGGGACATCGTCCATGAAGAACTAAAGCTGGTACCTGCTACTGAACATCCAGCTTTGTTCTCGATCGCCAAGATTGTACGAGAGGAGGTCCAGCAAGCGCTTCCGCCCGACGTTCTCGCCGATGCCACACTGGAACCACCAGCCTTGATTTATGCCGCAGTTGCTCATCGTCCGCAGCCTCATGTCAGTCATGCCAAGAGAAGCGTGGACCTCGAAAGACCGACCTGTGGAGGACGCCCGACCGACGCCCTCTGCTTTCACTGTGGGGAAGCAGACCACACCTACCGCCGATGCCTATACCGACGGCTTGGGCTGCGCGGGTTCGACCTGCGTCCCCGTTATGGTGAACGCCCTCGGGAGATCGACGAGTCTCTGCGACGACCTCGGTCGCCCGAGCCTGCGTCCCGCCGAGAGTTCCGGTAGCCTTTGCCGTGACGTCCAGCTTCGCCGATGCACTGACTCCGACGTGAAAGCCTGTCGCCCCTCACTCCTCGCCGGGAAACTAGGTGCGACTACCCCTGGAGGTGGAGTTGCCGATGACCGACGCCAAGATTCTCCACGAACGCCGGAGGGCCGCCACTCGAACGCCACCAGAGACCGAAACGACGCTCTTGCAACGGTAAAGAATAACCTAAACGTCGTTATCAACGTCCACGACACGTCGGCTCTTGTCGAGACCAGAGCGGACAACTCTGTCCTGAGTGGGAGGCGCTCCAAACGCCTTCAGAAAGTGACGACGCCGTGGGATGGCCTACAGTTATGGACTGCCGGGGGACATTATTCGAGATTCGTGGCGAGACATGTCCGGTCAAGTTTATCGTTCTGCAAGACTTTGCGAGGGACGTTATCCTCGGAATGGACTTTCTTTGTTAGTATGGCACTGTCATTGACCTCGGGGCAAACCAGTTGACGCTGCGAAAGCCTGTTCTGCCTCTTGTGGAGACCAACACGACGTCAACTGTGATCCGAGTTATTGCTGACCATGTGAACCTGCCGCCGCAATGAAGCGTTTTCATAACCGTCATAAATGGCGTAGCCATGCTCGGTGAAGCTCTTTTGGAAGGCAGCGTCCGACTGCTTCTTGAAAAAGGAATTGGCGTCGCACGAGGCGTAACGGATCTCCAAGAAGGACATACAACTGTTCTCGTGACACACTTTCGAGAGGAGCCGCAGCACATAACAAAGGGTACCACCGTGGGCCACGTCAAGGAGCTTCAGGCGCCAGCCGTAGTCATTGGAATCTCTGAGGAAACCTCGTCATCACAGCAGAAAAGCACAATGACGCCGCAGTTGGACATCGACCCCTAGCTCCCAGCTCCTAAGCGCCAGCAACTGGTTGATCTCCTCGCTAAATACAGTGACTGTTTTGCCACATCGTCGAAAGTTTGCCAAACACCAATGGCGAAACATTGCATTGTTACCAACGACGACACGCTCCCTGTCCACCAATCGCCGTACTGAGTCTCCTTAAAGGAATGGAAGGCGATTCAAGATCAAGCCCAGGAAATGCTCGATGACGACATCATTCAACCCTCAAGAAGTCCGTGGGTGTCCCCAGTCGTCCTTGTGAAGAAGGACGGTACCCTGAGGTTCTGCATCAACTATCGTCGACTGAGCACTGTGACTAAGAAGACCATTCTGCTCCCTGGAATCTAACCCATATCCTCCGTGCGACAGCCAAGTGCTGTAACCAGTCTGCCGCGCACGCGCTCGCACGGCGACTCGAGTGGCAATATACAGGAAGCTCGTATTAAATGTTAAATCGATCTAGAATAATTAAATTCTTTCAATTCGATCGTGTTCAGAAGTTCTGGCGGGCAAGAGTATGGTTCTGCAGGAAAAGAAAATCAATAATTCAAAGTGGAAACACGGAGACTCACACTGTTACGTACGTGGCAGTGGAGAAGACTGCACATCACGAGTACCACGAGACAGGGCATTTGTTTGTTTACTTTTGTGAAACGTCAGTAGTGGCGAGCTTCCTTTTTTATCTTTCAATAAACCTCTCTTTTTCTCGCCTCAAAATTTTCGGGGGCAGTCAACCAACGACAATCTATGACCGGCGATAGAAGAGGGAGATAGAAGCGTGGAGGAGGAGGTTGTCAAAAGCACCTTAACTGAGCAGTCGAGCGCAAGTGAAAGTAGGCTCACATTTTACGGCGCCCCCCAGAACATGCTGTTTGATGCGCTTTTCAGGCGTAAATGGCAAAACATATCACTAACTACTTCCATTTAAAGTGGGTCTGGCTCGGGTCCTTTTCTCGCCGTTCCTTTTAATTTTATCCTCGAATAATTCCAATATGGAGGGCAAGTTCGTCTGCTTCTTGCACAGGGGGTAGCGGTGACGTCACAACGCCGAGCTCTGATTGGCTGTTTGCGACCCCCTATCTGAGCGTCGTCTGCTCCTTTGCAACGTCATCTACTCGCAACGTCGTCTGCGTCTGTTTTACCTTTCCTGCGACTTTCGGAAGTGCAGAGGCCAGATTCACGAAACGATCTTACGCCAAAAATGTTCGTGAGACAAAACTTAAGAACAAACTCGTATTCACGAAACAAAATTTTCCTAAGTTTTGCGCAAGTTACGACAAAATCCTACGACAGCTACGAAGCTGTCTCAAGGCCCATTCACACTCTTGCAACCGAGTACGACCGAGAGAAACCAGACCGGTTTTTAAGCTTCTTGCGACCTCTTAGGACCGGATGCGCTATAGCGGAGCTGGTCTTAAGAGATCGCAAGAGGCTTAAAAAGCTGTCTGCTCTCTCTCGGTCGTACTCAGTTGCAAGAGTGAACGGACCTTTACACACTCACGATCACCTCAGCATGGCCGACAGTGCACGGTCGCGACGACCCACGGACGTTTATTTTCCTACATGCGCTTCTCACGCGTCCCGACTTCAAGCAGCAAGAAAAAAAGTAAAAAGTACTTGAAACAGACCACGACGAACAAGAAAGATGGATCCACAAACACCCGGGAAAAGCTCCAACGGCCACGATTCCACCGAATGCAACCAAGCAAGCATGGCATTTAGGCCTAGCAGGCACTCCGCGACTCGGCGACCGTCTGCCCACGACCGGCTGGCGTGCTGAATGGAATATGCCCGCGCGACCCTTGTGAACTCTTCCCGTATTATACTTTGATCGCTGACCTCAATTTTAGATTAAGAGGTCAATTTCTTCCTCTTGTTATCTCCTTGTTTCCTGAGGCAACGGTGACTCTCGCCGGTGAAAAAGCGGTGAATCTCCGACAGACGCAGGAAAGGTAAAGCAGCCATCGCTTTGACTAGCAGACGTAAAGCAGACGACGTTAACTGCGCCGACCTGCCGACGCCGTTGAAGAGTGAAGAGTCTCGCCGCCCAGAAAAGAAGGGAAAAAGTATTTAAGAGGGAACTTGCGGACGCTCACTCGCGGTTCTTAGCAAACAAACCTCGGCGCCTCGGGGCACCTCGCCAGTGAGTCCTTTGATTTCTCTCCTTGATGTGCGTCTGCTAGTTGTTAGACAAAAAGAACAAACCGCTCGAGTTATTTCGTCTGCCCTCTCTGAAAGACGAAGTCGGGTTTGCTCGTAAAGACCTGCAATTCCGAAAGTCGCAGGAAAGGTAAGACAGACGCAGATGGCGTTGCAAAGCAGCAGACGACGCTCAGATAGGGGGTCACGGTCAGCCAATCAGGGCTCGGCGTTTTGACGTCACTGCTACTTCCTTTCTCATGCGCAGAAGACGAAAATGAGGCCACTTGCGAGGCGTATAGATTTTTCACGTCCAGTAGGGGTCGAATTGTGGGTGGTCGACTGTGATTCCGCAGCAATGATTTCGTAGTTGGGAGTTTTGCTACGGGAGTGCAGAGGGCGCTGAACTCGCGCCTCAAACCGGGATGGAATGTTGTCACAAATGGTGAGGTGACAAAACAGAGGATGACTGAGGAAACTGAGGCGTTTAATGGGGCGAGCTTGTGCCCAAAACCAAAAAAAGTAAACGAGATAGCAACAAAGCGTCGCAGGCATCGAAGTTGGCGTGACAGCAGAGTCGAACGCTGGGGTGAGACTGACTGTGGCTCGCCACGCAGAGCCCCTTATGTGCATGTATTGGCTTCTGGAACAATCGGTGTAGAAGGTTCGGCGCGTAGAACATTCGGACCCCCAACAAGCGCCAGGATTCTCGAATTTACCTGAACACTAAATTGCAAGAATAAATAAAAGATGTGTCGCTCCCAGGAATCAAACCCTGGCTCTTCGCATGGGAGGCAAGCCTGATAACCTTTAGGCCACGGCCGCACTGCCTACTTGGCCAGCTGTGCGCACAGCAATATTTCTCGGGATATTACGCAACACATAACTAGGTAGTCTCTCTTCCTACAGACTCTAACATTGGGTAATCTCATATGCTTGAGGGCACTGTCTTCCTCATTGCATTTTTTCTTCTCTTTATATTATTCTTTGGTAGTTTCAGTTTGTCACAGAAATTAATAAAACATTATTTTTCCGACTGCGAAAAAATGTCACTACACAGCTATGGTAATATTTGAACACGTAAGAAACGAGGTCGTGCCCCAATTATTTTTGTTCATTACACTCAGTGGTTTAAAAGAAGTGGATTAGCTTATTTTACTCTCCCTTTTGAGTGCTTTGCCTTGCCCCACATCTGTGTAAGAACATGGTTCTTTTGCATATGCATTGCGTCCAGAACATAAAAAAGCTCTATCAAAACTTGCACCAGATATATAAAAAAGAGGTCAAGCACTATAAACTGAAAATTGCATTCACTTATTGTAAATAATAAAAAAAATATGTTTTTCCTTGGTACATGTCCCTTTAAAGAGGCTAATTCTGTTCAGGGAAATGGAACAATCAATAGAGAGAATTATATTTGAATGCTTTCATGAGCCAAAATAAAAAGGTCAGCAAGATATTAAACCACTCATTTTAAGCTGAACTTGAACAGTGGCTTTATAAACCAATTGGGTATCTGGGTTGGGCTTTCCTTGTGTCTACAAATACACATAAAGTCTTCTTTTAGGTGCTGACGCTGCACTGATGTGGAAGACCAGCTGCCCTCTGAAAGCCCCTAAAGTCATCTGGTTTGGATGCTCTTCCTGCACATACTTCACCAGAGACCAGCGGGGAATCGTGAGCCACCTGGTTGCCCATGGTGATGAACAAATCAAGCACCCCCGTCCTCTCATGTCTCCTGGCTCTAGGTCCAAAGTCGACACTAACACTCAGATGCACAAAGGTGATAGGATCTTTAAGTGCAAGCTGTGCCCCCAAACCTTTGCACATAGTGGCAGTCTGAGCAACCACAATCGAACTCATGCAGATGAAAAGCCATTCAAGTGCAAGCTTTGTGCTCAAGCCTTTGCTCGGAGTTCCTATTTGAGAGACCATAATCAAACACATAATGGTGATAAACCTTATAAGTGCAAGCTGTGCTCCAAAACTTTTACTCAGAGTTCTTCTTTGAGACAACATAATCAAACACATAATGGTGATAAACCTTATAAGTGCAAGCTGTGCCTCCGAGCCTTTTCTCAAAATTCCCATCTAAAGTCTCATTATCGAACTCACAGTGGTGATAAACCTTACAAGTGCAAGCTGTGTCCTCAAACCTTTGGTTGGAGTACCTCTTTGAGGACCCATAATCGAAAACACACTGGTGAGAGGCCTTACAAGTGTAAGCTGTGCCCCCGAGCCTTTGCTCGGCATTATGACATGATCCAACACAATCGAACGCACACGGGGGAAAAGCCCTTCAAATGCAACCTTTGCCCCCGAGCCTTTTCTCGGAATACTCGTTTGAGAAGGCATAGTCAAACACACTGTAGTGATAAACAGTGTTGAAAAACCTGATAAAGGCAAGCAGTGTCGAAAACAAACAGGTGAAAAAACCTGCTCTTTTTTCAGATTTCTTTGCACTTGCTCAAAGTGTGGTCCTTTGAGCTGTAATCTAATATATTTTTAAAAATGGTTTAATTCTTTTGTTTTTGTTATTTACTCCTATATATGTAGAATGCAAAACTTGCATTGAATGCCTATGTGACTAAGCTTTAATTTCCCTTTTTTTCAATCAAAAGACAAAAAAGGCTTGCAGTTTCAACTTCCAATTATTTCTTTTAGATGCAGGCCTCGGTACGGAAATATTTGTTGAGTAATGTTTTAGAAGGTTCCATTTTTGACATCCTGTACCATATGCTATCTCATCTTAGCAGTTACTTTTGGGGGAGACCCGTTGCCAAGTGTGTGTATGCAAGCGCCTTGTGCCCCAGATTCTGGGACTGCTAGTTGAATCCCTCGCCCAGCAGGTTTTGCTGTAAATTGACATTGTACTTTTCTTAATACATAGTGTGAAATTCGCTTTGTGTGTAGTGTGAAATAGTTTGAAATGCCAAGGGGGTAGTCGCCCCTTACAAAACCTCTTCGCTTGTGGTTTTTTTGTTTTTTCTTTACATTTGTTTGAAGGATTCGAGAACACCCTTGTCGACTGGAACTGGCCAGTTGACTGAGATGATGTACATCCGCCACACCTCACACATTACTTCAAGTTCTGTCATCTCTCTTTGGAGGATAATGTTAGCGGTCGCTTTGAGGTCTTTTTGGTTTAGGCGGCACCATGTGACACGGTGGCGACGGCCGCGACATATTCTTCTGGGCGCCATCCGCCACGACTTTCATGGTTGCTCCCACCACCTAAATTATCGCCCCCCCCCCCCCCCTTCCCTCAAACCAATATGTGGAATTTGCCCCTTCCCCCGCTCCTAGAACCAATATCTGGAACGGCCTCTGCTCAAGCGCCACTGCCAAAAGCACCATCAAGGGCCCTTCACAACTAAGCGAGCTGAACAGACAGGGAAACAGCATCAGTTATGAGCTGAACCATCCACTGCTGCCGTAAGTGCATCTGTGCCCCCCTCCACTGATGTAACTAGCTGGTTCCACGAAGTGAAAGTTTGGCTGCAAAATATATGGCATGCCAGAAGCCACTGCCGATATCAAAGACTGCTTGGATGCGGTTAACCTCAACACCAAGAATATAAGCACATAAAACAACAAAGTCAGCATTTTGGCGGCACTATAATTTAGAAAGCCCTGTCACAAGTCAAAGAGTAATGTTTGTTCGGAGGCAGTAGTCTCCTAGTGCGCATTGAGGATGCCATTGAGGATGCCATTGAGAAGCTGCAGCTGATAGAGGAATGAACCTTCGTGGGCTGCTTCTTTAATTTCTGTACAGCGAGGTGGATGTATTTTGACAGCATTTGCATATTCCTTAGTGATTTGCTCTTGGATCAGGCAAATGGGAAGGTCAAGAATGTGAAAGCGAAAACTTCTAAGTTTAATATTTTCACAAAGCAACAGACAAACTCTGCAGTTTTGTCAACACTGAGCAGCAACAGCAGCCAGAGGAACTCCTTCAGGGACGAGCTGCTGTGTGTTTTGAGAATGACGAACCACATCTAAGCCATAGCACTCCAAAAAAATTCTATTGCCAGAAAGATGCAGCCTTGATTAAATGCAACGGAGCTCCAGTCGGAAAGTTTTCGAAATTTGGCTGAATTTCAAACAAGAGCGGCATTTTGTTACATAGTGCCCTGAGCCTCTGACGCAGGAATCATTTTAATGGCAACGGGCATTTTAAGTTGCGCCTAACATTGGAAATGATCAGGAAAACTTTGGTCTGGTGTCATCAGGGCCTGGAGGGAGACACCAGTAGTGTCTTCCTCCAGGTGTCTCCCTTCTTTTGGGACATCCTACCAGCAAGGCAAGCAGCGAGACCCACAACTTAAAACGTTTTAAAGCAGCAATTGAACGGTACTCGTTGAAATTGCATCCTATACTCGTCGACGCAGGAACAAGCATTTTCAAACTTTGGGCGATAAACTCTTCTCTGAGGCCATCCAAAATACCTGAGAAGGCGTCCTTGAACTTGGCAGAAAGAGTAGCGGCTGTCGAAACAATTCACTTATCTTTAACTGAATAAGGATTGTTTCTTCAATGTTTAGGTTTTTAGGATCCACAGAGCCAGGAGGACATTGCAATAGTTTGCAGCGAAACCCAACAAATAACAGTGGATGGTATGAGTGACCCTCGCTGAGTCGTGAGGAGCTGAAAGAAGCAAAAAAGCTTTTGGAGAACTGGCGTACTGTATATTATCTAACTTCAGTAGTTACCTGGGCGGGGGATTGATTCGTGAACATGCGTATTCACTGCAATATTTTGTTAGCCTGGTTGGCGATTGCTAGTTAAATTCCCGCACCGCCTAGCCTGTTTCGCATTGAATTGGCATTGTACCAGTGTTTGTGTCATCAGAGGGGGGGTGCAACAATTTCAAAATTAAAAGAATTTGCATCTCATTGTTTTTACGTTATCGTGTCCCAGAGGGTAGAGAAAACATCTCATTCATTCAAAAATGTTGCGATTAAGCTGCATAATAACAAAGCAAAAGTCAAACTTTTTCCCCCCACCTGCAGCCGCGGGTGGCTGCTTTTGTGACCTCGGTCGGCTCTAAGCTGCAGCTTAACGCCCGTTAATCTCAGCAGAGAGAGGGAGAGGAAGCGTCCTCCGAGAGAGCACACGGGAAGCTACACGGCACCCCGAATTACGTCACTAGGAGGGGGACCAGGTGTGACCCTGAAGACTGGAAATGAGTACAGGGGTGCCAGAAATGCCAATATTTATCTTTTTTTTTTACGCAACAGCTAGGACACTCAGGCGAAATCGCTTTTCTGTTTTTTACTTCCAAAGTGTCAGAGGGCAACTTCCACAAGTTTTTGACTGAAGTCCATGAATCCTTGCACCCCCCTCCCCCCCTTTAATGCCGTCTAATACCTTTTCAAGGCTGCATTGACGGAAGCTGTAGAGATCTTGAAACTGACTTTGGCACACTCATACCTAAAGGGTTTTCACCTTTCTTCTCAACACTGGCATTTTCATAATCATGTATTTATAACACCTGCATTGAGACATCATTGTAGTTTTCACAATATTTTGCTGCTGTGTGTTTTTGTTTCTGAGTGTTTCAGTGTTGCCTGGCCCTTTGTATCAGAATTCTCAGACCGCAGGTGTTATTTTACACCAAACAATACCTTTGGCTTGCTTTTTGTATAGGGCTGGATACTTGCTGGTTTCTATGCTTCCCTAATGGCAAACCTATTTTTTTGTTTTAACAAACTGAGGTGAGTCATACCAGCTAAGTCTCAAAGAATGCAGATTGAGCTATGATTCTGTTTGGGTTACAATGTCGTCTGAATTGTTGCTCTGCATTTATTTTTGCATTGTGTAATACATTTGTAAACATAGCTTCATTGCAGTTTGCTTCTTTATATGATACATGTGTAATCAGACTTCTTTTTCGCTGCTCCTTCAAAATAAAGTTTGATAATTCAAACTTCACAATGGTTTGTTTTTTTTAGTTACAGATTTTACTTAAAACAGATGTGCCCCTGGCAGAGTAGCTCTTTGGAAAGTTCCTAATTTGCCATCCTGCACCATTCTGGGATTTCACTGTAGCAGTTGTGTCGCCAGAAAATTGACAGCCAAGTGGATGTGCATATTCCAGCACATGGAGTGTAGGTTTGTGCTGCAGATTGTGGCACTGTTTCTGTTCCTACTTTCCAGGAGTTTTGGATATCAGGTGGTGGTGCAAAACATATCTATAGCACTCTTGATGCCATCTATAGTGGAAGCCAAGTCTAACTATATTAGTGTAAGAACTATTGATAATTGACTATCAAAAAGTATCCGTAATATACTATTGACAGTTAGTATAATGTGGATGGTCAACTATTGGGGTACTATTTATTGTATACTATCGATAGTCAACTTTTGTGAAACTATAAATAGTGTCTTATTGATAGTCTACTATTATGAAAGTGCTGACAGCCGATTACCGAAATGCTATTGATGGTATTTTATTAGGTGATGAAGAAAGTATGCCAAGAGTCCATGTGGGACATGTGGAGGTCGGAGAAAAATGCAACTGTGATTGGGAACTTTTGCATAATTATTCAGGAGGAATCTAAAACCTATTGGAAAACTATATGAAAACAGAAGAAATCTTTAGAAACTGTTAACAACAAAGCGTCGGTTGTATACTACAAAAAAGCTATGAAAAGAACTATTCATAGTGAACTATGTTTATTTTTCTTGATAGGTTGTCGTTTATTGTTTCACTGTGGCTAGCGTTACGTCCGGACGGAGCACTGAAACGCGTATATCTAACCCTCCCCCCCCCCCCTGCCCTCCTCTCTCTCCCCCGTGAACCTAGGCAAGGCGGAGATTTGGACGTAACTTGGGTTACGTCGGACGTAACACTAGACACTTCGTAGTTGTTTTGATAGGAACTAGCACAATAGTGAAGATGTCTTTGTCGCCCTTGATAGGTAAACTTTTAAAGGGGCCCTGCAAGGACTTTTTTACTAATTTTTAATTTGCACCGAACCTGAGCGCACTGAACATAGTAACTTATTGAAACTTTTCTTTTCTCGAAATTCCCTTTATTTTAAAAGTTATAGGCAAATCAAAATTACAAAAACAAGCAAAAAATAACCTCCCTCATGACGTCCTAGGTTGCTTTAGAGTGGCCGTGAACTAGAGGAGAAGTAGTGAGCTCATCGAGCTCTCACGGCTGCCGCACTCCGTGTCGACGGCGCGAGAGGGCGCCATTAAAACGTGTTCTGGATAGGCTGTATGCAGCGGGCAGCCAGAGCGGCTCTTATCGCATTTGCTGCGCGATTAAATACTAATTTGGCATGACACTTCATTGGCCACAAACGACAGCAAACACTGGGTAAAGATCAGTTCAGAATGGGAGCTACTTTGTGCTGCCATACCGCGAAACGGCCAAACCGCAAAACAAAGCTTCTCGCCGAAGGGCTTCGAAATGCTCGGAGCAGGTCGGATCCTCCTGCCCGAACGACCGCAGTGCCGCCGCGTACATCCGGGACCTTTCCGGTGTCGGCGCCTGATCCCACTACTCCTTTCTAGTACGCGCCGCCTTTTCCGCCGCTTGGTGGCGGGTATGTCGAGGGGTCATTTCTTGTTTCCATACTTTATGAACTACATTCGTTTCTTTTTCGATCAAAAATACTGAAGAAAACTACTTTTATAAATAATTGAAACGGTTCGCGCCACTTATATTTTGTATTTCGACTAAAAAGAAGCTTTTAGCGGCTCTGACCAGTAGTAAGACCAGCACCAAAGACATCACATTTTGCGTGCTTTCAGTACCGTGGGTCGCCCTCTTCGGTGAAGGAGGTTTCCGCGTCGTCCGGTTAAAATGTGACGCACTGACATTTAGTTACTCTCTCCGTGCCCGCTGGCTTGCCAGAACCCCAAGAGATGTGGAAACCGCAAAAAAGGTAGATGCTTAAATATGATTGCAGGGCCCCTTTAAGGTCCGAAATACTGATTGAATACAACGGTAGCAATTGGGATTGAATGCAGTAGTATGGAGACATGAGTTCTCTCAGATGAAAAGAAAAATGGGAATTATATTTTTTTTCCAAAAAGGGTTGCTAGAAAGAAAACATATTGCATTTTAGTTTCACTCGTTTCTCTTTACTGAAAAAAAAAATTGCCTCATTGCCAACAATATTGTTACTTAGATCACAAAAAAACTTTTGTTTTTGTCTTTTAATTTTGATCCAGTTAACTTTATGTTCCTAAACTTATTGTATTTGAAGGATGGAAAAAACAAAAGAATCTGTAACCAACACTGATCTCAATTTTCATTAAGATCAGTGGTAACTAGGGGTGTCGCGAACTTTTGTCGAACCAGATTTTTTGGTCGAACTTTCGGGGTTCGACTGGGTCGAACCGGTTCGACGAACCTTCGACCTTTTCGCCAGATTCGACCGGTTCGACTTTGTTGACAGTGTGGCCAGCCCTTGATACAAGCATGTCTAGGTTTGGAGAATTTTTTTTATGCAAAGGGTTATTTTATTTTGTGAACAGCTGCAATTAAAAGAAACTAAACCTAATCACTGAAGAAGTTAATAACTTAATTTTTAGTGCTGTATTAACTGAAATAGCCAATCAGCGCTGCACTTAATTCATCTCTTAGCCATTACCATCCAATCCGAAGCCAACGAGCCAGCCTGAGATCAGTGAGCCTGACGCACATGCGCACACGAGTCGAACCTCGATACAAGGTTCGTCGAACTTTCGACTAAAAGTTCGAAACAGTCGAACCTGGTCGAACTTGAACCGCAGCCGGTTCGCGACACCCCTAGTGGTAACAAACCATGTTTACTTGTAAGCTTTCTATTGGGTAATGCTCAATTTGAAGTCTTCACAACAGAATTTCTGTTACACTTATTGACTAAAGATATTTATTTTTACATAAGTAGTATATTCTACCAACAGGTAAGTCACCGTGATTCAACAAAAAGACAACATTTCACAGTGAACAACTGGTTTTGTCAATTAACAGCGAGTTCCCGATGTTCGGGAATTGAAGTATAATCTCTAGCAGAGTGCCAATTTTCACATGACGGGGGTCCAAACCATGGAAGGCAATATGTCACAATTCAACACTAAAAGAAACACGAGCTTGAAACAGACCTGTAAAAAGCACTGATGCTAATTATGTGCAGCAAGTATTTCTTCTATCTCAAACACAACAGAGTGTACTTTTTTTTTACAAATATATGTTTATTAGTGTGGAGCCTGATATGGTGAAATCTGGGGAATATACAAAATATGTCCATCGGAAAAGTGGCAACACACCATTTCTGTTTTGCCTCAAATTAATTGTATGACAATGCAACTCCATATTTAGTTTTATATCTTATCTATCTTTTGCCCAGAACCCCGTATTGCCTGCCCGTAAATATCCACTGTCATCTTTTTGGGTCGTGTTTTCATTTTCGTACCATTCGATTGTTTCCTGAAAGTTAACTTTGATGGTATTTATTGTTTTCTGAAAGTTGACTTTCTATATGTATAGTCAATCGAAAACCAACTATCGATAGTCGAGTATCAGTAGTACTACAGGTTGTGAAATAATGATACCATAAGTGGGTGTTTGTGAGAAATCCGAACCCGGTTTTTCGCACCGCAAAAATAAACTAGACATTGCGGGGAGCTCCAACTCCGTCAAAACGTAGCCCCAGCCGATCGAGCTAGATGCCAACATGTCAACACTTACCATTACAGGAATAAAAAGATAGAGGTCAAAAACTGTTTTCGCCTATGAGCGGAAGTCGTCCGTAAGACGCAATAGACGAAATGCCTCTGATTTTGTACCTCAATCAGCCAAGGGGTTTTGGTTAGTTTCGGTTTCGATCTGGTGGTTTGCGGCACAGCACCGCCACACGGTTAGCCTAACTCAGGTTAGCCTAACTCAGGTTAGCCTAACTTGCGGTCACTGCAGGGAAATTTTAGCGCCTTTAAAGAGGCGCTAGAATTTCGCTTTAAAGCAAAATGTTTTTTTTTCTTTTTTTTTGGGGGGGGGGGGGGGGGTGGGGGGGGGGGGGTTGCATTAAACGGGTGGAAGTGCAGCGAAAAATCACTTTGGGAACATGAAGTTAACCAAAAAGAGGTTATCTCTCTTGTAGCATATATCGAGGTATGGATAAATCTTTCTTATCATTTATATGCCGATTTGTTGGGCGGAAGAGCTTGAACCAGTGGCGAAAAGGCCGAAAAGGCCTTGTCGCATGAAACAAGCTCGTTGGTCGCATGTCCAAGTGGGTAGATGGCGAAAGACACCGCCTGACTCACACCTGACTGATCAATGCTCTATTCATTTTTGCTGGCTAGGTCGCTAGGTGGCCAAAAATATTGTTGGCGTTTTTTTGCACTGTTTTTTTTTTAATATTTATTTACTATTCATTTAGACATGCGAGTCACAACGCATTACTCTATGGCCATGTTCCAAAATTTACTCGATCTTACTTGTGGATTTTGTACCCTGGCGTTTTGAAAACTAAAACCTACCCGCGTCCAGCGTTTTTTAATCTGTGTTGTCAGGTGGCAGCAGGTGACGTGACCCGCCGAAGGAACTCGATTCCACCAGATTCTACTGCTCGAATCCATTTGGGTAAGATTTGGAACACAGCCTACGAGCGTTACCGTACGAGCACGACCGCCTACGAGTGACAACAAACAGGCAACATCTGACAACAACTTCGTCCGCGCGGGGCGCGTGAGAGCGAAGTTGGTTTCACCCGTTTCACCCAAGTGATCAGTGGTTTCCCCTTCCCAGACATCGACTTCGACTGTTTTCAGCACGTCTCGCAGTTAAAAAAGTGAATCGTGAGGTATTCAAAGGGTGGTAGGCTCGAATCAGGAGGCCCTACTCACGGCCGTGGCAGTTTAGGTGACTGCTTGCTCTGTCCTCAATCCGCGTTTTTGTTTTCGGAGGGTAACTAACTAGGATGATGTGCGTGTGCGTAGCAACCGATTGCGCCCTCGCCTCGCTTTGGTTTTAGCGATAAACACGGTGACGACGGTAGGAAGTTTTAGTGGACCGTTCCGAACCCTCCGATAACGATACGATGCATCCCATGCATCCGCAAAGGCGTCAGCAGAGTATACACCAACTCATGTTTGGATGGATGGATGGATGAATACGGCTGAGCCCTTTGGATCGGGCGGTAGCTTACGCCACCTAGCCATTTTGTTTTACCATTTAAGCTTAGAAATTTTAAATGTGAAATCTATATTCACTCCGCAGTGCAAAGAAAGTGAGGCTATGAAACCCCCTTGCCATCAGTGGATAAGAAAATACCTAGTTTTCTCTCGATTTCTGCCACCATTCACTTAATCTTTGCTTGGTAATCTCTACAGTCTTGAAATCCACTCTCCCTTCGCTGTCTCTAAAACCCAATGACTTTATTAAATCTATGTTGTCTTCGGTAGGCATAGGGTGAAGCCCTTTACAGTAGAGTATCAAGTGCTCAGCCGTCTCGTCCTCCTCTCCACAAGCTGTGCACACTATCAATTTCCTGGTACTTCACTCTGTATGTTCTGGTTCGCAGAACACCCGTTCTTGCCTCAAACAGCAATGAGCTTCCCCTAGAATTGTCATAAATGCTTTCTTTGGCAATAACTCTTTTGTTTAATCTATAGCTTTCCAGAACCGTCTTTGTCTGCATTCCCTCTAGCCACCAATCTCTTTCTGTGGCCTTAACTTTCTTCTTAACTGAGACTTGCTCTTCCGTATCTTCGCTATAGCCCAAAAACTTTCCTCTTAATTTCCTAGTGCGCTGTCTCCACTTTGTGTCTACACTCCTCATGTATAAGTAGCTGAAAACCTTTCGTGCCCATTGCTCCCCGTCCATTTGCCTCAACCTATCCTCAAATTCTACCTTGCTCACCGCTTCCCTGCTCTCAAATGATGCCCATCCCATGTCTCCTTGTACTCCCTGGTTTGGCGTTTTGCAATGTGCCCCCAAAGCCAGTCTACCTACTCCGCGCTGTTTTATTTCTAGTCTCGCATGCACTTCGGATTTCATGCATAGCACTGCGTTTTCAAAAGTCAAGCCAGGCACCATGACCCCTTTCCAAATCTCTCTCACCACCTCATACCTGTTGTAATTCCAAAGTGCTCTATTTTTCATTACAGCTGCATTTCTGTTGCCCTTACCTATTATATACTTTTCATGGTCTCTGAGATATTCTGCACCATCACATATCCATACTCCTAGATACTTGTATTTACTAGCTCTCTCAACTGTAATATTCTGTATCTTCAGCCTCTCAACTTCATCCTCGTTAAAAATCATGACTGCCGATTTTTCGCTACTGAATTCTAAACCTAATTCCTCTCCTTCCCTACCACAGATGCTCATTAATTCCAATTCACTCAATTCCATTTTACAAACAAACCGGAGCGCCCCTAGCGGACGCCACCGGCGCTGCGCATGCGCGGTGGATGGTGGGCAAGAAGCCCGCCGTCGCCCATAAACAAACCATTGAATTGCGTTGTTTTCGGCGTCGGTGGGAGTTCCCGTGCTCTTTTTCGCGTTGGAATTGTTGATTCTACGTCCTCCTAGCAATGTCTAACTACTGGAGCGGCTTCAGCGAAATTAACGAGGCGAAACTTTGCGTGAATGATGTGACTTACGGCGATTCATTTCACGTGGACGCCGCAGAATGGGCTCTAAAGCCTGACTCGCACGATGAGATTCTGCTCGCTATTTTAAGTCGTGACGTTGCTCGGGCTGCAAAAGCGTGGACCGTAGCTGAGATGGTGGACGTCGATACTGAAAACCGCAAGTAGAATCGGGCATTATAAATCGGTGATGGCCACTGGTAACAATGATCAGCATATTCTTCAATTCTTCTCTCTACTGTTTACACTTAACCTACTTACCCCAACCTACCTTCAAAAGTGTTTTGAGGCCTGCACTTAGTTCTTATCGCAATTACCGGGTCAACGTTTGGTCTACGGGCCGCTGCAGTTTGAACGAGGTGACGACAAAAAGCAGAAAAGTTGGAAAGAGCAGACGACATTTCGAACGCTTTCGCAATAGAGTATGGGCAAAAAGCACCGCGTCCCGCGTCAACAAACCATTCGAATGTCATGTTGTCGGCGTCTGTGTGAGTCTGCATACTCTTTTTCGCGTTGGAATTGTCGATTCTACGTCCTCATAGCGATGTCTTACCACTTTAATCGCCTGAGCGAAATTATCAATGCTCGTTACACCGCTAAACTTTGCGTAAATAATGTGACGTGCGGCGATTCATTCGCGTGAACGCCGCAGAATGGACGCCAAAACAATGACGAGATTTAGATATTTTCGGTCGCGACGTCGCTCTTGCTGCAAAAGTGTAGAAAGTAGCGGCGATGATCGACGTCGATACTGAAATTCGGACGCGGAAACAAACCAAACGTAACAAGTCGGTGATTGCCACTGGTACCAATCATCAACATCTTGTATCTACTGTTTATACCGAGCCTACTTAAGTCTTTTGAGGCCTGCATTTACTTCTTATTGCTATCACCGGGTCAAAGTTTGGTCTACGGGCCGCTTTTGTTTGAACGGGCAGACGACAAAAAGCAGGCAAGTTCGAAAGAGCAGACGAAAGTTCGAACGACCAGGCGGCCGTGTGAATTTGAAGACGCACTGAACCCGCGGGTGGCTCGGACAACTTGGCGGTTTTCTCTCGTTCATGTTGGAACAAAACAAATACATCTGGCGACCACAAAGTGTTGCCCGCACAAACAATCGTAGTTCGACAGCGTCTGGTTTGCCCTTTTCACGGCTACTATCCACGTACTCGGACGAACGTAGCGGTCAGAAACACATGAAAACTGATCTTCAAACCTTTCCAGACTCTTTTAGTACAGCCCCTGTCGCAGCATTCTGACGAGAATGCAGGCTTTTTGTCTGGTTTCCCTAAAAAGAACACAAGATTGCATGTATCGCACAGCGACTTCTGCCCATCGCCTCAGACCGGAAGTGCGTTCGACGCGCCACCACCGCGGCGTGACGTAGGAGAAGTGAGTTTGTGTATAAGGGGGGGGTATCGGAAGGATTTACTAAAACTAGCCATACCGTGTGACTGCGGTTTTTCGTTTTAAGCCATGGACGTAAATACGTATGCTAAAGTTGAGCTGAATGGCTGATCTTCTAAAACTAGCCATACCGTGTGAATACATATGCTAAAGTTGAGCTGAATGGCGCCCAACTGGTGCCATTCGGCTGCTTGTATTATACGTGCTGACTTTCAGCGTCTCTTAGGTGACCCCGTTCTTCATCTTCATTCATATGTATAGGGTGTGCCAACTCTCTAGGCTCAATCTAAAATAGGCCGTAAAAATCGACGCCTGCACGTAGCAATCTAAACTTTTTGTCAAAGGTGTATTTCACAGATCGGTATTTTGTTCTAAAATTACAAAGCGTAGCTCCCTTTCTGTAAACAATAGGGCCGAGAAACTTGCCAGGGTCAACAACGGGCGGCAACGCAGACGACCAAGTCGAGTTGTGGGGTGTGTTTGGCGCACGTATTGATAGATGGCATAGAGAGCGGCTTCCGAAGGTGTAGTCGACCAGCGAAAGAACTGGGTTGTGTGTATGTTTATACAGCCGAGAACTTGGTCTGCCTCAATGGGCGACGAGTCTCCCAGCTGTAGATGAGAAATTTAGCCACTGCAGTACAATTGCTAGCCTGGAGTCTAACGTGAATCACGCAGTAGTGATACACGACCGCACGTCGGTACGATGCTCATCCAGATCGAAACGGGCAGGGTGGGGATTGAGCCCAGGATTCCTGGGTTCTGCAGCGTGAACTTTTGCTCCTCATGCTCCGAGCTGGTGTCCGCTAACCTACTCGGCCACCGGTCCTCCCCAACAGGCAAAAGAAAGCAGATGACATGCAGACGAAATCCATTGGCAGCAAAAATGCTGTTGCTAGGCAAACCCATTTTTTTTTTTAACTTTAAGTTTTGATTTTTTTTGTTCGCATTTATTTTTAGGCCAAAGGTACATTACAAAAAGATTATGTTCATTTTAAGAAACCACAGTGGTTACGAGCAGTCTCGGTAAAGGGGTAGCGGTATTTATCAATACCAGTGCCAAACACGCCCCACCACTTGACTTGGTGGTCTGCGTCACCGCTTGCCGTTGACCCTGGCAAGTTTCTTGGCCCAATTTTTTACAGAAAGGGAGCTGCACTTTGTAATTTTATAAGAAAAGAATCGACCTGTGAAATACACCTTTGACGAAAAGCTCAGATTGCTGCGTGCAGGCGTCAATTTTTACGGTCTATTTTAGATCCAGCCTGGTGACTTGGGACACCGTATATATCTATTCACAACCTGGATGGATGGATGGATAGATGACAATGGCTCTACCCTTTAAAATGGGCGGTTGCATGCACCATTTAGCCTAAAAGCGATAACGAAAACCTGATTTCTCCTTCCAAGCCAGCCACTGGATTTCACTGGGTCATGAAGATGATCGCCAGGCAGACCTTTGGGAAATAAAAAAAAAACATCCCCCCCCCCCCTCGCTTCCGCCTTCCGTCGAGGGTGTCGCCGATTTTCCTCTGGTCGAACCTTGTCGGCGTTGCGTAACACCCGACCCACTGGGGGACAGGGTTGAGACCATGACCAACTGTGTATTCACGACCATGCTGCCCAAAGCGTGCCTGTTAACGGCGTGTGCAAACTTTGTGGGTGCATTTCTAGCTATCATCATCATCGTTTGTGACATCACGGGTAGGACAGGCTGGGACTGACCGCGCAGATCTTGGAGCCCTCGGCTTGTCAGGTCACTTCATGCGTTGTTTGGGTAGTGTGCAGCAAAGCGTGTTTCACGCGTTGTGTTAATTTGGTGAACTGATATTTCTACTAGGACATTTTACCAAAGCTTGAAACTGTGGCACACATACTTGTGCTAACAAACACTTTTGGCACTGAGGTGTCAAAGTGCTTGGACGATAGTGAGCTGTTCTCTACCCCAGTACAAAAAGCTGGATGATGAAAATAGGATATTTAGCGCTTTACCCAACTGCAACATCTACCACGGTGGATTGTTTTATTATGATTTAGACAAAATCAGTCTGAGAATGGAATGTCTCATCAAATTGAAAATAGAACAGTGAAATTTGAGAACTTCTCGCATGTGTAGTAAATGCTTCAGTGAGAGTGACTTTGTATATCCTGTTGGTTCCAATGTGTTTTGTGAGTGCTGGTCTCTTATTAGTTCCAAGTTGATTCCTTTTTGAATTTGATGTACCAGTAGACAAACATTTCCTCAAAAAAACTGGCAGGAAGAAGCAGTGGCTGGCTTCCAGAGTTGTCTCAACTAAATCCCTGCTTATTCACCCGGTCGACGCAAAATGTGTGAGACCCACATGCAACCAAAGTCTTAAATCTAGTAAGTTGGTGACACTTCAGCATCCCAAAAAATGAGGAATGCACTTGCAATGAATTACTACCATTTGTATGTTTAATTTTTGTGGAACCAAATGCGCTTCATGCGTGATGAGCTGTTTCAGCAACAATGAGTAAACGGAATGTATGGTGCAAAAAAGAACCGCTGTGTTCTCAAGGTCTGACTGCCTTGTGTTTGCCACAAATGCACATCACACGAATGAGAATGAAAGAACACAGGAAACATCTGCTAGGTGCAAGTGTCGTCTGCCTGGCAGTCTTCACCACATTTGGGTGCCACTATATCCGACGACGTCTGCACAACTGCAGCATCAGCGTTAACAAAAGTCACATTTGCGCTGTGTAAACTGGTGATCGCATGCTGCGATCCGTCATAACGACTGGATAACTCGGAGCTTGAAAACGTTTCGCACATGAACCGTCTGCTGTTGTTTCGGAAGGTGTCCTGCCAGCGAGCATCGATGGCACTGCGTCCAGCTTTAGACACATATACTTCGTTGAGAGGCCGGCATCGGCTTTTGAGTGCAACTTTTCGTCCGTAGCAGTCCGGTAAAAAGTGATCAGAGCAAATCAATGTCCGGTCAGTTGGCGGGAAGAGCTTCCCAGTATTCTACCGGCACACAAATCTGCCCAGACATTCCGACATGCACTGTCGTGAGGAAACAAGTGGAAGAAAAAAAAAAAAAGAAAGAACTCCTGAATTTATAATAAGTACAGGCAGCAACACAACATCATGAGGCTTTGGTTCTTTTGCCAGGCATCACAGCTAGGAATCGGAGACGTGTATGCGTACGTAATGTGAACGAAACTCTAAGAAAGAATTAATATTCACAGCCCGTGAGACGACGATGGCATTTGGGACACGGGAGACGACTGGACGGCTCTCGAGGCTAAGAAGTGCACTGTGCAGGCAGATTGGTCGTGTTATGCCAGTCACGTGGACACTTGATGCAACAACTCATTTTACGACAATGCTTGGAAATTGCCAAGCAATTTTATGTCGAGCTGAGCTTGCTGTGTCTAAACTGCTGTTTACATTACTAGCGACGCAACAAATATAGAAAAGGCTCGTTTTTTTGAAAATAAGAAATACCTCTAAACTCTTTAAGTCAGGTGTCACGAGCTATCCCCAATAATTATTGCAGGCACAGGCCGTTGCTTTTCATTGTCTATTCGTCTTTATAAACCTTTTGGATGGGACTCATATAAGTCATCCTCATAGATGTCTGGTTAGCTCGATGCACTTTATGACCCTTTCGGCTTTGTTCTTAATTTCTTTCGTCGCTCTTCGTTTTTGGTCCCAGGTATGTCAAGTGTTCCCCTGCCTCCTTTGTGATCTCGTGGGCCGTTGTACGAACCTGACTTGAGACAACAGTTTGAATAGAACAGAGTCACGGTAAGTTTCCTTCAACTTGTTATATGACTAGAGGATGGTGGCAGTGTGGTGTTCCCATGAATACTGAAAGGGCAAGGGAACAAGGACTAGAAAGCAAACGACTGAAGCTAAATGTGTGAGACAGGAATATACGCAACTTATTTTCGCAATAAGGACATGGTGTTTTTGAATTCCTTTTGTAATAAGTTTAAGGACGGAATGCTGCTGCATTTAGTTTTACCAGCTATCTTCGTATCTGAAGGGCTCAAAATTTCTATATCATTTTTATTTTTATTCCCTCCTACAGCGCTTTTTTTTTTTCATTTCTGGCTTGTAACTACATCCACGACAATCCACCGCCATGTGTTCCGACGGTGCCCGCTTTGCCAATATGTTATGCTCTCTTGCCCTTTCATTGAAGCATCCGCCTGCTTGTTCAATATACAGACTAGGCTGACGCTGGGAGTGAATGAACAAGTTTGAAAGTTAGTTAAGAAGACCGTGGAAAAAGCTGAAAAAGAAATGTAGGCGTTCAGAATGGGGGGGGGGGGGGGGGGGGGAAAGAAACCTAAGTACTTCGTGGAAAACCAACTATTAAGAAATGTAAACATACCGGACAATACAAAGAATTGTTAATTGCTATCTGAGGCAAGGACAAAAATCTGAAGAAGCAGGACTTAGGTCAGCTCCAGTTACCACGAGAGGGACACAAATTTGTACAAAATGTCGACAGGCAAGGGATCTAATGAATTCATGAACCAAGGCGAACATTTCCATTGCATTGGGATTTAGGAGGAAGGAAGGGAGGGAATAGAGAAACAAAGAGGGAGAGAGAAAGGATGAAAGAAATAGGGAGAAGAAGGAATTAGGCATATTCGAAAGGTGAAGGGGACCAGGCTGGAGGAATGGCCGAAAGGTGTGAGTGTGGTTAATTTAGGAGAAGTGTGCACGTTTGTTTTATTATAGACCTTTTCATCTCGGTAGTTGCCTGACCAGCGGATAAAGGTCACTGACATACTTCCCACCATTAGGTTGCTTCAGCTTGGTTGGTTTCGGTTTCCATGTGCATGCGGCTGTATCGCTGCTTTATGTAGTTTCTGCCTAATTTTGTTACACAGATGTTTCGCTTGTAGCACACAATCAATGAAACAGTGGCAACTACGAAGTGGTTTCGAGCCTAAATTACGGGCTTTATACAAACACCTTTGATGAATCTGAATATGGTGTGTGGCGAAACGACTGAAATGATGTGCAGGGGAGATTATCGTCGTCTGTGGCCGTACCCAATGACACTAGATCACAGAAAAATAAGCCAATGAAGAGACTAAAATGTGAATGAAGAAGCAGGACCACAGCTAGGTTTTCAATGTGCTTCATCGGGAAGAACAGGTGCTCGCGAGTTTACTAGTGACTGTTTTGTTTTTGTGGACACCCAACTTTTAGTGAATTTCGCAGAAAAAAGTCTCGTACAATGACACAGAGAATGTATAAAAACAAGTGATATTATCTCAACTTATTTTATTAAAAAAAGAAAAATTAGTACTCGAGAAACATCTTGACAGTGCAACGTAGACCGAGTAGGAAATTCCTTAATTAATTATCAGCCCTGCTAAAGTAATTGTAAGTGGCATTTCACAGTATTGGCTTTAGGAAATTAACTATATTTATATGAACATTGGCTTACATGAACACAAGATACAACATACATGTCAGGCCCATCAAATTAAGTCGGACATTTATCTTCCGTAAAATCGGCCAAATAAAATTAAAGAAACAGGAGAAGTACCTCGGAAAGTTTGGCTGAATGAAGTCTACGCTAGGCACCACTACAGGTCCTTATTTGTCTGAACAAATGCGCTTTGTAAATTTCGGCGCCCCACTAAAAGTAAACCTCTATTCGCTATTGACTACGCTGGACTTGGGCGATTTTTATGCAGATGGCTTTATCTTGGCGTTGAATGTCTCAAACTCCAGGCACTGGCGAGAGTTAGAACAGCGTATGCTAAATTTTTGTTTGCGTAAGAAAAGAAAAAAAAAAAAAAATCATTTGCACATGCACCGAGCCCAAACCGCAATTTGAATTGTCACATAGAGAGGACGCTATTTTTTTGCATATCAAAGATTTTGCGTGCGCTATTCTAAAACTCGCTACTCTTGAGCTGTCCGAGTTTCTTATGCAGGAAGTTCCAACCTTTGTGTTAAAATAAATCAAGTGAATTGAACTGGCCATCTAAAGACAATCAATAAATCAGTTGAAAGACTGCCCAAATAGGACCGAGAACTACAATTTCCTTAATGCATCATGTAAACCGATTAACCGAATGATTATATTGCCAAAGCGATCTGCAGTCTCCTTATACTATCTTTGACGGACCTTATTCTTGACACATTCCAATCTTAAATGCGCGATCCTAAATATACACACTTCTAATTGTGAACGTTCGGCCACTATAAGTAAACAAATCTTAGTTGTCATAAGTAATATACCTCGAATCCTCGTGCTGTCTTAGTAATCTACATAATCAATGTGGCTCAGTGCTAAAACTGATTCCTATGCCTCATTTTCACAACCATTCGGTACGGCAACAGTAAAAATGGTCAAATCTTGCTACAAAATGACTGCAGGAGCTGTGCACATTATGATGTTATGCAATCGGGTAGTAGATATAAGTATCGGACTATACTTTACAGAGGTAAGCAAAAGAATAAATAAAGCGTGGTGAAACGCGACGAAGGACACGAATACAACGCATCTGACAAGGCGCGGAGCGGAGAGCGGAGCGATGAGTTGAAACAACCTACCGTAAAATACCGGGGATGGGCCCTTGTCCGGTCATCAATTTTACGTATAAATGTACTGTGCATATTTTTTCATATCTTAAAAATTTGGATATGGGCGCTTAATGTGGAGTGGGCGGATGCGCGGTATTCTACGGTAATGGCAGTTGTGTCATATGATTCCAAGATACCAGCCCCCATGGGACTGAGGATAAAAAGGTCTATACTATTATTTTAGTCATATAGTAGGGGTATTATAATATTGCCACTCGCATCGCTGAGCAAGCGTGCGTATGGCCAAATAGTTAACGCACTCGGCTGTCGCGCGGAGGATATGAGTGAGATTCCAGGGAGCGGAATGTTCTTTTATTTATTCTTTCTAAGTGGCATTCTCGCAACTTCGGTAAATTTCTTGTGTGATCAAGTTACGAATATTCTATGCGCCGAACGATCTAGGCCGAATGTTCCAAAAACGTGCGCAGCTACAAAAAGCGCTCCGCGTGGCAACCTAGAGTCAGTTTCGCCCCAGTGCTCGATCTTGCTGGTGCACCGACATCAACGCCTGCGACGCTAACCTACTTCTTTTTTGTTTTGGGCGCAAGTTCGCCCCATTAAACGTTCAGTTTATTAAATTATTCGCCGCCTCATCACTTGTCATTCGTGCAATTTTGGTGGAGGTGTGGGGTACCGCACTCCATGCCCATGAAACATACCCCTCAGAAAATCTGTCGGGCCCAATCCTTTTCCAGTTCGGGAAAACTAATCCCCATCGACGAACCCAAGACCCGAGCCAGCCGCCGCAACCAAGGCCAGCCTCCGGAGTTTGATTAACTACCAGAGCGGCCGACGAAGAAGACGCCGACGATGAACACCACGTCGCAGCAAGACAAAATGCCACCGACGTCCATCGTCTACGTTCAGGCCCCACCAAGGACGCCGGCTAATTTCAGTGGCAATCTTCATGAAGATGTGGACGACTGGCCGAGCCAGTACAAGCGCGTCGCCCGGTTCAACAAATGGGGGCCTGGGCAGAGCCTCCGGAATGTCTGCTTCGCTTTGGAAGGCACGGCCCGCACCTGGTACAAGAACCACGAAGCATTGATTTCATCGCGGGAAGAATTTCAGGTTGAGCTGCAACACACCTTCGCCAACCAGCAGCGACGACAGCATGCTGAAGAACTTCTGCAAGCGAGAACCCATGGGTCGAACGAGAGCATCGCAAGCTTCGTCGACGACGTTCTCTGCCTGATAAATCGTGCCGACCCAAACGCTTCCGAAGAGAAAAAGCTGCTGGTCTTGATGCGCGGCGTAAGGGAAAGCACCTTCGGAGGCCTTGTGCGGAGCCCACCTACCACCGACAAAGGTTTCATCACGGAGGCCACCAACATCGAGCGTGCCCTTCAAACACGAGCCGCCAACTATCATCAAGTTCCTGGCGTCGCTGTACCCACGCCGTCCAGCTGCACCCTCAGCCCCAATATCCCAGGGATCAGTGAGATCATCCGGGACATCGTCTGTGAAGAACTAAAGGAGCTGGTACCTTGCTACCGAATGTCCAGCTTTGCTCTTGATCGCCGAGATTGTACGAGAGGAGATCCAGCAAACGATCCAGCCCGACATTCTCGCGGACGCTGCACCGGAACCACCAGCCTTGATTTACGCCTTAGTTGCTCGTCATCCGCAGCCTCTACTACTGCGGGGAAGCAGACCACACCTACCGCCGATGCCCTTGCTGACGACTCGGGCTGCGCGGGTTCGACCTGCGCCCCCATTATGGTGAACGCCCTCAGGAGGTCGACAAGTACCTGCGACGACATCAGTCGCCCGAGCCTGCATCCCGCTGAGAGTTCCGGTCGCCTTTGCCACGACGTCCAGCTTCGCCGATGCACCGACCCCGACATAAAAGCCTGTTGCCGCTCTCTCGTCGCCAGGGAAACAAGGCGCAACAACCCCTGGAGGCAGAGTTACCGAAGACGACCTACGCCAAGATCCTCCACGAACGTCGGAGGGCCCCCCCCTCGAACGCCACCAGAGTCCGAAATGACGCTCTTGGAACGGTAAAGAATAACCTAAAAGTCGTTATTGACTGCTACGACACGTCGGCTCTTGTCGAGACCAGAGCGGACAACTCCGTCCTGAGTGGGAGGCTCTCCAAACGCCTTCAGAAAGCGACGGTGTCGTGGGATGGCCCACAGATACGGACTGCGGGGGGACATTATTCGAGATTCATGTCGAGACGTGTCCGGTCAAGTTTATCGTTCTGCAAGACTGTGCGAGAGACGTTATTTTCGGTGTAGAGTCCCCGGGTGTGGGTCGTGTGTCAAGAACAACCAGTCCAGTCGGAGCTCTCAGGAAGACTGTTTTATGTCATGAGACATTCCCATTATATCACAGAAAACAAGGAAGAGGAAGATTGATGATAGCGTGATAGATAGGACAACACAGAAGAAAAGGAAGTGATAACGAAACATGATGAACACAACATTCTCCCCCCCTTAAATGACAAGTAAAGAAAACTAAAAGTGAATATAATACAGCCGAGAAAAAGAGGATAGAAATAGGACATAGCGCGCAAGACACATAATCAACACCGCATCAGTTACATAGGTCAACACAGTTTCAACACAGTGTTAACACGCATGCGAACAATACAGTTATTACATCGAAGCACATTCACATCATTCAGACTTACGTGTTCCTGGCCAGGAACTATAAAGCTAATCACGTTTACTTACACGCATCGATTTCTATGGACTCCTATGTACACTTCGTTAATCAAACAAAATCGCCATAGTACAAAGGTGGTCGACGGTTTCGACGTGGCCTTCGCATTCCTGGCAGTCGGGGCGTTTCCATTGCACTGTCTGGTGAATGCACCGCCCCTCCGGAGGGGAAAGGCTCATCGACCGGCAACTGTCCCCTTGTCCCGAGCCACGTCCCGACGGCATTGCACAGGGCTCCATCCTGAGTTCACGTGGGTGTCTTAGAGTCTCGAAGGGTGGCGGTTAGGCATGTGCGAATAGTGTTTTTTTAGTTCGAAGCGAATAGTAATTTGCTTCGAATATTTTCAAAGCAAATAATCCGAATGCTTGTAGGAAAAATTATTAGCAAAAGTTATGCAGTGGTCACTTCACAGACCATTTATTTTCACTGCAACACAGCCACAAAATAAAAATTAAGCTCATGCACAAATCAAAACTTAGTACAAGAAAAGTCAGTGATTTTCATGAAGGAACACGAGCTGCTGCACATGATCAAGGAGGAGAAGCTCCCTCCTGCAGTTCACGATGCTTCCTGCGCTTGAGAAAAGCCTTTCACTCCTAGTCTGAGTTGCTGGTATCGAGAGATACCTACGGGAAACACGGACGAGGGATGGGTACAGATGTCTTCCCCTGCACCTCCACCATGCCAAGGGGCCTTCTGTGCGCGCAAGGAGGGGTGTCTTCAGGTACTCAACAGACTCGGTAGCGAATTCGTGGCCTGGCTTTTGGTGCGTGTCAGAACTAAGACTGGTGAAGACATCCTACAGGGTGTCTCCCAACGAGTCTCCTATGCCTCCGCTGGTTTCGGCGGCTGCATCACTAGGCTCCTTCGTCAGGAGTGTGCGTGCCCATTTTTTTTCTGCCTCTCCAGTGTAGCACCCGTCCTTGTACCTGGGGTCCACCAACATTGACAAGGCTAGAAGGCGACACATCTTCCCATCTGGAAATCGTGTCTTGATGCTTTGTATGAGGCTTGAGGCAACTGATCCTGCTTCATCGGTAGAGTGTCGACTGAGAACAACCTTGGTGCACTCTAATAAGGGGATCACTTGGGAGAGGGTCGGATAGCTGTCTCCAGACAGCTCAGCTGTGGCTTGCTCGAGAGGCTGCAAGACCTGCACTACTGCAGCCATGAGCCTCCACTCACTTGCACTGAGAGGTTCCACTGTGTCACATTCCGACAGCTCCACACTGACGGGCACGCGAAGCTTCACAAGCCTCTTCATCATGGCGTGTTCACTGTTCCAACGTGTTGGAACGTCTTGCACAACTTCAAGTGACTCAAGGTTCATGTTCTTTTGGATTTCCATAAGGCGCCCGCGGGCCTTCGCACTCCTTTTATATCGAGCCACAATGGTTCTAGCTTTCGCACATAACTGCGAGAAACCCGCCACTTCTTTTTTGGCGTTGCTGATGCACAGCTTGGGTGTGTGTCCGAAGCACTGCACGCCAGACCACGGTGACCGTGCAAACGCTGAGGTGAAATTCCTAGCATTGTCCGTGACTACATAAATCGGCATGGTGCCTGGCGCCGGTAGTTCCCAGTCCTCGATAGCACTTTTGATGAACTGTTCCAGGTTTTCGGCCGTGTGGGAGTCCGTCATGTCCGTACAAGCCAAAGCGCGCACGTTCTGTCGAAATTCTTTGTCCATCACGTGGCAAGTCACGGAGACGTAGCTATTGTTTGCACGCGAGGTCCAGCCATCCGTCGTGATGGAGTAACATTCTGCTCCGCTACTGAAAATGGCTCGCAGACTCTTTCTTAGTTCTTTCTTTTTGGACTCGTATAGATCCGGGATGACAACCCGCAAAAAGGTCGTCCGCGATGGCACGGTGTAGTCGGGCATGGCAAGCTTCATCATTTCAACGAAACCACTTTCTTCTACGATGCTGTACGGATGCATTGCGCTAGCAATGAAGTTCGCTATTATCGCCGTCATTTGTTTCGCTTTGAGTGCAGTCGGTTTCAGTTTGGGCTTGAAACTGTCGGCTACCGACGGTTGCTGATGATTCGGTTTACTCCCGTTCTTGTGTTTGACGGCACTCCCGCGTGCTTGACACTCACATTCGAAAGTCTTGTACGAATCAGGGTGCCTCTTCAGGTGCGTTGCGAGGGTCATTGTCGTACCCGTTGGAGTTTTCAGCACTGCCTTGCATTTGAGGCACCGAGCTTCATTTCCCGGTGGCACTTTCAAGAAGTAGTTCCATATCGGATTTCGATATACACCTGCTTCACTTTCATCATTCCCGGCTGCCGTCGATGACCCGTCAGCCATATGAACAAACACGCAGCACCTAGAGCGAGCACACTTCGGAATCCTTTGTGGAGCTGCGACGGCTGCGATGCACGATTTTCTGATCGGTTTACCATGTCTTGGATTGGATTGGATATTTTTAATTTCTTGATGCCGATGGGGCTTTCGTGAGTAACAACCGAAACCCAAACTACCATTTACAATCGGCTTTCCTTCCGCTATTCGTTAGTGCCAAATACTTCAAACTTTTTCGAATATCGGAATTCGGATCGAAGCGAATACCGAATAATGTACTATTCGTTCGAATATTCGGAAAAATCGAATATTCGCACATGCCTAGTGGCGGTGTATATGGTCGACGCTGTTGTCTTTGCCACCGTGTTGGACTAGTTGAGGACTGTATGTGTGGTCGGTGCTGTTTTCACTGCCACTGCGTGGGAGTAGCAGCGGTTAGCTGCCAGTCATCGTGGCACCATCTTGCACCTCCGGTAGGGGTTACACCTTGAGGAACTCTTTTGGCTTCACCTGAAGTGGGCTGTCCAAGGGTATCGTTCCTCGTTGCTGGCCTGTCCTGATTGTGCGTGCTCATCTCTGGCTCTGGGACGACCGACAACTTTGAAGCGTTCCACACCCTGCCATCCTCAAGTCGGTACGTCCATCTCCCGACCTGCTTGATTATTCGCATAGGAGGAGTGAACGCTGGGCTTCCCTTGCGTATATGGCCCGGCTTCTTTACCCTAACGAGATCACCCACTCTAAAACGCGGCATCTTGGCCGCTCGTCTTCCGTCAGTGTAGCACCCACTCTTTTCTTGTCGTTGCCGTACGCGGTCGCGCATTCGCTGCATTTCCTCCATAGGGTTTTTAAGGAACTCCATATACGAGAGTCCAAGGATGTGTAGCCTGTTGCGCGGCTTGCGACCGTGGAGGAGAAGAGCGGGAGAAAGTCCCGTAGTAGCGTGCGGTGTACACCGGTAAATGAAAATGTAGTCAAGAACAGCGGCTTGTAGTGATCGGTTCTTGAGTGTATCACACTGTATGTAGGACTTGAATGTGCGATTAAATCTTTCAACTTGCCCATTGGCTTGCAGGTGGTAGTTTGAGTACAGCTGATGCTTTATACCACGATGAGCCAGGAATTTCTTAAACTCCTCGGACGTAAACTGGGGCCCGTTGTCACATACGACCCTCTCTCGAAGGGGCCGACAATGTCAATTCCGACCTTCGACCACGGCCGCTCAGGCAGTGGGACTGGTTGCAAGGGTGTTGGCGATGTCTTCACGCTTTTGTCAGAGGTTCTGCAAACACCACATGCTTGTACTGTCGCTTTTATGTCCGCGTATGGCCACCAATAGAGATCATGAAGGCGAGTGTGTGTCCTGATGATGCCTGGGTGACCCTCGTGTGCTTGCGCGATGAGTGGTTTTCTCATGCTCGCAGGAACGACGAACTGATCACCCCGTAGCAGTAGACCATCGTACACAGAGAGTGTGTCTTTAATGCTGTAGAAGATGGCTTCGTCAGAAGACGACTCCCTCCACGGTGGCCATTACGAGGTGATGAAGGACATCACGGCGGTCAGTTCCGGGTCAACAGCTGTTTCCTGTTGAAGCAGAGCCTTCGTGACGCATTCGTCTTGCAACGCGGTGAAAGACACAATCTCTTCATCAAAATCTGTGCCACCTTTGTCACATGGTATAGGGAGCCTGGAAAGTGCGTCCGCGACCTGATTTTCACTGCCCCGCTGGTATTCCACTTGGAGGTTATACTTCAGGAGGCGTGTCGACCAAGGAGTGATTCGGAGTGGACGAAGTCCAGTTCCTCGCGTGCTGAACAAGGACGCGAGAGCCTGGTGGTCTGTGCGTAAGGTGAAACGGCGACCCCACAGGTAGGCATGCCATTTCTCGCACGCCCACAAGCAGGCAAGGGCTTCTCGCTCTCCCGTGGAGTACTTGCGCTCAGCCGGATTGAGCGTACGTGAAACAAAGGCGACAGTCTGAACTTCCTCTCCGTGAAGCTGCTGCAGCACTGCTCCAAGTCCATATGCGGAAGCATCCGTGGCTACGATGATGGGCAGGCCTGGATTGAACATTTTGAGAGTTTTAGCCGATGACAGCAACCTCTTCACACGCCGGAAGCTCTGGTCCGCATCTTGATCCCAAATGTTAGGCGTGTCCTTTCGGAGGTACCTACGCAGAGGCTCCACCTCTGAAGCCAGATGGGGTAGGAAACAAGAATAATATTCAACCATCCCGAGAAACGATCTCAGTTGCGTCAGATCTGTTGGAATGGGAGCAGCCTGTAGGGCATCCACCTTTGGTTGCAAAGGAGCAATTCCGGCTCCACTAACTTTGTGTCCCAGAAACGAAAGTTCTGTGACGTCGAAAACACACTTGTTTAGCTTCAGGCCCACGTCAGAAATCCGTTGGAGCCCTTCCGCAGACGTTCCAGATGTTCTTGTGGGGTCCTGCCGAACACGACAATGTCATCAAGGTAATACAAAACGCCTTGACAACCATGCAGGATCTTGGACATCATATTTTGAAAAATTGCTGGTGCGGAAGCCAAGCCGAAACATACTCATTTAAAGCGAAACAGCCCTTCGTGTGTGATGAACGCTGTGATATCACGGCTGTCGGGATGTAAGGGCACTTGGTGGTATGCTGCTGCGAGGTCTAAGTTTGAAAAGTGATGTGCGCCATGAAGTGCATTCTGTAGCTCTCCGATGTGTGGGAGGGGGTAGCTGTCAATTGCCACTGCTTTGTTTGCGCTACGAAGGTCCACGCACATCCGAATGGTCCCGTCCTTTTTCTGTACTACCACAATGGGTGACACCCATTCTAAGGTATTGATGCGTTCAATGACCCCTGCTTCGAGACGCTTAATCTCTTCTGAAACAGGTTGGCGAGCAGTTTGTGGAATTCGCCTCATGCGATGTTTGACAGGTGGGACTGAAGGACGAATTCTCACCTTCCACTTGATTCCCTTGACTCTACCCAGGCCAGCGGTGAACATGTGATTAAAGTGCTCGAGACACGGTGGAAGTTTCGGCTGTATAGATGCAGGTTTGGCCGGTGTAGCTGCAGATGGTGGCATCCCTGTCGCCCATGCTTGCGGCTAATGTCAAGCCGCCCACTCTTCCTCCAGCGCCGCCGAAAGGTCATCCGGTGGTGACGGTACGCCGGTTGATGATGATGAATCTGGTTGTCGACCTTTTATGATGTCAACACTCCGTGTTTGTAACAGAGAAGGATCTGACGGGCTCGATGATGCTTCGTCAAGTTCGCCGGTCTCCGTGTAGAAGCACGTTTTGGTTCCTCCACTCATTTGAATGTCCAGTGCCACTATAGCGTCCATGCCAAGTAGCGACGTGCCTCTGTCTGCGATGTAGAACAAGACTTGTGCCTGTCGCGTCTTGAACATTACTGTGGCCGTGAAGGCACCCAGGATGTTGATGGGTTTACGGGAAAAGTTCAGTAATGTAACTGGTGGTGGCACGACTTTTGCATCACTGGCAAATTGTTGTGTGAATGTGGACTTGTCCATTATAGAAACGGACAATCCTGTATCTAACAAGAACGACAGTGGTGTCCCAAATACTTTGACGCTGATAAAAATACGCGCTTTAGAGGCTCCCGTAATGTGATTCACAAGCTCTGCTTCATCGTCGTCATCGAAATCTGATAGAATTTGTTCAACTTCTTCGCGCCGGCGCCGTTGAGAGTAAGCTCTGCGCACGCTCCTGCAAACATCGGCTAAATGGCCTCGACGGCCACAGTTGTAGCAGCAAAGGTTCCGTGCTGGGCAGGTGTCGTAGCTCCGGCAACGTTCCCAGCCGTGACCGCAATTGGAGCACGTGCGCCCATGACTTCTTGTGTAGTCCCGTCGGGGAGATTGGTGCCTCGCAAAGTCTTGCCGCGAACAAGTTGACGGTGTAAACTGGACCACTCTGCGGTCCGACGACTGTATGAATCCCGAGTGTCCACCTCCATAAGATTGGTCGCGACCGGTACCGCCGCAGGCTGTACAGGACAGAGCAGTCGAAGACTGTCTGTCACGGATGCTCCAGGAGGACGATCTTCGCCTGTCTGCCGGCTGGTGCCTGGAAGAACGACTACTGCACCGGCGCTGTATCTCCCGAGGTGGCTCATTTCTTGAAGACGGCAGAGACCGTTGCAATGAAAAGTCTTCCCTTGCCGGTGATCTTGCTTTAAAGACCCTATTTTTGGTGGTAACATGACAAGTCGCTTGAGCGTTTGCAGGCGAAGTTGTCATTGACACCCATTCTCGCACCTCACGTCGTGAGCATTCAATGTTCAGAACTGTCTGGATGACCACGTCAAATGGAAGAGCGGCATCCAGAACCATACGCTCCTGAATTTCGGTCGACACGACGCCAATCATAAACTGCTTCCGAACCTGCTCTTGGGTTTGGCTTCCGAAGTTGGCCGGAATCGCAAGTGCTCGAAGCGCCGACAGGAAGTCTTTGAGCGACTCACCCTCTTGTTGTTTCCGACTGTGAAATTTAAGCTGTTGCAGAGTTACATTCGTAGGTTGCGTGAACTCTGCTTCCAGAAGCCTTACGGTCTCTGAGTAGACGTCTGTCGCAGGTTGACCGACAACATCTCCACCGCTTGCTGTTGCCGACGTTGCTGGCGCATGTTCAACAGCAAGCTGTGGCATTGGTAGTGAGTCGAATATTTGCTGACCGGTCTGGCCGAGACAGTTGAGCAGCATGGCTTGCCGACGCTCTGGGTCGTAGTCTCGAGCACCAGTGGCCAACAAATATCGCTCGAACATCCGAATCCACCGTTCCCATGGAATGGGCGGAGGACCCGGCTTTGTCAAGAACTCCGGAGGAAGTCGTCCACCAGACGCCATTGTGGAGTTGACTCTGAATGGAGGCCGTTCTATCTAGGTGCCATCTTGATTGTCGCTGGGACAAAGAAGGCTTGTCCAGCAGGATCACTCGTCGGGGCCCAACCGACGAAATCGGAGAACGAGCCGTTGCTTGCCCAGGGGAACGGTAAGGCCCAGGGACCTCCTCGTCACCAAAATGAATGTAGAGTCCCCGGGTGTGGGGACATGTGTCAAGAACAACCAGTCCAGTCGGAGCTCTCAGGAAGACTGTTTTATGTCACGAGACATTCTCATTATATCACAGAAAACAAGGAAGAGGAAGATTGATGATAGCGTGATAGATAGGACAACACAGAGAAGAAAAGGAAGTGATAACAAAACATGATGAACTTAACACTCGGAATAGACTTTCGTTGTGAATATGGCGCCGGCATTGACCTCGGGGCAAACCAGTTGACGCTGCAAAAGCCTCTTCTGCCACTGGTGGAGACCAACACGACGTCAACCGTGATCCGAGTTATTGCTGACCATGTAAACCTGCTGCCGCAGTCGAGTGTTTTCATAACCGTCATAATTGGCGCAGCCATGCTCGGTGAAGCTCTTCTGGAAGGCAGCGTCCAACTGCTTCTTGAAAAAGGAATTGCCGTCGCACGAGGCGTAACTGTTCTCCAAGAAGGACGTACAACTGTTCTCGTGACAAAATTTCGAGAGGATCCGCAGCACCTAAATAAGGGTACCACTGTGGGCCACGTTGAGGAGCTTCAGGCGCCAGCCGTAGTGATTGCAATCTCTGAGGAAACCTC